AGCAATGCTATACTCCCCACATACATGTACCCTTACATATCCCGAAGGCAAACCCGCAGCCTCCCGCTCATCATTTACTCCATAACCTGTACAGGAGACAGAACAGAGAGAAGTAAGGCTGATACCCCCAGCAAATCCATCCTCCTTGCATTCGGTCTTTGGATACGGAGTACTCCGTACCAATTCTGAATAATGAATGCTCAGAATTATATTTACAATTTATTTCATACTAAGTTTCGCTTGAGTCCTAGTACCGATACTTAGTTCATACACGGGCAGTTACAATAAGAATCTATATTATTGATTCATTAACAGGGGTTTCAAGGACGTCATTATTGCATGCCAGAGCTATAGAACCCATATAGAACCATAATACTCCTGGTACTGGTGGTACTTTGAAACCTAAGGCTCAGGAACGTTGCACCCTAAACTAGTGAGCATCTCATACGGGGTACACTTGCATGTATAGTTCGACTGGGGAATAGATTATACTTTAAGCCAATGCCGATATGCAACTGTTCAAGTGAGGGGTGTTCAATCTCTTGGAGTATCTTGTCTCTTGCTTGGTTGCGCATGCAGCGATTCTGATATTAACACCCATGGTACGCTTTGTCATAGTCCAGTGCTCATTCAATAGCCCCTTTACACAGTCTGCACGGCGCTCTGTTGATCATAATACGTTGGGAAAAACAATGTCAGAACCGCTGCCGATCGACGAAACTTCGTATCCTCCGTCTTTGAGGGCCTGAACACTGCAACAAGTTCTGTCATCGCCCTCAAACAAAGATGAAACATGGCAACTTTCGACTCCTTTTTTTTCTAAAACTTCTCTAGAGCGCCCAGGAGTTCACGTGATTTTAGTTATCGATAAGCCAGAGATAGTGAAAAAAGTGAACGCGACGTTTTGCCGGCATCAGCTCCGGCTTCTTCTTCTTCTTCTTCTTTTTTTTTTTTTTCAATTATTTTTTATTTTAACAATACTTACAACGCTTTGAGTTATTATCGATCAAACGGTCCGTGTTGCAGATCTGATTTACTGCACTTTAATTATACCTCCAGCTCAATATACTGTTGCTGAGGCCATCGGTCAAGGCGTTCGGCGCTGGGTTCATCTAGATCACCATGACATCAACCATCCTCCCTGGGGACATACTTCAATTATCACAGCCCAATGCTCCTAAATTAGGGCCGAACCTCCATCTACTTACATCACAGGCCAAAGCACAGGAGTCGCAGGAGCCGACCTCACAAATAATCGCAGCCTCGCAGGCGGGGCTTCTTGCATCCGACAACAAGCGGAATGCAACAACTTCAATCCTCCCGTTTCCCAGTACACGCTATATACCATGCCAGAATGACCTGATAATTGCCCAGATACACCACTCGAGTCCTGATTTCTTTCACTGCATAATATCTCCTAACTCGCCACATGCATTCCTCGGTCAACTCGCCTTTGAAGGAGCAACAAAGAAAACAAGGCCGCAGCTTAAGGCTGGCGAGCTAGTTTATGCACGTATTCTATCTGTGGGCGTGGGTGCAGGCGGAGAGGTCGAACTTACTTGCGTCAACCCTGCTACCGGAAAGGCAGAGCCTGATGGCCTTGGGCCGTTGAATGGTGGGATGATGTTTGATGTTTCCACACTGTTTGCATCTAGGTTGATGATGACTGGTCCGGAAAGGAAAGATGGCGCTGGACCCGGCGGTGTTATTGTGTTGGAAGAGTTGGGGAGGAAATTTGAAAGTTATGGTGGGTTTGAAATTGCTGTGGGGAGGAATGGGAAAGTCTGGGTTGACAGCTCTGCAGAGGGTGACGTTGGGGTTATGATGGTGGTGGCTATTGGGAGGTGTCTGAGAGAGACGGATGAGAAGAGGCTGGATTTTGTGGAACAGAAGAAACTGGTTTTGCGGGTGCTGAAGGAGATGGGGGTAGGGAAATGAAATGAATGAATTCCACACTCGAGTAGACACCCTTGCCCCCCGAATGAGTGCTTGCATTGCTGCGTAGCTTTGGACTTAGTCCACGGACATTCTCTAGACTAACATCATATCCAAATGATTTAATGTCCTTCTGGGCTTTTTACCATGAAGTATAGTAGCATAACACAGCGTATAACCCCACTACATGATGAGGCTGTGCTGGAGCTCAATCATTTTCGCTAGAAAATATCATATTGGTCTTATTATTCCCGAGACATTTGAAGTGACCCCCGTTGTGTCCAAAAACGATTATATATATCCATATTCATAATAAACTCCATCATTCCAATGAACCGTATCCCATCAAGGTGTTGGGCGTGAATATCCACGTAAAGTAATGAGAACATATCCACCTTAATCAACCCCCGAAAGTACGAGACGCACCCATATCGCCTTCTGGGTCTCTCATTGCTGCTGCACTAAATTGGTGTCCAATCCATATTTTTGCACACCAGGCAGTGATCAGGGCATCAATAAATCGATCATCCATATCACAAACAATGTGGAACACAGGCCTCACATTAGAACCACCAGGTATACAGACGGTCTCAATGGCAACAAGAGATTGGTTTGCATCTTCCCATTGCAGCGTTTCTTGCTTTTCCGGGCTATGTCTGGGTCTTATGCGAAATATCAGATCGTCCGTCTGTCCGTTTAAACGCAGCCGAAAGAGCTCCCATCCTCTCTTAATGATGCCGCGAGACATACGTAGACACAAAGCAGCGGACAGGCAACTCTTTCTTTTCCCTGTTATCTCAACGGAAGAAGAAAATATAGGTTGTGAGAAATCATATATGTGTTTTTCTCTTACATTCCCGTGCTGGGCTGTGTTCCTGTTGGGACAAAGACGGGAAATTCCGATTTTCCTGTATCCAGCATCTAGCTCGTGAGTTAGCTCGTACAGGGCCGTTGTTGGAGGGACGACCGGATAGATCAGATTGCCATCGAGGGTTAAAGGTGATAGTTCTGGCCGGCCCAGCGGAGGTGGAGCAGGTGTTTGTGCTGATTCTCCGTACGAAGGGGGCGGAGTGTGAACATTCGACATATTGGTAGATTGCTGTAGATGGGTTATAAGATGATCATATTATAGAGTCGAGGTATTCGTGGAGCTCAAACCATACGGCAGCATCGGGATATCCTGAGGCTGAGCAAACTAAAATGCTGTGATAGTCGCCACACAAGTTGAGACACGCGTTCGTCCGTAATAACGACCGAAGCAAAACGAGGCCGGGTTAGGATGTAGTAAACGCTTGTTATATACACATAGATGTAATTTTTGAGTATCTGGTTTGTTATGGCGGCTGGTGCTCGCGTGTTGCTTTGATATTGAGAAGGCTCAGATCTTGTGACATCATCCACACTTCAGCTCATGCCAAGACAACTACACGTTCAAGATATTGTGTCCTTTCTTAGGCCCAACTAATACGATTGATACTCCGCGAGCATAGATGATGAGCAGCTCAGCTGCATATATCCAATGTCATTCAAAGCATCCAACATAAGACTGTTAACGTGGGAAGGCCCGATCTGATATCTTACTTCTGTAGAGTACTTCTCAAAGCCGCCTTGCCATGCCTGCTGGGTGTGGCAGAAGTACTTCAGCATTCAACAGGCTGTGGCCTTCAGTTAAATGTTTGCTGGCCAGCTAGATCCACTGACTGATTGTCAAATTAACCTGGCACCTAAATATGCGCGGAGGAATGACCAGGGTGATATTCGATGCGATATTACCTGCCCCATAGCGCATACAGGTCTCAGTCCATCGTTATCGTGATTTCTACCATGTTCACCCAGCGAGTTCTAGAGTCGGGTAGATCAGATAAATCTCCGTTATCAGGTTTGCTGTTGTTCTTTCCCTGCTTCTTTTCAGCATCCGCCTTGGATGTAACATCTTCTTGGTCGTCAATTTGTTGGGCGTCGCCCATAAGCTGCTTTTCAGCTTCTATCACCTCAACTCGAACAATATCGTCTACCACCATGACTGTCCCAGTCTTCACCTTGGTGGTAAACCCATCCTTTTTGTCAAACCACTTTCCCACTTCCATGGCCTTGTCAATGGCACGCCCCGTCGCCTTGATAAAGACTGGCTCTTTTCGTAACGCCTCCGAAGCATTTTTAAGCTGTGTAAGCTTGTCCTTGCCAGACTTCTTCTTATTCCCCAGGCAAATACTCTGTGTAGCACGTTTTTCGGCTTCCCTCAGCAATTTTTGGACGCGTTTCGCAATGCTCATAAACGGAGACTTGGTTGAGACATAAACGACCTTGGGTACATTGGCTCCTGCATAAGGGGATGCAGCTGGGGGGTGAGGAATTGGTCGTTTCTCAATTCGCGCATCTGTGCAGGAACGGTTAGATCTTGTCGTGAGAGCTGGAGTAATAACGCAAGGTTGAAAGCCCCTAGCTAGGATACTGTACTTTTAGGGATTTTGAGCAGATCCTTGTTCTTTCTTTCAAAAACAAGCTCCGGCTCGGGTTTCAGTTTTGCCATGGTCAGTATCAGGGTGGCATCTCGCAGGCAAACTTATCACCCAGTCATGCTGTGCTGTCGTGGAGCAAAGTCCTTTGCCGCGAAGAAAGAGAGAGGTGCCCTCTGAGTTTGCTTTTGCTGATGATGTCATTTTATTGGATTATAGTAGGATTTTATTATTGGCTTATATTTTTTATAATTGCTTATCATTGGTCACTTATGTAAATAAGCATAAACCACATAATGTCGTTTATTGGCTTCCGGGACGGGCCAGAATCGTATCAACCAGCCAATAGAATCGGCATATTCTCGCGACGCGCACTCTTTCGAGGCTGAAATAAATACTGAAGAAAAAAAAAATCAGGAGAGATGGAATATCACAAATCAATGAATAAGTTTGGCGCATTTTGGTCGCAGATGGTTCTGTGATTTTGAGTCTCTATTTCGAACATATTTGTATATCCTACTATAAACCCCACGGGCAAGAGGAGGTAGCACCGAACAACCATTGGATTAGTAGTCTCCATTAGTTGATACCCCTTGGAACGAAAGCATCATGTCGAACAAGAAGAACGAGGATCAGGATATGAGCAGAAGAGACGAGAAATTCAGACCTGCATCCCAGTACCGGGCTCGCGGCGATAGCGGCAGCATGGGTGGGATCTTATCACAGCTTGAGAACAGCCCTGGTGCGGCTGTTCTCGCCTACTGCTTCTCTTCGATCAGTATGACAGTTGTGAACAAGTATGTCGTTTCGGGCTCATCCTGGAATTTGAACTTCCTTTATCTAGCTATCCAGGTATATTCGTTATTTCCATTTGTACTCCAGATATTTTCTATCAATATTCTACGCTAACATATATTCACTAGTCCGTGCTTTGCACCGCTGCGATTTTAGTCTTAAAGCAAGCGGGATTTATCCCTAACCTCGTTGCTTTAGAAAGTTCTAAGGTCAAGAAATGTACGTACCCATGTCACGGCTAATTGAAGCATTATGTGGGTTCTTATCATGCTAATATTCTGAATCAGGGCTCCCAGTGTCTGTGTTCTTCGTGAGCATGATCTATACCAGTATCAAGGCTCTTCAATTTCTATCTGTTCCGGTGTATACCATCTTTAAGAATTTGACGATCGTTGTCATTGCGTATGGCGAAGTCTTGTGGTTCGGTGGAAGCGTCACCCCGCTGATTATGCTGTCCTTCGGTTGTATGGTGCTCAGCTCCGTCGTAGCTGCGTGGGCTGATATTCAGGCTGCTGTCAATGGTTTCGGGCATTCAGGAGAGACTGCTGCTGCTATCTCTACATTGAATGCCGGATATGCCTGGATGGGTCTTAATGTTATCTGCACGGCTTTATACGTCTTGGGAACGCGCAAGTTTATCACCTCTCTGAACTTCAAAGACTGGGATAGTAAGTGACATTCTTCAACCAATTGATCAATCACGAAGCCTTGGAAACGCAAACTGACCGGAACTAGCTATGCTTTATAATAACTTAATATCCCTGCCCATTATGATTATCTGTTCTCTGGTCACCGAAGACTGGTCTTCGGCTAACCTGGCCAAGAACTTCCCTGCTGAATCGCGCAACAATATTCTCATTGGCATGTTATACTCCGGTCTAGGGGCCATCTTCATCTCCTACTCATCTGCCTGGTGCATTCGCAAAACTTCGTCAACAACCTATTCATTCGTTGGGTATTTGAACAAGCTCCCACTTGCAATTAGCGGACTCGTATTTTTCGATACTCCTGTCACGTTTGGTGGTGTCTCAGCCATTCTTCTGGGATTCTTTAGCGGTCTCATCTACGGCTACGGCAAGATGAAGCAGAAGGAGATGGCGAGCCAGGTCCTCCCCACCACCCGTCCGACTATGAGTGCTAGCTCTCAGAGCCAGAAGGATGCGTCTAACTGATTAACTGGTTCCCTTATACCTTAGAGTTGTCTATATTTTCTTTCTTTTCTTTTATTTTCGGTTTTATGTGGCATTTTCGCTGTGATATAGACTCTTGTTGTGATGTTGATACATACTCTGGCGACTACCATTTTGGCGATTGATCTAATTATTATATGGGGTTTAGAACGTGAAGTGTTAGAGTAAATAGAGGATGACTTCGAGAACATAAAGTATCTTCCAATGGCATCTGATATCCTCCATGGCGATAGCAAAGAAATCTCGTTCTTCTCTTTTTCCATCTTTCGTCGTACAGGAAGTGTTGGTTAACTATCGATAAGCTTTCGTCAACCGCCAGAAGAAGAAAAAAAAAAGCCAAAACGAGGCAAAAGTTTTTTTCCACTTCTTGTGCCGCCAAAAAGTCGCTGCCGACCTGCCAATCTGCCCGCCACGAAACCCCGTCTCAACAGCCCAATTCTTCATTGACACTGCTGTTCTTCTGGAGGCCGACATAACCTCCTTGTTTATCAGAAGGAAGAAAATATGAGCGATCAAGCTGCTGGCGTCGCCTCGGATGCGACTGAGCGGTGTGCTATCGGTATCTCCTTTGGCAACTCCAACAGTTCCATTGCTTATACCTCGCCTGTAAGTGGTAGACCAGATACCATTGAACGAAGCTGTTCGCAGGTTGTATCTTATTTCTTTCTCTGACTCTTGCGTGTTACATGGGCAGGATGGAAAAGCCGAAGTTATTGCGAACGAAGATGGAGGTTAGTAGGATTCCCCTCCTTCGAGATTGGTATCGGACCAATAGACTAACATTCGAATTTTTACCCAATTCCAGATCGCCATATCCCCTCCATAATCTCGTATGTTGATGGTGATGAATACCATGGCACACAAGCCAAATCTCAGATTGTCCGACATCCGGCCGACACCATCGCCTACTTCAGAGATTTTCTTGGAAAAGAGTAATATCAAGCCTATTCCGATGCAAGAACAATTGGTTGGGAAGCATTCGGCTGACCGTCATATCCAGGTTCAAATCGATAGACCCTACGCCATGCCATCAATCCGCTCACCCACAACAGCATGAGTCCACTATTGCTTTCACCGTGCAAGAAGGCACCGAGGAGGAGAAAAGCACACTTACTGTGTCGGAAGTTACCACTCGCCATCTCCGTCGCCTAAAGAACTCTGCCTCTGAATATGTTGGCAAACACGTCAATGCCGCCGTCATCACTGTTCCCACAAATTTCACTGATGCGCAGCGATCCGCATTGATGGAAGCTGCGAAGGGAGCCGGTATAGAGGTTCTCCAGTTCATCCATGAGCCAGTTGCTGCTGTTGTAGCATACGACGCTCGGCCTGATACTGTTGTCACCGACAAGCTTGTTGTTGTTGCTGATTTGGGTGGCACTCGATCTGACGTTACTGTTATCGCCTCCAGAGGTGGCATGTATACCATCTTGGCTACTGCCCATGATTATGAACTGGGAGGTGCCCAGTTGGACCAGGTCCTCATTGACCACTTCGCCAAGGAGTTCATCAAGAAGCATAAAATAGATCCCAGGGAAGAAGCTCGAAGCTTGGCTAAGCTAAAGCTCGAGGCTGAAGCGACAAAGAAGGCTCTTAGTATTGGCACAAACGCCTCTTTGAGCATCGAGAGTCTTGCTAACGGCATCGACTTTACTTCTAACGTTAACCGTTTAAGATACGAACTTCTCTCCGGAAAGGTCTTTGGAAGCTTCACCGACCTCATCAAGCAGGCAGTCCAGAAAGCCGAGCTTGATCTGCTTGATATCGACGAGGTTTGTACATTCAGCTTTGTGTCTAGTATTCTAAAATATATGCTTACATCGTGTAGGTCATTCTCTGTGGTGGAACATCGCATACTCCAAAGATTGCTCGTCTTGTCCAGTCTCTATTCCCTGATACCACAACTGTCCTTGCACCAGCTACCTCGCCAACCGCCATTCACCCCTCCGATGTAGCTGTCAGGGGTGCCGCCATTCAGGCTTCTCTCATTGAAGAATTCGAAATGGCTGACATCGAGCAATCCACACACCCAATGGTCACTGTTACCGCTCACCTTTCCAAGGCCATTGGAGTCCAGCTCGTTTCTTCTGACGAGGCCAATTGTATATTTAGGCCACTTTTAAACACCGAGACTGCCCTCCCAGCCCGTCGCTCCGCTCAATACCCTGCTCCAAAGGACGGCGGTGATGTTCTCGTCCGTATTTGCGAAGGAACTCGTGAAATTAAGGTCACCAAGGTTGAACCTAAGCCCAAGGCCGAAGATGAAGATGAGGACGACGACGACGACAACGATGATGAGGAAGATGAGGAGGAAGAAGTCCGTGAAATCGCATGGAATGTCTCTAAGCCTATTGCTGAGTTTGCTATACGCGATGTTAAGCCTCAGAGCAAGATTGAAGTTATGGTCAGCGTTAACGAACAACTTGCTGTCCAAGTAACTGCCCGTGAGATCGGTGGAAAGGGAGGAGTTCGTGGCGCTGTGGAACCTCCCCAGGTAGTTGAAAATGGTGCATAAACTTATGACGAAAAATGGGGGAGCATACAAAAGCACGCATAAATGGCTACATTAGACGGAGATGGATATTTGATGATAATGCGTTGGTCTTTTTCCAATGAATTTAATAGTTATTACGCTTTGGTTAATTTGTCTTCTAGTGTCCGTACTTCTCTGTAACTTAACTACAGTGATATGATATGAAAACCAATTAGGATAATACCAATGCATCTCGATTAGAAGCGTCTGCATACACTAACTCCGTAGTAGATGGTGTCTTTGCTATTATTTCATTCAAAAGTGAGTAGATAAAGATTTGCGTAAGGTGGCACTGTGGGTTACCGTAGTTAGTCAGTTCCCAAGATATAGTTTAACTACGCAGAGCTGAAAGATGACGTCGGTTTTCTTGAAGCTACAACAAACAACAGCCGCGCTTCATAACTCTTACGATAACATCTCGGCGTCATACAATAGTATAATACTATAATCATGGCTGCCTGGGCGTATCCTCCTCTTCCAGCTGAACGGCTGAAAGAAAAAGAGGAGATATCGTTGGTATGTGTATCGATCTGGCCCCTTCGGGAATATCAACTAACGAACCACCTAGTCCAATGAGTTACAATGGCTCCTGAACTCCTTACAAGGAACACTGGCCTCGTTACGAGACGGGTTGCAGGAGTGTTACGCTCTTCTGACACCAAATGATACGGGATCTACACTCGTGCTTTCATCCATGCGATCGGAAAGTGTTAAAGGATTTGTGACGAGAATGGGCTCGAAAATTGTTAAAGGAGTACGTGTCTCTGTGGAGAAGAAATAGGAGACAATAAACCATGGTTAAGAGCTGCTAGAAGGCAGTGTTGGCGCACCTGAATACGACACTCCCATGCTAATAATAGGATCTCTAGGATGTTCAACTCCGTCTTCACTCTCTGCCTCCCCCACGCGGTTCGCCTTCGACGCGATTATGTCTTTCATCCAACCCAACAGCTCCTGAACTTGTTCTGAATCAACTTTCGACTGTTCGCCGTCTCATCAACGATAGTCTTGATATCGTTGATATCAGCACATACACAGGAGACTCGAGAGATGCGAGTTTTATATCCGGCCAACTACGGCTCCTAGGCGATAACCTGGCTGAAGCGAGGCAAACTTTGAAAGGAGAAGGCGAAGGGATTAAACAGCCCTGGTTTGAAGGCAGCGCAGATGGTAACGTATGATCTGCCACCTTGGAATCTCAACCAACAAAGTCTGGTTAAGTGGGAACTATGGATAATGCTGACCCAATATAGAGCTTCGACCCGCCTCTCCCACCTTACCTCTCGTTTCACCTCTCGATTTCAGAGGCTGCACTCGTGCTATATCTTCGCACTCTTGAACCCACTTCAGCAGAATCCACCCCAGCAACATCTTTCGCACCTCATATTTCTCTAGGAGGATTTTCTTTGCGAGACCAGCTTTTTGGAGTGAAACAGCCCACGCATGATGAGACTGGTGATGTATTTCAATGGCGTGGTGAAGAAGTAAGAGTTCAAGAAAAAGTCAGAGTGGAAAGTCAAGACCCTAGTCTTCTATCCGCCATGGCTAAGATCTCTGCTCTTGAACATGAGGTGGCAAGATGGAGAGCAGCTCTATCTACCTTGATGGGAGATGAGAGCGATTGATTTCAATCTGCTAATGCCTCAGTATTCTAAACTCCGTGCCGCTGGCCTTACCCATCGTATTCGGATTTCCGGGTTTCCTCTTATATATGCTAATATGCTTGATATGCAATTCATTTATTAACCTATAATTAACACCGCTCGTTTCCCCACAGTTTTGGCTGGAGTCGGCAAAGTCGGACGCCGCAGATATGAATTCATCCGGGCCATATATGTTCTATTTATAGCACATTCACTCCTAGCCTACCATGATACGAGTCTGATGAAGCATCATAGCGACGTTGCCTCGGGCGGGAGACGAAGATAAACAGGAAACGAATGCATACCCACCCACTTACCATGCAATATCCATCGTTTTTTAAAGATTCGATTTAGACCTTTATGGCGAGGCTGTGTTTTGACGAGTGGTTTTGCTCTTCTACTAACGCGAACATTATCCCACCCCTTAGTAATTCGAGCTTCACATGTTGCTATTCTATACGGAGTACGGAGTAGCCCCTGCTCACTTCAAAGCTGCAGATCGGTCAAGGGCCGGTAAACATAACGTTTCACTGCTTAAACGAACCTGCACCCTATAAATGGCCAATCGCATTAGGAGTAAAAATGCACATGGGCATATCTAGGATACTTGTCTCGTGAGGTACGAATTGCAAGAGGCTTAGATATGGACAATCCTTACGACGTTCCATGAGAACGTAAACCGCTCAATACGACCCTAGAAGCAAACATCTCACTATTTTTAAAGGGAGCCGACTGCCGTATTTTCTGCTCGCTCACTCCAGACCTACAAAAGCCTAGGTAACAGGCTCATAATTGAACATTGAGAACAATCCCCCTTGAAATCCGATTACACCTCCGCCTGATTCCCGACTCTCCAGCTCTAGTATTGATACCCGAGCTCATACGTTAATCAATATGGGAATCAAACAGTGGTTACTTTCCCTGGTAGTAGTTGCAATTTCTGCTACTGCTACCCAGGCGAGAGTTGATGATCCAGCCGGAAAGGCTGCTCAATATCACAAGGAATATGCGTTGTTTAGAAGCGCAAATATGCCTTCGCCCGATAAATTGGCTAGCGGAGTTGGCTTCCATTCTTTCCGCATTCCTGCTGTCGTCCGTACCAACACTGGTCGTATCCTCGCATTTGCTGAAGGGCGCCGTCATAACAACAGAGACTACGGTGACATCAACCTCGTCTACAAGCGTACGAAGTCTCCCACCAACAACGGCGAAAACCCAACCGACTGGGAATCCTTGCGTGAGGTCGTCGGAACTGGCCCGCATACCTGGGGCAATCCTACCCCGGTTGTTGATGGCAACACCATCTATCTCTTCTTGTCCATGAACGACGGTGCTTATAGTCAGAACGGAGGCAACACCCTACCAGACGGAACAAAAACCAAAACGATTGATTCCACCTGGGTTGGCCGTCGTCATCTCTATCTCACTACTAGCACTGATGATGGTGATACCTGGACTAAGCCTGTGGACATGACCAAAACTTTGACACCAGATGGCCAGGCATGGGATGCTGTCGGCCCTGGCAATGGTATTAAATTATCCACTGGTGAACTAGTCATTCCGGCACAAGGCCGCAACATCATTGGGCATGGACCATCAGGCAATCGTACCTGGTCTATGCAGGTTCTCAAAGGCGCTGGATCTGAGGGTACCATCTGCCAAACTCCTGATGGAAAGCTCATGCGCAACGACCGTCCAGGTCCTATGGGCCATCGCTCTGTGGCCCGTGGCACTCTTGCTGGCTTTGGTCCTTTTGCTACCGATAACGGTCTTCCTGACCCTGCCTGTCAGGGCTCGATCCTAAGCTACAATAGTGATGAGCCGGCTAGAACTATTTTTATGAACTCTGCCTCCACAGACCGCCGTACAGCTATGCGTGTACGTATCAGTTATGACAAGGATGCAGCCAAATTCAACTTCGGGCGTGAATTGAAAGATGCTCCCCTAGGAAATGTTGGAAATGAAGGCGGCTACTCCAGTATGACGAAGACGAGTGACTATAAAATTGGTGCCTTGGTTGAGAGTGACTGGTACGAGGATAAAGGCGGAGAAAAGTCTCATCGTTGCATTATCTGGCGCCGTTTCAACTTGTCCTGGATTATCAATGGTCCAAACAACTAGACTTAGGTTGCCAATAGCCCTGAAGAAAGACATCCGATGTAATAGTACAATGTATATAGAGTGCGCAAGCTGACTACACACTTAATAATTCAAATTGACCTTGTCCTTGTATACACTATACCCACTTCATGATTTTCTATCTCTCTTTAATCCCCAGACCTCATTTCCGAGGCTTCGACAACGTAACTAAGGTTCAGAATCAAATTTAAGCATAACTCAAAATTTAAGCTTCACTAAAAAGTCAAATCCAAAAGCGGCTCATAGCTAGTATAGATAAAGCTAGCGTTGTCTTGGCGGTTCCTGAGAAGCTTCGGATTATTCATCTGGAGATTTTTTTTATATCGAGCAGACAGTAATGAAGCCCTTAATCAAGCGCTTCTGCTTCCTGTCTTCGCTGAACGAGAAGGATGATACCTCAGCGGACTACGAATACCGTGCGTGCGACATGCACACAAGCGCCCCTCCGAAGTTATAGACACGGACTCTGGATACCTTTCTCGTTACGAAACTACCATCACCAAAATGCGAAAGCTATTCCCACGGTATCAAGAGTCAGGAATTCCGGCGTGCTATTAGCCAAATTACCTCGCACCTCAGACGTTTTCGTACAATTGCCTGTCAATCATACCAAGCGGTTTAATTCAATGTCAACTGACCCTTCGGCCCCCACTCGAAAAGAAGAATTCTATCAACTCCTCGATAAAATATACGCCAGCCATGAAGAACTGGTCCAGCAAATTGACGAGCTGGAACTCAAGGACTTGCCTGAATCAGCCACAAATGAAGACTTGGATCTTATAAAATCCATCAGTACTATTGTGGGATACCGAACTCCAGAGGCGTTAGAAGCAAAAGTGAGAGCAGTATGGGAGAAGCACGGCGTCTTTTTACCACCCGATGAACTTCACGAGGATGGACTTAAGCTATACAGGCGATTATACGGCGAGCCAATTATTACCAAACCAGAAGAGCCACAGAAAGAGGAAGACCAGATTTTCCGGGAGAACAAGGATGGAGAATGGGAAGAAGTGGAGATGGCACAAGATCATCACTCGACTGAACCACAAGCTGCTGAAGGTGAATACTTGGTAGGCATCCCTGAGTCTGCTGGCCATGAGGTAGATATCCATACTACAGAGAGGTCCCGCCAGGTAGCAGCATCCCTCGGAGCGGACCTATTTACCGAAACTCCAACATTCGACAGTGAAGACCCATTCGTTCGATCACACCCATTTGTGGATGAGGGCAAGTTTGGCACAAGCCCACGTAGTGTCACAGCTCCAGCAGCTACTATGACGAGGCCAATCACACAAATGACTGCTGCCTTTTCTAATAAACACATTTCTGACACGGCCCATAAAATATTTGGGGGAGACCAACTGCCCGATTCTATTAGGGTCGTAAAATCTCGACCAAAGAACCCAATCCCACTCACAGCATCGCAAAAGCAAATGTCCCCGATTGAAAGCACTTTGTTTATGTCAGTATTATACCCTGGAATCTATGCATCAGTTTTAAGTGCGCTGGTAGAAACGCGAAAAAGACTCGGGACAAAGTGGATTCGCGGTCTTATGTGCAAAGAAGGAGGACCGAGCATTCTTGATGCAAGCGGTGGTGGCGCTGGTGTTTTTGCATGGAGAGAAGTACTGCGATCTGAATGGTCCCTAATGTACCCGGATCATCCGGAGGGAAGCCTGGCAACAGGGAAATCTACTGTTTTGACTGGATCGGACACACTGCGGCATCGTGTTAGCAGTCTCCTGGAGAATACTACCTTCCTTCCACGACTTCCAAACTACCTACGCCTTGCAGGGGAATCATCGCTTGGTCCCCAGAAGCCTGGGAATCGAAAGAACTATGATATTATAGTTGCCCCTCATTCGTTATTACATTTCGAGGAGGACTATCAAAAAAAGGACTACATTCAAAATCTTTGGGCTATGTTAAATCCTAGAGGAGGTATTCTGATACTCCTTGAAAAAGGACACAAGGAGGGCTTTGCGGCAATTGGAGGCGCCCGAGCGATGATATTAGAACGGTTGATTAAATCTCCTGGATCTTCAGAGGTTTCCGATCCCGATCCCGCTCCAGAGACCCAAGCTGGGCAAATTGAGAAAAGCAAAGGCATGATAATTGCACCATGTACTACTCATGCTAGATGTCCCATGTATGTTGAGCCCGGAAAAATGAAACAGCCCAAGCAGTTCTGTCGGTTTGCCCAGCGATATGTCAGACCCCACGTATTGCAGCGCATCCTTGGAAACCCATCTCACAACCACGAGGATGCGGAATTCAGCTACCTTGCTGTCCAACGAGGTGTTGATAGGCGGGAAGTTGACGGCTTGGTGCAGGATGAGCATACAACCAACGCAGCTTTCGCCGGCTATGAACATTCAGATGATATTAATGAAGCAAACGCCAATGATGCTAAAAAGGAGATCATCGATCCGCTCTTGTGGCCCCGAGTCGTGCTGCCTCCTATCAAACGAAAAGGCCATGTCTCGATGGATTTATGCACGCCAGAAGGGAAAATAGAGCGCTGGACAGTTCCCCGCTCATTCAGCAAACAAGCATATCGAGATGCCCGTAAGTCCTCATGGGGAGATCTGTGGCCTCTAGGAGCGAAGACCCGGATCCATCGTCCCGTCCGAGCCATCAAAATAGAGGAGGCAACTCCCGTCAAGAAGAGGATAGTGAAGCCAGGCGCGGATTCAAGACGGAGACGTGCTGCCCTCGTAGATGAGAGCGAGGAATTTGATTTAGATGAAGAGCAAGAGCAGAAACTTGCCGACAGAGTGAAGTCCTATCACGACCAGCGCATAACTGGGAAGACTAAGAAAGAAAACAAAGTGCCGAAGTGGGCGAGGCAGATGGAAGTGAAGCGCGATCGCAAGTACGGCAAACAATTGGGCCATGAGTAAAAGACCAAGCTGGAGCTTTCTCTGCGATATATGGTTCTTCAGCTCATCAACGCACATACGAGCAATTCAGGCGTCTCACTGGTATCTTGGGGGAATGGGAACTCAACTTAATTCTTACGATTGACGGAGTATCTGTATAACAGCAGGGTTTTGCATACTGGACAGACTGTATTACTAGAAATATTTTTTATTGTATATTACTTCTCTCAATCCGTCCTCGAGTGTGAAGTTGCACTAGACTTAAGCCTAGTAGTTCACGAGGTTGAATTCCCGCTGTGCATAATCCCTTCTCCAGCTCTTGCCTCGTCTGTTTACACTCCGAGATAGCGGATGGACAAACCATCACTACCTCACGACATATAAGAACTGGATATATGGAGCCCGGTATGCCTTAGGCAGATATGCCTGTATGTGAACGTTGACAATGTTGCCCTTATCACATCGACGCAGGTAAGGTAGTCTACTCAACCAACCTTGAGAGAAAAGTCGTTGAATGGCCTCCTTGAGTTGTATAAGTAATGACGCCGGATTCGAATGTCCAATACCAAAAAACCCTATTCAGGGAGCAGCCATGCTTTTCCTTAGTTGACGTTCACGCTGTTTCGATTGAAGTTCCAGTCGATCAACAGCATACTGCAGGCGCTCCTTCTTTTGCGTCAGCCTGCGTAGTTCAGCGGCTTTACTTCCCGGAACTCCGCCAGCAATTGAAGTTCTTTTTCTATCATGGTGCAGGCCACTTCTAGAAGAAGAACGCGGCTCTTGGTATAATCGTCCCTCTTGTAGTTCAGCTTTGGCTTTCAGGGCCTCCTGTCGACGCGCAAGCTTATCGGTATGGTTAGAGGCAAGCGTTATGAGATGCGATATACTGGGTGTAATTTCATCCACAATAGCTTGTTGCGCTTCTTTCAAGGTAGGTTCAGGAAGCAATTCGAAGTGCTGAGCAGAGATATGGTTAGCAACAAGTATAATGCAGCTGTTTGTCAAAAACTACCATAAACTTACCCGAGTAGACTGGAGTACTTTGCAGAGGCGGGGGAAGTCGTTTACACCTTCATCAAGGATATCGATTGAAGATTCAAGTAACTGCAGAGACGCCCGGAGAGAAGAAACTGAGGCAGACAGCGCGGATGCCATTGTAAATGCAGACTTTAGCCTCTTGAATTAGGCGTTTGGATGCTTATTGTCTTTTTACCTACTGCGCTCCTTGGTACTCGCGATGTTTCCCTCGCCCAAAAGTCACAACAAGCGCCTGTCACGTGACTCGTTGTCGACGAAAAGTTCCGAAACTCCAACTTCAACCTCAACGCATCAATTCTCAAGCCCGAAGACAAGTTATCGCCATCCCACCCGCACAACTCAGGACAGAACCTCGTTCCGCCTTCACCCTCCTCAGTCAAGATGCCTCTTCTCCCAAAGAAGTTCCCGGCCCTCGTTGGTCCGTACCTCCGCGCTAAGTTCCTAGACGGTGTCTTTTCCGGACGTTGCTAACACTTCAACCAGCCAAACCAATTGCTCCATTCTTCGTCGCTGGTATGTTTTAAGATAGATTCGCCATTTATGCCGACGGGATTCCGCACTACCTACTTTGTCCATCCCTTCAACATCAACTCCGGCTGCACAACGGGCTTCACGCAGAACTTTGTTCCCAGTTGGCATCCAGCTAACTAATTTATAGCATTGGTCGTCGGGTACGGAATCAACTCTCTCCAGAATGCCATGATGAACTGTGAGTCGACCTTGCTCCTTGGAAATACCGCTGTCAAGACACATTTCTGCGATGCTGGATAATGCCATGTCCACCCGAAACCCGAGAGAAGCCATTCTGGGCACCAAAAATGCGTTATGAATACCGGAACTAACATTCTATTTTTACTAGCTGAGGAATTCAGAAACGATCCCCGAAACCCCAATGCTGGCAAGCAGAGCGGAAAGCACTAGATGGTGTGAAGGAATCCATGAAAAACAACTGTACTGTTATATCGTGGCCGGATAAAATGCGTGCTATCCCCAGCCGACGTTTTTGATAAATCAGAAGTGCCTTTGTACATTGAATATAGAGAGATGCCATAACAGTTCTCAATTGATGCGTTTCCCCAGATATAAGACTCGAATGGATTGCCATCGTCCTAGGTGGCTGTTTTAAGCTGAAAAACCATCAAGCTTGTGTTCGGCCGCCGATGGAAGTACCGTACCGTTAGGCACTGGCCCTTGCTGGCCATACCAAGGTAACATGCTCTATCAAAGCCTATCGTAATGCCAATTCACAATGTAGGGCATGAAGATGACTGGGGTTGACAATCCCAAGTCCCCAGCCCAGATTAAAAGGCTTTTCTGGGCCACCGTCAACTACTGTATAAACCGTTTTCGTACTTTTGGAATATATAGAATTGCCGTGCATTGCAATACTCTCAAATTTATATGTAGTTGGTTTTTGAGTGGCCATGTCTTGGCGCTAACCCGTTTGGGCAATATACCGTTTTCCTCGAAGCCAGGGCAAATTTCAACGTCAAACCCCCGACATCACCGCTAGCAACGCAGGAAGAACGATTCTATTACCCATATCATAAAACACCATGTCTCAATTCCGTGCAAAGAAGCTGGACCTCTCCGGATTCATCAATGCCCGTGTTATTCGTGATCACACCAAGCGAATGGTATTCGCTGAGAATGAGCCAGAGAGGTAGGCACCTGCATCCTCTATATCCCAATGAGTTGGAGTCAATTTGCCCCGGTTGCGCTTCTAAATATGGAGTTTCTCTTCTCTTTGACCCTGTGCTGACGTCTTTTCTCCTACCTAGACAAGCTCTTCGATATATATCCCACAACACCAGTCTACCTATGCGAGTTCGCGCTCAGGCGCAACTGAAGCTTTCTCAGATGCACGCCTATACCAGACCGTCGCAAATAAAAAACAGATGTATTGCTGGAGGAATAGCAAGGGGTGTATTCAGGGACTTTAAACTGGCAAGAGTGAGTTTTATTCCACCAGTACGACTGCTAGAGAGTGATATAATATCCTTTGCTGACCTGCCTTTTTCCTTTCTTTCAGTATCAATTCAGAATGCAAGCCCTAGCCGGAGATCTCCCTGGTGTCAGGAAGGCCAGTTGGTAAAGCTTCGAAATTACGTATAGTACCTCGATCAGTTCATCCGACGACCCTCCTCTTTCCTTGCCTTTTGTACATGTTTAAAGCAACACTGGAGTTATAAAGGCGGTATATGGGACATGTATATTACAGAAGATTTATAAATTTATCGATTGCCAGGATTTCATGAAGACCTACAGCCAGAACTAAGAGATGCCCGCCGTAAATCGTGGTGGCCCACGATGCTGCCCAAGACCGAGAGCTCTCTTAATTATGGATGCCTAAACCCAGCGCTAACCCATGTTTTAGAGCGAGGTAACTAATTCCGCACGGCACGGCAGGGAGGAGCTCTCTCTTCCCAGCTGCAGGTGAAGATTTCATGGTGCCACTTAGCTCCAAACCCCCCATAGAATCAGGCGGCCTCAAAGGGGCGTTTTGAGGCTGATTTTTTTCCCGGTCACATTTTCTTGGGTGGTGAGCTAGTTACGCTATGTCTGCTATTTATAAACTCCCAGAGCGTCTGAAACATCAACCATCTGGTGCCTATCAAGAGCTGAGGTTCCTGGATCTCTGAACCTAGCTCTGCAGATAGCGAGGTATGAGATGTTGATGCTCATGCCAATAGGAGGCTAGGTCTCATGTAGCTCCCCAGGTCTTTTATATCCCTGCATCCCAGAAGGCTCGGACGGAAAGCTGCTTTTCATCGAAGCTCTACTCTCACATTCGTTTGCTTTCTTGTCTTCATATTTCATCAATATTGCATCTAATTGGCTCTCTCTGTGTATTCACTGGGGTGTTGCTGTCACTTGGTCTGGCGTGTTCCTTTCACTTGCTGCTGGCTTGCGTTCATATAAAGATACCCGTCTTAGCTCTCCTTCTTTTCTTTCAGCCAGATGTTGGACCTCCAGGGACTCTGTTTCTCTCTCCTTCACATTCCGAGAAAGCTCCATCTCGCTCTACTACAGCCGGTATCTCGAGCTACCAAGTCGGTTGTTAAGCGAAGCATCATGTTTGTTTTCCAGAGAGAGGACCTGCCCAAGGATCCTGTGTTTCCTGCAAATCTCAAGCAACTCGGGTGAGTCACTGATTTATCTCAATATTCCCCTAACTTCTCCGAGCACTTCTCTTCTCTATGTATTCACGCTCCTTCACGCGAAGCAAGGCTAATATGTATGACTGCTAGATATTTCATTAATGACAAGGATGAGATACGCATGATCTCGAACCCAGAGGAGAAGTTTCTCTATAGAATCAACGCCAATGAGCGTTACAATGAGCTCCAGAAAGAAGCGATGAACAGTGAGTCCTTCATATTACGACCACACTCTGGTCTCTCTCGCTGGTTGATCCCTACTGACATGATAATAGCTTGCATTCGAAACATCGTGATATCCCGCCTACATGATCAAGGGCTAGAGACATTGCGGCTGCCTCTCGGAGCTAAAGCAAATGAACAACACGTACCGATTCTGGTCTCCCCCACATTTAAAACAGACGAACGCATTATCGTTGTCTTTGGCGAGCCAGTTCAGGATCTCGGCATCTGGGCATACCGGGTTATTGGTCATGAAACCATCAACTCTGGGTCTGCCGTGGACTTCTCAGCAGCTGTCTTAGGCGGAAAAAGTGAATCTCCAGCACCAGGTCTCATCCTGACCAACCCTGGGCAATTAGTTTGGCACTGCGCAGGTGAAAATGCCATTTCATTACCTTCATGGCTGGCACTCCCCAGGAAACACGCCGTTGACCCGCCTATGAAGATGACCGTTCGAAACAAGATACCCGGGCATGAAACTTGGCAGGACCATATTACGTATGTTTTTGATGAGGTGCTGGGTAAACTTGCTCCAGATGCAAAGATTGATATTATTGGGCTTGCAGAGGGCAGTCTTGCTGCCGTTAGGTACCTAGCTGAGCATTGTAAGAACCCCTCCCTATCTGCATCCTAATCTATAGAAATGGGATATTAAGAATTAACGGTGTATTGGACAGGGTCGACGTGGAAGTCTCGCATATCTTCCATGGCACTTGGTAACCCGTTACATGACATGAATCATCTGCACCCAGCTGAATTCGCAGAGTTCATATCGACTCGTTGCCGCGCTTATTTGATCTCTGATAAAGAGCTAGGTCAGCCTGTGGCGGGAAGATACGAGTATGGCTGCAACTGTTATTCGTCTGGAGAATCAAAAAACGTCGAATGCATCATCCCTCGGGCCTATGAAAGTATGCTGAAATGGCTTGATGATATGCATGACAAACCGGAACTGAAGGAGACCGAGGTTTTTGTTAGTGAGGACTTTGGGATTGCTGAACCTGGCGAGGAGTTCGGCGGTGAGAATGGCAACGGTGCTGTGGTAGAGGAGCTCAACTAGACATCTCTACGCAGATGATGAATTGATATGATACTGTTTAGCCGGGGAGAAAGGGTGTTAAGCCGCTCAATTACTTTATTTCTTATGTCCTGGAAGCGAGCGAATTATGAACCATAAACAAGCCTAATACGATGAAAACCGCTATGTATCCCTTTGTGCAATTTAACCGCAATGAAAACAAACAAAAACGTATCCGGATTAAATAGAAACTGGCGGCTAAACTTCTTCCTCGGCGGTAGGAAGATCAGGTGTACAAGCCCAGCTACAGCCTCTTCTCATGAATGGCAAAGGGTAGAACCTCTGTCCTGGCTTCCTTCCATGCTCCTGTCCACGGGTCTCAGCTGGTTTGCAATCCCACCATTCAATCCACCTTACTTTATCCATAACGTATGACTTGCCGCACACGGAGCAGATTTTCTCTCCTGTCTGTCTGACCTCATTCGCGAAGCTGAGAAGCCGAACAATAGGATCTTGATAGCGAGTGTTGCTGACTGAAGGCAGCGATGACGAGAACGATGACCCAGGAGGGGCCATAATTTCATCATCTTCGATAAAACGTGAAAAGTAAGGGGAACGAGAACAAGCCTTCAAGGCCAAATCACGAAGGGATGGGGTATTCGTTGGTATGATCCGTTGTCTGTCCACGGCACGCCCTTCCATATCAAAGTATTCGGGTGCACTGGTAGCAACATGAATTGGTTTCCACTTTTCCAGGACCTCGCTTGATATAGCAGGCGCATTTCCGTTCTCGGATTCGCGAGTATTAGGGTCAAGGGCAATAATTCCACCTACTTCGGTGTTGATATGCCATTTGACTACTTCCGATTGATCCAGACGAAGGAACCGATTTGGATACAAGGTGATGTTCTTCAGCACTCCGTGTTCCTGCATTAAGCCTAGAAGTTCCCAGGGCAGGTACCGTAGCTTATTCCCACCTACGTTCAACTCTTGAAGCAGAGTAAGTTTTCTAATAGCGCCGGGTATTTCCGTGAGCTTGTTCTGTCGAAGGCTCAGAAATCGGATGTTCACCAAGTCAAACACTTCCTTTGGAACATAAGTGAGTAAGTTACGGGTCAGGTACAGCTGGAGGGATGGTTCCAGGGGGCTGAATATTTGAGCTGAAGCCCCGTGTTCGAGCACAGTTGGTTGTTTGGTTAATTGTGCTAGAGGAGGAAGGATATGCGGCGGGATTGTGCCCATGTCCAGATATCTAGTGGGCCAAATTAGTTGAAGAATGAAAAGATAGGACGAAACAAAGCCAGGACTTACGAGAGATCAACCCTATCATCTCCCTCATCAAGACAGGTGTTGATAATTTGTCTAGCCTTTGCATGAGCTGTAGACTCAGTACTCCGGCTCCCCTTTGCGACTGGGCTCTTACTGCTGCCTTCAGTGGGTCTATCCGCAGTTTCAGGCACCGGAAACCTTCGAGAAGCACTGCCACGAGTTGTACTCGCAGGACGACCGGTCGACACTCCCATCTCTTCACAAAACACGGAATCATCCGACCCACAGGTGAAGACAGCAGCAGACTCGTCCCCATCGTCAGTGGTATCGGTACTGCCCAACCAGACACCACTGTCCACGTTCCTCTTACTCTTGAACCCCATCCTCTTCGTCCGCTTATTCTGCATGGACTGTAACTCCTTTCCCAGCTTCTGTCCCCACCAAGTTCCTCTATAACGTCTTTTTCGGCCTATTGGGCCCTCTGGCAAGCCATCTTCAGCATCTTCCTTGGCCGTGGTATCATAATTCTCCAACGCTGACGATTGGAAGTCATCGCTGGAGAAGAGCGGCGGATCACTCGACGGCGTTCCGCTGCTCCCTAGAAGCTTGTTCAACGACTTCGACGACGTGGACGAGCCATATGGGAAATGAGGACGAGTCTTCGATGACTGAGCTGCGACTCTTATCTTGCGGTTGAGCCGGGGCGGCGATGGGAGCGGCGGGTCAGAGTCCATTGTTTGGGTGGTAGGTAGGACAGACCCGTGGTTGACCATTAGTTATAACCGGACTTCTCTCCAGATTGAATGCATGAGAATCAGACGGAAGATGCACGCCCACGATCAAAGCCGACGACACGCCCGTACGTGCCACAGTGAATACTGGGATACGGACACCCGGGCGGGCGTGAGGAAGTGATATTTCTATGTTATCTTCGTCCTCGTCGCGACGACGCGCCTTTTTAAAACGTCACCAAAAGGCGCGTGGCACGTGACCTGTTGCACGACCTGCGAGAAGACGGTCTCGACTACGATAAGATGGGCGATAGATGGGCGATAGATGGGCGATAGATGGGCGATAAAGGATAGGCAGAGTCGAGCGAGTGACAGCAGAAGTAGATGGGTGGATGGGCAGATGGGCAGATGGCGGAGATGTTTGCTTATTCTTGTGGGGAGAAGCGAAGACGCTGGCCGAGAGTAGCTGACGATCACAGCCATCAGACATGCATCTTGGTAGACCACAGTTGAGGCTACATTAATTGATAGAAAGGGGTTATGTTCAGTTCTAGCGTTTCGCATTAATAGCTTTTACTCAGGGATATGCCTCCTTGGAACCCTTCTGGATCTTCGCGACAGGTTTGGTGTCAACAGCCTGTCAACTTGTCTTGGTGGGAGCTTTGTCGAGCTCGGCCGTTTGAGAGCATCGATGTCACGGCCATAGTCGGTAGGATGTCTTCTATCATGGTATATACTATCATGGTATATACCTGTCTATTATCCGAGAGAAGCCGGATCGTCTTTATCGACCGGGTTGACGTCTGGTCTCCCTCTCACTTGGCTATCGCCATGAAACGATAGATCAGGCCACCGAGTGTCCCGACTCTAGTTCCTCACCCACGCGGAAACTCCAGTTTCGGCTTTCGGCTGTCGCATACCCAGTGCCTACGTCACATGTAGGAGGGAGTGAGCGTGCCTTGCATGAGTCCTGCAGCAAGCTATGGCGAGAATCCACCTGTCAAGACGCTTTCGCGTTTAGTCGACTAACTAGCACCATGCATGTATCACAGTAGCTAAATATGCAGCATGGGTCACTGTACCTGGAGACGCCAGACATGCACATACCTTGCTCGGCCCGAAGATGTTTGCTACAGCGGTGAAAGAAGAACAAAGGATCCTACTTTCATTTTTTTTTCTCGGCTTTTTTTTTTTTTATAATATATGTATGAGTGTGGCAATATGAGGTGATGGTAAAAAAGGGGAGTATAATATCAAGAAGCGTTATCACATGAGATGATGGAGGTAGAGGAGGTAGAAGAAGTTGAAGAAGCGAAGTTGAATGTCAAAATTTAGTACCAGGACTTAAGACAGAAAAGCTGGACCGGGTCGAGGCACTGCCCTCCCCTGAAGAAAGTAGATAGATAAAAGATAAAAGGGGGAGAGACAAAGGTCGGTGAGAAGATGGGTGTTTGCATATGATTGACTTGAGCCAGAGTCAGTATGCTCACTCACACTAGAAAGAAGTGAAAGATGGTATCGAAAGGGGGTATGTAGAAGAATAGAAGGTCGTTGAAGAGTAAAGGGAAAAGGGGCCATTCGACTATCCATATAACATAACAAGGGTCTGAAAATCGTCGTAAATAACCTCCTGGGCCTTTGAAAGGGGGTCAAGAGAAGAATAATAGGCGGATGAAGTGAGCTTTGTTGAAAAAAAAAAAAAAAAGTCCATAAATCGGCCCAGGAGAGAAAGGTAACTGTCGAAGAATTGCGCGCGACAGAAGGTTGAGTCCATGCCCAAGAGTGATTCCGCTTATAGAGCAGCGCCAAAAAGAAGGGCGACAGAGCCAGCGAGGAGAGCGGAGCCGTAGCTGGCGACCATTGCTGGAGCAGCGTTGAAGGTAGGCTGAGGGGCAGGGTTGCTGCCAGTGGAAGTAGGAACGCTGCCAGTGGGAGTAGGAACGCTGCCAGTGCCGGTACCGGTGCCCCAAGTCTTGGTCATCATGGAAGATGGGTAGGGAGCAGTGCTGTTGGCGCTAACCGGAGGCTTCATGCTAGGAGTAGGCGCAGAGACAGAGTGGATGATGGTCATAGTCACTGTCTGGGTGTGAGTGGAAGTAGAGTAGACAACGTCTTGGGCGGCGCAAAAGGGTGCGAAAAGCACAAGGAGCGCAGAGAGAAAGGTAATGAAGAAGCGCATTTTGGCGGCGTTTAAAATGTAAGATCGAATTGACAAGATGTCGCTGAAGGTAGAACTGAAGAAGCAGCGGTCTTTATAGACGAGCAGAGCAGACGAAAGGTCGAGAAGTCGAAGCTGGCAGTTGGGCGCGTACTGCTACAGTGGCTTGTCGCAAGGAGGGAGATGTCGCAGAGTCGCAAGTAAAGAGCAAAAGCAATGCAAAGAGCGTGGGAGCTGTAGAAGCTGGAGCCGAAGCCGTGGGTAAAAAGAGCGAAAAGAGCGACTCTGTCCAAATGAATGACTGGCGATGGATAGAAGAGAAGAGGAAGGGGAAAAGAGAAAAGAGGGAAGGGAAGAAAAAGGCTGCACTGGGGGCGAAATATAAAAGAGTAAAGGATCTAAACTAGACCAGGGCGCATCCCAAAAATACGAGCAGCCTCTTCGCTCTCCCTCGCATTTTTCTCACTCTCTTTTCTTTTTCTCTTCCTGCGAGAAAGTCAAATGCAAAGCTACGTGTGAGCCTCTGGAGCCGCCCGACAGCTTTGTCTGCTCGTTTCGCTCTCATTCACCTCTCATTGCTTTTTGCTCAGGGAAAGGAGTGATTGGCCTCGCAGCTGTGCCGATCTTGATCTCAGCGTTACTCAGGTCCAACGGCCTTGAAGATTTGTTAGCCAGGGGACGTAACCAGTGTTGCTGTTATTCATAGTTGCCCTATTATTGATGAGCCAGTGGAGGGCGCAATTTCCTGGCAAAGTGACCCCTGAGGGGTTTTTCTCCATTTTGGCGCCTTGCTCACACTCTTTTTTCCCGTAAATCTCGTTTTCGTCTCTAGAGGGTGAGTTTTCTCTCTGTTTCTTGTCATCTTCCTTGCTGTCAGTCAGCCCGGGTGTGTTGGCAATGTGGGCGCTGGCATGCTTCGTGGCGTTCGCACAGTTGGCTGCTCACCGCAAGGATGGCCTCTGGGTTGGCTGATACTGTTATTTACCTGTTAGTTACAGGGTAAGTAAGGAGGCTTGCTTGGTTTCTTACCGAGTATCATATATCTCTCTGTTATTCCACGCGGTCATGCTGGCTGGTTAGGTAACAGCACATCCTTGATATCCCCGTCCTCCGTCGCACAAGATCCAATACCCCGTCCAGGAACTCCGCTTTCCGTCCAGAGTGCCCCTTCATGTCAAGAGGAGGGGTATTGCTTGACATTTAATATATGGCTAGCTTTAGAGACTCTTGACCTGCGGGCCGTGATACATCTTCATCTCCAGGACATTTCGTCAAGCGAAAGCAAGGCGTGAAGCCCTCGTCCCGGCTTACAAGGCTGTCGTGTGTTGGACTTACTGCTTTTGGGGGCGCTTATATAAACATCAGGCACCACCTGGGCAGGCACCACGCGGGGCGCTGACTCATCTTCATCGGACTTTTATTCTTCCATTTCCATATCAGGGTGGCACGGACCGGCAATGGATGAGGTCCTAACTAGACCTCCCTACAAAGAAGGCTCCTACCGAATTACCTACGGTAACCGGTTCAAGAGTCCACACTTTGGTGCTCAGCTCGTAGATAGGCGTACAGAATCCATGGCAACTCTTTCATCTCTCATCTGAACGCATACAAGGTTGGAAGCTGGATATTGAATGAAGAGCTCTCAAGCTGACGGTCTCTATACAAAATATAGACCAAAATTATCAAGGAGACGTATATAACCAAAGAATAAAATACAGACTTTCACCTATCAACAATAGAAATGCGATTCTATTTATCACGTTTACCAAATTAGTTCAAGTTACTCTGTTAATAGGGCTATGAACCCCAATAGGTACTTCCATACGCTTTATTCAGGTCTCAAACAAGGAGAACTCAGGCAGTTTTCTGCTAAGAGGCTGTTGGTGATACCATCCCTCGCCAAAAATTCGGCTTCCTCGGCACTGCAGGTAGGTGTATGAACATTCCCAGGGGCGCGGACGTCATTGTCCAAGTGTTATCAAATTCGTCTTTATTTCTGGGATCGATGCTTTCGAGGGTATTGTCCATAGCATTCAATTGCCAGACTGTTTCCAAGTATTCATAAACTAACTAGCCCACATAAATATACCAGGGATGAGAGGTTAGAGGTGTAGTGACGTAGGTTGTATACATACCCAGCTACAAGATTTCTACAGTCACACTGCCGAATTTCTTACTAGGTTCTCGAATTTCTCCAATCTCGGCAGGGAAATAAAGTTCCCTGGAGGATTAAGATACCAACCTTGTATAAAACTAGGCTATCATCATTAAAGTTGGTAGAGTATAAACTGGGTATTTGGGGACTCCATAATATTTGAAGTTATAGTTGAACTCACGTAAACAGTTTGGAGCTGCCGACCTAAACTCAGGCAAGGGCAGCACAGTGATCTCCAGGAATGACGGCAATAGCACCGCAATTGCCACGAGTATTTAAAGCTGGCACGCACACGCCCTTATTGTGAGATTAGCAGCGGTTGTGTTTGAAGGAGGATATACGGCAGGGTGCTGCGAATACGGATCACGGTGAGGTCGAGAGTAGAAAATTCCGTGTACGTCCAGGTATCAACAATGTTGCGTTAGCCTAATTGACGGTAGCTTGAGCAATGCCGAGACCATTCATACGAGCTGCAATTATGCCAAAAGTACTGGCACTAGTCCTATTCTGCCCCCATACTACGAGGAGCGTACCTTAGATGACTCACTACCGCTGACTGACATGATCTTCTGCCTAAATGGCCGTATCAGAGAGTCAGCCAACTCAAATTTTTCAGGTTTTTGCCAATAGAAACCCCAATAATAGCAGCTCCAAAGCACTGAATAAAACAGCTTGTTCCGTTCGGCAGAGCGTTGCAGATAAATCTTAATATTTTTGACCTTAGAGTATGGGTGATTGTGATCTCTCGTTCCTTGAGAGTTGTTTCCGGCAGCGGACCAGGCCTGGTGGGGAAGATAATAGTCCTTCTTATGGTCAAGATGCGTTACCAAAGTTTAGTGTAGGTGTATAGTAGTAGTATATTCCCCAGATACCACAAGTATAGATGAACTGTTTTTCGGACACAGCAATATCAGGGGAGAACCCTATGAAAAGAGGCTGAAGTCATACATTGTGTTCACTAAAGTCAGCAACCACGGTCCAATTTAAGGGTTTATAAGTAGCCATATGACATGACTTCGGGCAAGTGGTCAGCATCTTGGGTATCCTTCACCTGTTTTCGGGGACCTGCTTGAGCTCAGGCTAGAAGTGAGCAGGCCCACCAAGGGAAATCCAAGCATAAAGAGAACTATAGTAATCTGAAGTAATTTGCATATGAATATACAACTATGATTAGATCTCTTGAAAGATAGATATATCAAGACATGTATGTCCACCCTTATAATTCATGGGTCTGGTCTGCTCCTTCGGCGTTGAGAGATCCGTTGGTAGAATCGCGGAATAATACCACTATTTCCGGGTATATCATGGAAACTGCGATACTAATAAAGTGCGTGTTCCTTCTTGCTACATCTGGGTATCCTTCACCTGTTTTCGGGGACCTGCTTGAGCTCAGGCTAGACCAGCAATTGGTGCAGTATATTTGCAGAATACGCCGGTCTGTTGGTTTGCTGAGCAGGGGTCGATACTGCCATCCGTCTTATCTCATTAGTAGTGGTATATTTAATAACTAGAAGTGATATCCGATATATCAACCGGCCTTCAGATGCAGAGCGCACATTCAACGAGGCTGACTTGTCGTTCAAGTAGGGGCTTTGATGCGGCTCGCAGCTGCGGGCTAGAGCACTTTTGGTTTAGCGAGCGGCGGTCCGGCCCGCTTGTTTGGGGACCCTAATTGGCTAACTAGCGGTCAGAAAAGCAAACTAAACTTATGGAGCGGCGAAGTTAAATTCATAATGCAGACAATAAAGACTCGTTTTTTTACCAAGAAAATAATTATAGACCACAATTCGCCATACGAATATCTACCACCACTTCAACTCCCTGTTTTCTCCGTGGCACGCCGCTCTTCTTGGGTCATGGATTCTTGATAGTCTGCCATTCCCCTTCAGGGCAACCCAACAAGCCTACATCGTCTTAGAAACATTAACCGCCAATTCCTTTGCAAGCGGCTTGACAAGGCAAGGGCTGGCACTGGCAGTAGCCGCTCCCAGGCATTGTTCACTAGAGAGCAACCAGTAAATCCCACGCATTGATAGGGCTGTAGTCAGGCTGTGCTATTCTAACAGCGATTGACAGTTACTTCAATATTGGGGAGTGGTGCATTGGGAGAAATAGTGAAGCGGGCAGTGAATGTATCCGAGTGGTAAAGTCCTTCTAATAACGGGTAGTACTCCCTTAGTTTTATACATGTGCTTTTCACTCGAAAGAGCCATTCCACTGTGAAGGATCCGGGACAGCAGCTGATAAGGTCGGTGCCGTTGATGCCAAAGTAGTAAGTAGAAGTGGGCAGCCATGAGCTGCTTGTAGAACCATCACCTGGGAAAAGAATTTGCCACCAGTGAGGCCCTGAGGCAAGACCCCCACGTCTAAACGCAGACCCAGTGGAAATATAAAGGTTTCGCACAGACATGATGTAGGCCTCGTTATCGCGTGCGAAGATCAGGGAGACCCCAATGCCATTAATCACTTATGGGTAGAAAGGACGACGGTCGACGGTCCTCCTCGAATTGAGCACCTTGCCACCAGGGGCACAACAGATAAAAATAGGAAGATGAGTCCGGGTAGCAGCATTGTGGAGTCAGAACCAACTCTATTAGTCTTCAAGTCGGGATAGACAGATGCAATAGTTTGTCCAGTTGGTCTGGGGACTAGCAGCTGGCCGTTTTATATAAAAACTGTCAGATAATGAAATTCAGAGAAAAAGCTTCGCCGAACTAGGAAATCAAGGGGAGCTTAACAAGTTAGATTGCCAAGGGCATGCAGTGACGCACTAGAATAGCACACAGTTTACAGCAAGTAGTGAAGGGAAATGATCTAGCGATGCAGACATTCATGTATATGGATACATAATATAGACAGGGACCTATAACGGGAGAACAGCTGCCGGTGAATCTGAATCTAACAAAGGAGAAGCGTTGGCAATTGCTGCACCTAAAAGAAATCAGCCTTACAGACTTGCTTGTCACTTTGGATAATTCAGTGAGCTCTAGTTCACAGCATAGTACTCTGCCTTTTAATGAATTGTTTTCCATTAATTTATCCCGGTGTTGAAGAAACTCGGTATATTTGATATCACTATCCATTTACTACATTTGGAAAGATGTTCACATCTTCCGCTAACTCAGATCACTGTAGAGACCCGATATCAAGACATGAATTTCCTGACTCCCTTCACCATAAGCACGCTCGTGGCATAAGCTGGTGAGCAGAAGACGGTGATAATGCCTATATAAAGCATGGAAATTCTTCGCTGCTAGAAGAAGCTGATGATTTAGCAACTTAATTTTCTTCCTGTTCAAAATTTTGTGCATTACCAGCTTTATCTTCGCAACAGCTGCAATTATGGTGAGCATTCCGTTGATACTAGGAGCCATTATCCTCCTTGGTACGAGGAAGGCTGCCACAGCTGCCCTACCTCCCCGCCCCTGCGCTTTCGCTGTAACAGCGGCAACCGATGACACCTGTCAGTCCTTAGGTGCTCAATGGGGAATTGGTATGGCCCAGTTTTTGAAGTGGAATCCAGGTGTCAACTGTAATGCTCTAGTTGCCGGGAAGACCTACTGTCTGTCTGCAGGCGATTCTGAGCTTGGTCCAACTGCGAGCCTGACCCCATCTCCCCAAGTTCCAACAACTTCGAGGGCAACTCAGACTATGACTTCAAAGGCATCAACAGGTACTCTTGTCTCTCGCTCTGGACCAATTAAATTTTTGAATGGAATGGCCCCAGATTGCCTCTTCTATCACCCGGTGAGTCCAGGTGATACCTGCCAGAGCATCGTTGATAGGTATAAGGCCTTCACCCTCGACCAGTTCTACACCTGGAACCCTTCCGTTGGTAAGAACTGCGAGTCTCTATGGCTAGGATATTATGTGTGTACTGGTGTCAAGGGCGGACCAAACTCTCCTTCGCAGCAGCCTCCTTCGCAGCAGCCTCCTTCTCAGCAGTCCCCTTCTCAGCAGTCCCCTTCTCAGCAGTCCCCTTCTCAGCAGCCCCCTTCTCAGCAGCCCCCTTCTCAGCAGCCCCCTTCGCAGCAGTCTAATACGTCCCAACAAACTCAGCCAAATGTTAATTCCAAGTGTAAGTTCCATATCTTTTGTCTGGGAACCTTAGCTTATATGGCATTTGACTAACATCCGTGCCTTAAAGGTAACAAGTGGCATCAAGTAGCCCCGGGGGACTACTGTCAGAAGATCGCTGATCAATACAATATCCCTCTTCAGACCTTGTAAGTTGATATAAGCCTTTGCCCCTGAAAGGTATAATTCTGACATCAAGGGAATAGCTACAGTTGGAATCCGTCTGTAGGCAGCACCTGTGCCAGCCTCTGGGCAGGGTATAATGTGTGTGTTGGATCTGCCTAAGTTGAGTGGCTCTTTGGAAAGGCGGCGGGTGGTTAGTGGAGGTAGTTAGTTTGAGCATCCAATGAAGTTTGATCTGTTTTCCACCAAACAGAGTAGCCAACTTATATGTTATAGTAGTATCAAAAACCCGGCCGTGTGGATATACTCGCCTCCAGCTAGAGCAGCCATGTGGCGTAACGGTCAGCTCTCTGGAATGGCCCGCTTTTCTTCAGCTCCATTGGTGGGTATAACTAGCTCCTTGATGGTCTGCGATTCTTCATCAGGATAACTCAGCAACTCCAGTATAGTTCTGGAGCTTGCGCACAGAATAATTATATCAAGAGTGTTAAAAAAAAAAAAAAAAAAAAAAAGGCACTTTGCAAGGGTGATTTTCAGGCGCGTGGAATCACAAGCGGAAATAGGACGTGGCTCGCGAAAGAGGAAGCAACAGAGAAAGATAATTGAAAGGGACAAGGTATTCATTCGTGCATATATATTCATGGTCCAGGCAAGGATCAAATGCATGGGAAATCAAAAAGCACAGAGGAGGTATTGTCTAAGCGTATTACTTATTCCGGGGCTGCCGGAAGGTAATTTAACTTTCCAACAGATAGAATTGCTGCGAGCCCATCGTATGCTGTACTGTTGGTTGGTTGTGCGCCTGATGTTCAAGGGGGTATGGTGGCTAGAAAGATCTAGCAGCGATGTATCACCTGCCTGGGGAGTGGTTAGCAGTTCATATCTTGGTTGGTTTTAGTTGCTGCCTTGACCATACCAATCACTGCGACCTTGGCTAGTACCCGGCTTGACCTAAACGCAATTATCTAATTATCAATAGGAAGGCTTTGATCATTTAGCTGAGTAAAATCAAGGTGTTGCAGCTTTCCCATTGCCAAGAAGAAGGAAGACCTGTACTGCAGATCCGATCTTGGTAGTTCATTATCGCCGAAAATAGGCCCAAAGGCCTTGGCCAGCCTAGAAGTGTGAGTTATGATATTTCCGTATGAAAGTACTCGGCCATTAGAGCTCCTGGATCATATGGTTTCTGGCTAACAGCATCATTTTTTTCGGTGGCATATGCAAAGATAGCCTCTGAGGAATAAAGGAGTCTCTCCTTGATTGATTCGGTATTGTCCTTGAGATATTTCAAGGTTGTCAGCTGATAGCCTCTGGAGCGCATGATGCTCGTATTGAGCTAACCACAATAGATAGCGGCATTTGGGCTAGATATTATATTGGAAGCACTTAAACTGAGATATTCTACCGAAGGTAGCTGATGTTCAGTAGTGAAGGGAGATAGTGGCGGTTGATGCTGCGGATAGCTTAAGCATAAATCGACAAAACTACCAAAAACCGACCTTGATTTGACTTCGCGCGTAACATGGTTAGCTGGTGATTAATGTCCGGATCAAACTCCATGGGCCATGGCCTGAGAATGGTAAATGATCTCCTTCGAAGGTAGTATACGAACCGTCAGTCACACTTGTGATGGCTTTCTCCTGACCTACTTACATATTTATCTGGTCATTGCTTTGCCTGCCAGTGGCGTGTATTCGTCCCAAGGCTCGGGGACCATCAGTTCAACTATCGAAGAAAGTATTTAGAAGTTTGGTGGCTTCTCTGTGGGTAGAGAAATACCGGAGGCACCAGCGCCGCAATACTCAGCGCATAACAGAGCCACAAGTAACCAGCACATAAACTGGCACCCCAGCTTGAAGTGCAACTTAAGTAGCCTGTATGGAGCCTGTTACCAAAGACAAACCGACAAGCCATCAGCCATGAATCAAACTCATAGCCCGTGCAAACTGGTATCCAAGAGAGAAAGACGGAAGACAAGACGCCGTTTCATTAAATGTCATATATCGCTATTCAACCCTCCCCATGCTGTTGTACAGATTTTGCTCCAAGTGACATGGAACGGTGTGATCAAAACAAGATAATACACAGTTTCAGTGCGTTTTAGTCTCTCCGGGCCTGTGGGCGGTGCTGGAACTGGCCGGGGATAAGCATCGGCCGTCTATGGGCGGCAGACCACATCTGGTAGGCGCCCGGGTGGCCTTCTGTCCTTATAACACTGCCAATCGACATAAAAAAGCTATCCACCATTAGCCTCCACCGGTATGTTTAGGTATCTATGCCATTGAGCAAGACACTGCTTACCCAAATGTAGCTCCCGAACCAGCCATGTATTTGCCTAGGGTGCGCATTATACCGTTTGGACCGGCACCGTACTGGAAGATCGAGACGGTTCCTGGTGCCGTTAGTTACTGGACTTGGAGCAGAAAGAGAGGAGCCGTGGAATCAATAGCGTACCAATGATGAAGCCCATGATCAGGCCAACAGCTGTAGCCAGTTAGCTTGCGGGAAGAGTCAGCGGAAGCTGCCCAGGGAAGACTTACATCCGCCCATCATAGCACCCATTTTCACTGCACCAACTGGTTAGCTTCACTCTTTTCTTCGCTCTCTCCTTCAGACCCTGGTAGGAATGCGTACTCTTGTCAAATGTTGATGGCGCCTTCATCTGGCCACCACCCGACGGCATAACTGGAGGCATCTTGACCTGTCTGTCTGTGGCTGCTTCGTCTGCTTCGTCTTCGTCTCCGTCTCACTTGGTCCTTTCCTCTCTGCTCACTTGCAGCTTCGTCGTCCTTATTATTGTATGTCTTCGTCTCTTCCTTCACCTTCGCAACGTCTGGTCTCCCCTTCCCTTCATCTGACTAAGCAACTTCTCATTGGCTCTATTCTCATCATGTGACTTCCATTCTCGGTCAATCAAGAAAATCCAAAAAAACCCTCGAAAACTTGAAGCAAAAAAGCGAAGAGAGCGAAGAAGCAAAGAAAAAAAGCGGACGCAAGAGAGCGCGAAAAGGACACCAAGACAGGGTGTTTTGCAGGGCCAGTCGACACTGACGGTGAAGGGTGGCGTTGGGTGCTTCATCTCTCGCTCTCTACCCGGTCTACGAACGCCGTCTCCTGCTTTTACGGGGGGGTCTGGCGGCCGGTTTTGTGCACAGTTGCTTGCTTCATCCTCCTCCCCATATAACCTGCTACCCTACTGCAAACAAGACGCAAGCCGCCTCAGAAAGAGGACACGCGACTCGCTATAGACCTTGGCCCCTTGCCTATAGACTGCCCGTTGCGTCTGGTATGTGATGTCCTGAGCCAGCACTCGCGTGGTCTAATTAAAGATAAGGTTGGATCTGCCAGCAGCAGTGTTATTCACCGTCTGTATTCTCACGATAGTCACCGTCACCGCATGCGGCCGTCCCCGGCAATCAGCATCACCCCGTATGCTGCTATTCTCGATATAGCCCTACAGCACGCAGCCTAGGTCGAGACTGGTTGATCCGGACCGTACATATCTTCTTCCCCTTTCCCTCTCGTCACGGCTGAGAGAGATACATTCTCGCCCTCTCTCGCCCTCCCTCTCGCTCTCTCTATCTCAAGGAAGAGGCCCGAACCCCCAGAAACAGATACGCCCTCTCCATGACTGCTGTTGCGTCGCCACCCAGTGTGCAATCCGCGCCTCGTCTAGGATGGTACCCGACTGGTGACGGTGGACAAGGTTCCCTTTCCTCAATGAGTGCAGACGAGGTCTCGCGAATGTTGATGCCACGCAAAAGTGTTCAGCGGTCAAATTCCTCTTCTTCCCTCTCCTCGAACTCCTCAACCTCCTCAACATCGACGGTTACCTCCCAGCTGCCGATACAGGCTCAGAGTAATGGTGTTTCTGTTCCAGCCCAGGGATCCAGTGCAGAGTCTTCTTCCAACGCAACCACCAGAAAGAAACCGTCACGGTACACCTGGTCCAGCTCAAAGGCAGATCCGGTCTCGGGCGTGACCAACACTCGGCCTCAGACGGTGTCTGTTCCTCCATCGGGAGTCTCTGCCTCGTCGGCCATGTCTGCTCTTCACCAGACACCTCCCATGGTTCCCCTGCAGCACATCATGCCACCACAGCAGAATGGAGTACGTCCCGGGAGTAGGCCGCCCCATGAACCAGCCGTCGTGCTTTCTCTACTTCCTATAAACGGTACATTTGAACGGAAACAGATCAACGTGCCTTACTTCCCAGAGGTACTGCGTATTGGACGCCAAACGAATGCCAAAACACTTCCCACCCCCGCTAATGGATACTTTGATTCAAAAGTCCTCTCAAGACAGCATGCTGAGGTCTGGTCTGACCGAGCTGGAAAGATTTGGATTAGAGACGTAAAGTCATCGAATGGAACCTTTGTCAATGGTCAAAGGCTGTCCCCCGAGAACAGAGACTCTGAACCCCATGAACTGCGAGAACATGATGTCTTGGAACTCGGTATCGACATTATCAGTGAAGATCAAAAGTCAATTGTCCATCACAAGGTTTCAGCAAAGGTCGAGCATGCAGGCATCCATGGACCTAATATGAATATCTTAGACTTGAATTTTGGTGACATAGATCCCACGACGGGTGGTGGCCTCCTCCCTCACCACCTGAGCCAGCCTCTGTCTCACATGCGTGGCCGGGCTGGAAGTGCATCCTCGACTGCAAGTGCAGCAAGTGTACGCTCTGGACAAAGTCTGCCCGGAAACCATATCAACCTCCTCCACCAGCAGAGGCAGATGAACTATTGGTCTTCTCCAATTTCAATTGAACAGGTTGTGAAAAAGCTTACGGTATGTCTTTGCCCTTTTATCTTATACTATCAAAACATTAATACTAACTTTTTACTTGACAGTGTGAGATGAAACAGGCAAAGCAGCTGAATCATGACCTTGGTCAAACCTCTGGTTTCCTCAGCACTATATCAAACCCAGAGACCTCTAACAAAGAGCGGGCCAGTCTTCTTAACAATATTGCCGAGAGCCCCGTCGGGACAAAACCACCTGCTCGGCCCAAGCTAAATAAGACGGATTCCATGTCGAGATTCTCCGACCCTCCTGCACCACCCCCACAACAACCTCTTCCCGAGAAGCCTGACGCTCCACCGCGGACGTTCTCTACCGACTCACTGCCTAAAATGTCGTTAAGAAGAAATGATACCGAAAAGGCCAAAGCCGCAACTGATATCACCCCGGCCCAGTCGAGCCAGATACTATCTTTAATTGAAGCCCTGACCACCACCAAGAAAGAGTTAGACCTGCAGGCTAGCAAAGTCAAGCAGCTTGAGAATATGCTGCGTCGTGAGCAGAGTGCTCGTGAGAGTGCTGAGGAACGTGCTCGAAAATTAGAGAGCCAGCCACCCGGTCAGGTTTTGCTTTCCAATGGTACTCATCCTGGACCAGACGAGCAAGTGGACGTGGACTTGGGTGTGGCCGAAGAAGAAAGCAAGGCTCTGGACGATTCCACCACCACAGAATCCCCAGAGAGAAAAGACTTCAAGCCGATCACCAACGCCGAGGGTGAGGATGTGTCTCCCCCTATAGTACCAGAGCCCTCATCCGACGAACTGAAGCGCCGCATCGACACGCTGCTGGCTGAGATGGAAGCCGCGAAGAAGCAAATGAACCATTACAGGGAATCTGCTGAGCGGGCGGAAAAGGAGGCTGCCGAGAGTCGCCAGACCCTCGCAGAAATGATTGAGAAGATCCGACAGGAGAAGGCTCAAGAGAGCGCTACTGCTGCTGCCTCTGCCTCCAAGGGCTCGCCGCGGTCCAGAGGTGTCTTGGAAGCCGAGGTTGAGACCGCCACCGCCGCTCCTCCGGGTGAGGAATCAGCATCCCGCTCATCCACCACCAACATCGACAAGGTCATCGAGAATTGTCGCTCCATCGACCCGGAGGAAATAAGGGAGCTCGAATCTGTGGCAGCGGCTTTCGCAAAGCCGCAGCGGCAGGACTCAGTGTTGCTTGAGCGGTCTGCACCCTATGCCTCTATGCTTGGTGTTGTTTTGATCGGAGTCGGGATAATGGCGTACCTAAATGGTTGGCATAAAGTCGAACGATAACCGATTCGTTATGTTGCTTGCTTTCGAATGATCATGATACCCTTCCATTTGTCACATCGTCATGTTATCGATATATTCTACGACTTATACTCATTGTTTTATTCATTTCGAACCCCAGCGACCACAGCTTGTTGAGTCGAGCATTGCAAAAGACTATCTGGCCCATCCGTGAACTCGGCATCCTCCCCCCGACCGACCCGTTAGACGGTGAATCGCTTTAATCATCTCTCCCCCGCCCTCTTATTCCTATTTATTCTCTTCGTTTCTTTTTTTTCTTCTACCTAACCTGCCAAGTGTTGTGCGCGATTCTCCTTTGTGTCTCTTAATTTAGCTCCTACCCCTGTACCTCTATACTGACTTACTCACCACTGGTTGACGCCAAGTGCTCCTGGATCAAACGCCAACGGTGTATCCGTTTAACCAGACGCATTAACGACCTTTCTTCCCACTTTTCTCGATATCCCCGGACCCTGCCTGTTACCAGGCTGGCAAATATTTTTGTTTACTGTCAACGAATTTTCTTGCCTTCTTCCCTTTACTCCAACCTCAACATCACCCCCTTTTTCCTCCTGTACCTCTCTATTTATCCAACTACATTCCTTCCTTTCATCCAGTGTTCCATTTCCTTTTGATGCCTTTTCCTCTTTTGCTTACTTGCTTCTTTCCCCTTGTTTAATGCCTTTTTTTCTCTCATATTTTTTTTGCTTGTGCTTTACTACTATGGGCATTTTTGCTGGAAACCCATCATCGAGCCTTTTTTTTATTTTTTCTTTTTCTTTCCTTTTTTTTTTTTTAACTTTTATTCTCCCCGAAATGCCTTTATTTTGGACCCTCCATTGCCCCTGAAGTTTGGTCATGGCTTGGGGGGGGGAGGGGGAGGGCCTTAAACTAGAAGGCCTTTCCGTTGCCGTGTAATTATTGATACATATCCAAGCGTCTCCTGTGAATATTACACCATTACACCTGTACTCATCTTATAACGAATCTCCTTTTTAATTCTTTTTAATGTTGATGGCACAGATATCTCCCTCAGCTATGCTCACGCGAGATAGTTCTCTGTTTCCCCTGGGCGTACGGGAGCCGACAGAACTAGAACTGCCCTTTGTATTTTGAGTATCAGACGCATCAGACACAGTACCAGTAGCGATGTCGCACAGCCTTGCATAATAATAATAACAATAATAATATAATAATAATAATAATAAAATGATGGGTAAGAGATACTTCCGTCCGTCCGTCCCCTCATATCCCTGACAGCTGAAAATGCCCGAACATGTAAGTAAGGGTATTAGCAGAGTGGACACCTTCGCTGGCCCTTCCAAGGCCGCTGCCAGGGGCATATTGCACTACTTGTTGCTGCTCTGAGTTCTGGGCCAGGCCGTCTTTTCCTAGATAGGAGAGGGTGCGAACCTGCAAAGCCATCGATGTGCCAGTATAAGGTAAAATCCAACTTAGAACTGCCGTATATCCGTACTCCGTATTCTTCAATTGTATTAGGTAAAAAGATCCCCTCTAGCCTCCCGCATCGTCGCTAATAGGACCCCAAGGAGAAGCAAACTCGAATGCTAGCCGTCGGCGTAGAGAACTAGTCGGCGAGTTAACGCTGTTGTTGACGTTGAGAGAAACGCCAGCTCAACCGCGTGATGAGACCTGTAACCTTGTTAGCGATGGCACATAAAAAAATAAAACAAAATGTATGATCCTTGCCACCTATGAAATAATCTCTGTTGATTCGCAAGACGTCAATGTTTCAGCCCTTCCGTGACCAGCCGGGAGCGCCAGCAGCCCCTTCGTCGAGTGCGGATTTTCACCGTGGTGCCGAATAACAATAGCACGTTTGTCAATCACATCACATCATCACTTCACCCCCTGGTGGATTAGCAGGAGCCGCTATAGCTATATAACTAAGCACAGCAGCTAACTATATTATTTTAGAGACCGTTGCAAGACCGTTTGTTCTCCTTTCCAGCGGGGTTTCCCGCACACAGGGGGGAACGGTAAAGAGATCCATGGCCGGGCGAAAATCATAAGGGATGGCCAACACCCTGCAATAACACTTCAATAAGTATATCGAAAAGAAGACGTATCTACTGTACATTGGCAGCAGATAGGCCAATCCGACCAGTCTCGCTAAGAGCCCAGGAAATAAAAAAGAAATAATAAAAGTAAATCCCAACCACTGAAGCATAACCAAGGGCCGGGGAAGCTAGGGCTGATGGGCCATCATCAGCTGGATACGGGCAGCGAGAACCACGACGAGGACGACACAATTATCGCTGGGGATATCTTGTCCTCTGGGCGAATTGCATACGAGAGTGGAGATGGCGTATGGGGAAGGAAAATGTGAGAGAAGCAATAATAATAGGCTGTTCGTTTGCTGCTGGCTCGGAGTTAGACATCGGCTAAGACTTTTTTGTTGGCCGTGGATTGTCGTGGTACTGATCAACGAAGCGGCGTAGCTGTCAAAAACGCAATTGCCGAGTAACTAGTTCATGCAGCGAGACAGTTAGGCATCTATTTTCCCGTTGCCCTTGCTCCCGTTCTGTGTTCTGGAAAAAGGATGTATCGCGTTATCGATGCCGTGCACTAACCTCGGCATGCCTGGCACACACTGGGACGTTGATGCCCAGCCAACCGTCCTCCCCGTCCTTTCAAATCCAGGCCACGGCTCTGCACACGTTCAATTGCCTGGTCCCAGCCGGCCACGGACGAAAATCTCCTTCTGCCTGTGAATGCTGAAACCCGTTTGACCCTAAAAGAGACAACCAGCCCTAGGCTAGCTAGCGTGAAGAGTCGAAGGAACCAGGGGAAACACACATCGATCCCGTAAAAAAAAAAAAACCCCCACAAAACTCCGTCAAGTCGGAAAAGGGAAAACACCAGAATAAATGGAGAATTTGACATGGATGTGCCATATCGATGACGGGCTGTCTTGAAAATTCAGCGGTGATGGACGATCTCGCTGATATCCGAATTGGCCGCGGATTGGACTGCTGTTGCGCATCCTCCCTGCCTATGTACCTAACCAACCCCCTTCACCACCAGCCAGCCAACAGGGGAGGAAGCAAAAGAAAAGAAAAAAGTAAACATCAAAGAAGCTTCCGGGCTCGTTGATCCATTACCCTCCCCTTGGCATCAAAAAGGGCCTTTTTTTAGTTTTTTTCTTTTCATCTGCTTCTTCCTTTTTCTTTTCCCTTTTTCTTTTTTTTTTTTTTTCCCTTTTTGCTTCTTCTGAGGCAGTTTATCCTTGTCGATTGGATGGTTTCCGAGTAGCTAGATGATATATATATAAATGTGTATCCTCCACGGCCCTGACGCAAAGGGGAGGGAGGGGGGATAAGAGGATGGAGAGAGCACCGGGTCTATCAACACTCTGGTCCATCTGGCCCTGCTTTGCATTTCGAAAGTCGTTTTAACTAGCTTGCTGTTGTTGTTGTCGTCGTCGTCGTCGTTGTTCTCTGAGAGCAGTTCTGTTTGGTAATTTGTTTAGCTGTACGGAGTAATTGCATAGTTATTCATTGCTGCTGCATTTATCTCCCTGGATCTCCCTCGCTTCAATGGTACCCATGGGACCGCCGCGCAATATCCTCGTCCTGGGAGGCGGCATAGCAGGCATCGCGGCCGCCCTTGCACTGTCCAGGGAGCTCTCGCAAAAGGTACCGGACCTTAAGATCACCATCTTCGAGCTTCACAATGTGCCGTCGACGTCTGGGGGCGCCATCAACCTGAACCCGGCCGCCCAGCGCCATCTCGACCACCTGGGGGTGCTGGAGGAGCTCGACAAGATGGGAGCCGACGGGGGCGTCGAGGTCAAGGCGGTCGAGCTGTTTTCCATCCATTCTGGCCGGCGGCTGGGCCGGGTCGACTTTGCTGGCAAGGACGGCAAAGGCTACGGCGGGTATAAGGCGCGGCGCGTGATGCGGATATCGCTTCACCTGGCGATGCTGGCGGCCGCGGAGAAGACCTGCAACATCGAGGTCAAGTTCGGCAAGAAAGTGATAGACGGCATCGAGTCCGGCGAGACGGTGACGATCTTCTTCGAGGACGGCTCGAGTGCGGTGGGCGACCTCGCGCTGGGCTGCGACGGCGTGCACTCGCCCACGCGGATGCGGCTGGTCGACCCGTCGACGCTGTCCGAGTACACGGGCGTCTGCTTCATCCAGACGACCATCAAGGCGGACCGCATCACCGCGCCCATCCACTTCGAGACCACGGCGATGAACAGGGCGCGGCAGGGCGGCCTGCTGACGACCTACAGCCACAGCACCAAGGAGGACATCTTCGTGGCCGCGCTGGCAGAGGTCGACGCGGCCGAGATATCAGGCGACTCCGGCCCTCGCAGCCGCAATCCCAACAGACAGCACCGGCGGACGACCTCAGAGCGGCTGCGAGACGAGATCTGCGGCCGCTTCGGCGACTGCGCGATACCCTGCGTGCGGGAGATCATCGAGAAGTCGACCAACTGGGCGCTGTACCCGGTCTACCATCTGCCGCCGGACAGGAAGTGGCATACAGAACGGACTCTGCTGCTGGGAGACGCAGCTCATGCTGTATGTATCCTTGCCTCTTTGACTATGATACTTGGGCTCTGCTGACTTGGATATCTTCGTTTCTGTTTTAGATGCCTCCGAGAGATGAATCTGCGGCGTATGCCCTGGACGATGCTATTCTTTTCTCCCGCATACTCTCCCTGTACTACCACCAACCCGTCAAGGACTCCTTCGACATATACGAATCCATGCGCCGCAGCTCCGTCACCAAAGCATACAACGCGTCCAACGCCACCTGGATGGGCAGCAAGAGCAACAGCGGGCGCTGGGCCAGCCGTCTCGAGGCCTGTCTCACACCGTGGCAGATGTACAGGGACAAGAAGGCGAGAATCGGTGCTTGGGAATTCGATGCCAGCACAATACCTATCCCTCCGCCACCATAGCCAAGTCTCTTTTGAAGTCTATTGAGCCTGTTTCCCCTTGACCGCAAATGACGACCTTAACGAAATATCAAATAAAATACCTGCCAGGAACTAATCTACACACAAGGAGCTGTTTTCTGGCCCAACTATATATGATGTTATTGATATCCCATTTTGTCATTTTCTTTTGTTGTCTCTTTCGCATTTACCGGCGTTTATACGGTGTTGACATCCCCCTTTTTCTCTTCCCAATACCTCCTTCTCTCTCTCTTGCCGGAACGTCAAGGAAAACTCCCCTTGCACTGTCCCGGCTGTTTATTTTGATACCCGTGGAGTCGTCCTTGCTATATAGATGGCTCCCGCTTTCCTTCTTAACCCCTTTTCCTAGGATATTTGTTTATTAGTTTCTCCTCTGTCATATCTATATCATATCTTGCCTCCGTTCCATGTCTGCTCTTCTGTTGTTGCCCTCCTCTCAATCAATCAATCCGTACAGCATACGATAGAGTCCATCGATTAATAAAAAAAAAATCATATTCATTGACTTCAAGCCATTACTCTCTATCTTCCCCTTTTCTTCGTATCTTGGTCTCAAAATGGGACAGCTGAAACAACTTGCAGGCATCCTGGCGCTGGCCTCTCCCGCCATTGCCGCCTTCAGTGTCTATGCACTGCATGATCCGGATGCACTCAAAGCATCGCTTGGTGTGACCTCGGAGTGTCTTTCGGCTCTGTAATATATAGATATACCCCCCAAACCCTCACTGATTGTTGCATTGCTCATTTATCCTATAGGAACTACACCGTCGAGTGTGATGGCCCCAGTGCTGTTAGAGCCACCAAAAATTCAGACAACGACCGTACGTTGGTGCTTTGCTTTGCATCATTGTCAGCATAAACTGACTCCATTGCCTGTAGTAGCCTGGTCTATGGATGACCTGACGACTCTATGTACCGATGGCTGCTCAAAGTCCCTGTCCACCTGGTTCGATGCCGTCGAGCAGAAGTGTGAAGGCGAAGAAGTGACCATCAACGGCCTCGTTGTCGATCCAAAGGCATTTCCTATGAAATATATATCGGGATACGACTTGGCCTGTCTGCGAGATAGGTGCGGTTCTGCTATCCCTTATAGCCGAATGACATGCTAACCGAAGATTATAGCAACGACAACTGGTGTTTCTACGAAGCACAGGATTGGGACAGTGGTGTGTTTACAAGGTGACTATTCCCTCTACAATCGATCCTTTCTCTAAGCTGACCAGTTTCTAGCTGGGACAAGAAGCAGCCGGATGCTTGCAGCGGTGAAAATCCACCAGCCGATTGTGATAAAAAGGGCTCTGAGGAGGATGTGGACACCCTATACGTGACCAATTCGTACGATAAAGAACTGGTATTTCTTCGCCTTGCTCTATACCAACTCCCTGTTCGTGTGCTGATTTGCGTATATAGTACTGCAGCGAGTGCTTTATGCTTCTCTGGAGGCAGAGGATTGAGTCTCCCGTCTTCCCCCAGGGCAATCTCCTAGACCATTTCACCAAGCAGTTCAGCAAGCTAGAGGCTGCCTGTTCGACGAAGCTACCCCTGACAACACCAGCACCAACCGTGGTACTCGGGGCTAAAGACACCCTTCCACCAGCCACAGGCTACCATACCGATGGATCGACCGTGTTTAGATATTCTTCGCCTCCAGCACCAACAATTACTACCGAAGAGCCAATTGCAAAACGCACTGCTGCTCCCAGGGCCATGAAGACATTCTACACTCCCGGTAAGTGTCTTGTGCTCTGTTTAAAATAGTGAAGTGTCCAAAACTTGCTAACCTTTCCTAAGCAACTCCGGACCGGACACCGCAGCTAGGTGCAATGGCGCCTTGTGGTAAATACTACAACGTAGTTGCGGGTGACACTGTATGTATTTGCCTATCCCTGTCTCTTTAAATTACTTTCTGACAAAATATACTCCACAGTGTGCCTCCATATCCAGCGAATTGTAAGGTCTTCAGTACCTCTTATCAAACACAAGAAGTAACCATTGACCCCTGCATAGTGAGGTGACTATGGATGAATTGTTGACATACAACCCCGAGGTACGCTCCATACGTTTGGATTGACTCTCTACCAATTTTGATTTGGCCCAGAACTAATACCATGGGCTAACTGCAATATATGTAGCTTCACCCTAACTGCGAGAATCTGTGGGCCAATTTTGCTATATGCGTAGCCCCTGTCTCCCCAAACCCGATGACAGTAGATGGCAGCTGTGGAGAGAATAATGCTGGCGCGACTTGCGATGGATCGCCATTTGGATCGTAAGTTGTGGAGCCCAACCTTTGGGATAAGCTATTGCTAGTCAGACCACTAATGCAGCAACCTAATCGGAAATAGATGTGTAAGATCATCCCATTAGTTAAGAAGCGTGAGTTTTACGGAGTACTTTTTACTAAACCAGCTCACGCGACAGTGCAACAACGAGGGACGATGTGTGCCTTGTGGGCCCGAAGCCACCGCCGCCCCCGACGCCCCTGACGCCCAAGGCCAAACGGTTCACGACGATGAGCCGCCAGAAGAGCCGCATATTGAAGAGCCACCCAAAGACATCCCGGCGGGTGATGACGATGATCGCAAGAAAGCAAAACTCCCACTGCCTAGCGGCAAATATCCTCTCCCATCGAACTCCACTATGATCAGCAAGGATGGGTCTTGCAACGAGTATATCAGCTGTGTTGGCTCGCCATTTGGAGTCTGCTGCAGCACTAGCGGATGGTGTGGTTATGGGAAGCCATGGTGCGGTACGTTGCACTCCGTTCCAAAAAAAGACTTCTACCGCGCCTACTGAGTCTTCTTTTTCTTACGTATTACAGGTGTTGGCAATTGCGTTTCAGGCTATTGTGACACTGAGGATAAGGCATCCGGAAAACCTCAGTGATGCCGACAAAGCCCCTTAACGGTTACTTCATTGCCCTTTAGGCAATATGTCGAAGAGAACGCGTTACGTTGAAAAGGAAAGACGCTTGGGTATATCAGTTATCAACTATTTTTTTTTTTTGCGTTGGAGTATGGGGAACTTGCGTTTGTGTGGAAGCTTGAACGTAGCTTATTATTACATCGTATTTATACATTGGGAGCGGTTGCTTTCCCCCGTTCCTGGGGAATTAGGTCTGTTACTTTTGTGTGTACTCTAGTTATAGCATTGTGCTTCCACTTTTGGCGGCTATTCCCTTCATGCGAATAGCAGGATAATAAATATGATGACAATCGTGACAAACAACCGAAACCAACTAGGCCCGGGTCAAGTTGCTATGCAGCTTGTGGTGAACATCAAATAATATCCCCAGTAGATGTCCCAAATATTTCCGGCTATTCCTCGGTGTTTACAGAATCAGTCTCAGTATCACATAGCTTTCATTTCAGTGGCCCCACGGAGGCTGGGGTTGGTTGCAAAGGTCTTCTCCAGCCTCGCGGCCCATAAAGCGGCTCCAACTGTGTTCGTATACGTGAAAAAGAGAGATGCGAAGGGTACCATCTCCAGCACAAAGGCAGCGGCACCAAAGCTATTTTTTATTCTGAGCAAGGATGTCTTTCAGGGGGTAGTTGGATGCTGCGTTACTCACCTGGCATAAGCACCTCTGTTCCTCTCAAGCCACTGGTCACGTTCCATAGTACCCCATCCCTTCAGATAAAAGTATCTAGCATGTAACATAGGTCCAATCCTAGTTCCCTGGGCACCGATATACATCAATGTCCCCACAACCGGTATGAAATTCAGCGGCAAATACAGCAGTGATCTAAACATATTTGACAAGCTCATCGCGTTCATCAGCGAACCGCCTCCTTTCTTAATAAAATGCCCCAGACGAGCCATTGGATCAGAAGCAGATTTCAGTTTACGGTCCTTGGACACCAACTGTGTGTTGCCGCATGAAAGTAGTGTTCCATCGAACAGGTTAAGCAGGGTGTCTTGGTCGAACACGTAGCCTGATTTAGCGAGGTAGGATATTATAGTTGAACTCTCACTGAGGACTAGCAGGGCTGCTGAGAATGGTGCTATGAGAGGGCCCGACGTTAGAGCCAGAATGGCTGCCTGGGGTATATATGTGAAGAAGAACATGGCTCCGGTCACAGCAAGGGTCAGTGATAACGTTGGTGCGAGCTTTGATAACATAGGCTTGTACAGTGACGGGTGGGATAGGAAGTAGGCAATACCCTGTATTTTTGTTTCAAGTGGTTCAACTGTGTTAGTTTGCTTTTCTTCATATGGGACGAGATTGTACGGTATGATCTACCTGGAACGGGTAGATGTATGCGCCAGACCGCAAGCCATCTTTAGCCAGCGCCAGGAAATTGCGCAGTTCCTCTTGGGCCATACGCTTTATTCGCTCCATGATGCTGCGATATAGTGATTAGCCGGCAATTAAACGAGACCAGAGCGTGGATGTTGATCTGGCGCTTGATGGCGTAGATGGCGCAGTTATAGCATGTTGTTACAAGTTGCTTGTTTCTTCCAAGTTTGGGGTTCAAACTTAGCTATGACGACATCATGGTCACGTGGCTATGTATATTATATAAGCGATGTTTTGATATCAGGTGGAAGTCCCAGGCCGTTCAAGAGAATGAGCGCGATGGCTCTCGTAGGAAGAACAGAGTAGACATTCATATACTAGTAGTTATCTGGGGATAGGGATGGGCATGTACCAAAGACCGTCTTTGCTTTGGTTACCATGATGCCTTTTCACTTCCACCTCTTCGTTAGGATTGCCCTGTCAAGGGAAAGCAGTCCTGCTGTTTATATTTCAGTTTCAATTTGCTCTCAAAACGCCCAAAGTTCTCGTTGGCCTCCAAGAACTCATAAAAAACCAATCGATGCAAGAAGGGGTAGAAGTAGGCTAAGTTGAAAAGGGGAAATCGAGATGGGATGAAGAGAGTGAAATCATAGGACAGAAAAACAATTCAATGATAGCTCGATGGGGTATAAGTGGAGGCATATGATATACAAAGGAAAGCGAAAAAAATTAGGAATTGAGGTGAGAAGAAAGCTGTTGTATCCTAAAAGACGAGAATGAGCCAAGGGGGAAAGGTGGGTCAGATCAGCGGTTCCGTTGAGTTCGGGTGTGTCGAACCTGGTGCCACATTGAATCGCCGCTTAAGGCAGATAGGCTCAAGGACGTAAGCCCTCTCCAGGTGGACCGGTGAGATGCGTTGAGGGCGTCTCCAAGCAAGGCCCCCCGTTCCAACTCAGAGTCGGCGTTTTCATGCTCGGGGATAGGGATGGCGGATGAAGGGAATCCACTGTGATCTTCAACAGCCCTTGCTTGATCAAAGCTGGGTGAAGGGTCCAGGCTGCTGGAAACATAGTCGTTGGAGCCTTGATTTCCGAACGATCGAACAACATCGCCTTTACATATTGGGCACGTGCGTCGCCGTGTTGTCAACCATGGTGTTCTAAAGGACATTGTTAGCTGGGTTCTCGACGAAATAAACATATCAGAGAGTATTATTTGGAGAGAAAAGGGAGAACTTACATGCACTCAGCGTGGAACTCGTGCCCACAAGGTAAGCTCATTACCTTGCTTTGTCCGTCAACATACTCTTCAAGACACACAACACATTCCACTTGTCGGCCAGTGTATTTCCGTCGCCACAGTGTCGATCCGGCGCCGGACTTCTCAGCGCCAGCTGAAAAGTCTGTCATGTTGGGCAAAGAACTTGATGCTGCGGCACCTGCGTTGGTGGGGAAATGTGCTCGAGAGTCTGATCGTGCAAGGAGAGGAGATGAAGGAGACGCAGAGTCCGGCACTGCTGTACGAGGCGGCGTGCTTGAATTAGAGCCACTGGTAATTGTATGGTAGGTTCGAACGGGAAGTTGATCAACGATGGCCTTGGGTGCTCTCCATCGTCGTCGACGGATCCTAGAGCGAAGTAGGAGAAGTGCGTAAACGACGGTGAGCGTTATTAGGGGGCTGACGACCAACACCAAAAGAGTATCAAAGAATGGACTGGTAGACATGCTAGTCGGGGCTAAGGTAACCCATAAGCCTTCATGTTTCTCTGGCTCCTTGTCCCCATGATGGCCATGGTTGTTATGTGAGCCTCGACCATTATGAAAATCTTTGTGTCCGTTTGCAAATGCTGTGTTCTTGTCATCACTCGGTTCTCCCCAGCCAAAGAGGCGCATCCACCAGTGTCCTTTCTTTCCATTATTTCCGGGCCCTGATCTCAAATGTGATGATTGCTTATGAGAGCCATTCGTGCTACCTTTGCCCTCGGTAGATTTGTCTGGATGAGCATACTCTCCGCTGCCGGGGGTAATGCTCCCACCCTTGAAGCCTTTTGTATCGGAGCCCGAACCGTCCTTGCTGTTTGAATTACCACTCTGACTAGTTGGTTGTGGCTTGCTGACCGGCGTTGTTGTGGGTTTAACGATAAGGTCAGGATCACGCCAGTCCTGGACTCCTATAAGGAAGTCATCTTCACGATTCTGATGGGGATCCGGTTTGGTCTGAACAGGCGCCGTTCCTTTCTCTTTGTCCTGACGGTTTGAGTCCTGTCCTGACCTAAATGGCTTCTCAGGATCCGGCTTTCGGCTTTGTGAAATCCAGTCGATGTTCCCACTGCTTGGTGGTCGCCTACTGTCTTCATGTACCGATTTGTCGTTCCAAAAATTGAAAAGAGACGAAAAGAATCCTCTATCGGGTTTTGGTGTATCCTTAGGCCTGGATTGCGTAGATTTTGTAGACTTCGAGGAAGGGGCAACAATATTAGTTTTTCCAGAATTACCACTGGTCTTTGTACTCTGTTTACCACTATTGGGTGCTTTTGATTTGTTCCCTGGAGAGCTGGGTCCTTTGCCTTTATCGGCGGGTATAAGTGAGGACAGGAGATGTGCAGTGGTGTGTGAGGTGAAAACTGCCGGAATAGTCACATTTGATGTATCGCCATGCGCATACATTGTAACAAGGCCTCCACCGCTTTCATTATCGCCAACTATAAGGGCTATTCCTCCTCTCCGCTGGACCCATTTTGTCTTCTCCAAAAAGCCACAACCACCACGGCTTAGTAGAACAACTTTCCCTGAAATCTCCGCAGTCTCCTGTAATGACTGAATGTCGGCATGGGTTGGTTGCTTGTTTTTTGCCTTGGCATCATTAAGGCTGGCTGATAGGGAATCTCCCAAGGAATGATGAAGATGGTCATCAGTGCCGTCGTTTTTTGTTGGTGAGCCACTATTCTTGCGGTCATCTTCGGGTAAAACGGTGCTGGCTCCCTTCTGCATATTTATAGTTGGGTCGTTGCTGACTCCTATGCCTGGTTTGACCTGTGATGTTGCTTTATCCGTACCAAGACGCCCTCCGGACCCGGACTGCGCAGTTCTATCACCTTCTTGCCACCCGGGAACATCAGAGCACCCTAGTTCCCCTTCAGCTTTGGTCGTTATTCCCCCCTTTTTACTAACATCGTCTCCAAAGCCGCTCCCGATCCACAGCTGCCCATCGAGGCCGGACGATGGCAGGGGAGGCCCAAACGCAGCAGGACGAGCCAGGAAGAAAGTCGAGTTATCATCTGTCAAACTTATAAGCGCGGAAGGTGGGAATAGCGATGAGGGTGCATGGAAGAAGAGGTCTCGTAAGCGACCGGCTTTGCTGCTGTAGCTTCGTCGATATTCCGATGTGGCGGCATTTTCTGGACTTGCAGACTGCCGGACAAGGGTGGTAAAGAAGAGAGGAATAAACACCAGACAGACAAGGAGTAGGATGAGCTGTGGAGGTCGCATTATTCCAGACTCCTTACAGACGCCTTTATAAAGGAGAACTGTCACTTCGTAATAGTAGTAATGGCCGTGGTGGTGGCAGTGGTGGTGCGGGTGACCTTTGTGGTCTGATAACTAAGGGGGCAGACAGCTCAAAAAACAAGAGGATGAGAACCTGGCTTCACCTCGAGGCCAAGCTGGCCACTTGTGAAATGGCGAAACAGCCCACGGCAATGATATCAGGCTTCTCGACAGTTCGTCGTGACGTCGGGAGAGATGGCGGGCCATGAGAGAGCAAAAAAAGCAGACGACGAGAATAAGAAATGCAGCCAAAGTGCATCGAAGCAAATCGTCATGAGAGCCTTGGCAGTCACATGACAAACGTTAAGCTTTATCGCTTTCCAGTTTCTTTTTCTGTGTTTTGAACTAACGAGCAAGGGAAAAGAAAGAGGAGCGCAAGGAGTCGATGAGATGCAGGCGACGACGCAATTGCGAGGCCATGGTTCTCTTACACATGCAGGCCAGGATGAAACACATTCAGGCAGCCAGCAATGGCAGCGGCACCTTGTTGAATGATGACACAAACCGAGGCGGTGAAGTGTGCGTTTATACCGTGATATTGCATACACACAACTACTCCCTACATTCGGTTTGGCTAAATCCCCTTTTACAATACCACTCTGTGCTACTCGGGGGAGCTAACGATGCTTGTATAATACAGAGGAACGGGTAACAAGCTACGGCGTGACTGTTAGCAGATGACCACAGCTGGCGGGGGCCTCCATGCGAAACTGGTCTGACTGTCTGTTGTCAGTTAGTCCGGCTGCAGGCTACGTATCAGGCCAGTTGAACCAGAGCCCAAAAGCCCCGCGGCAGGGAAAAGGGCTAGGTCGAGGACCATCATTGTTGTTGTTGGCGAAGCTGAGTAGTGGAAGTCGAACTTTACAGGGGCCACTACGAATCATGGCAGAGACGAGCCGCAAAAACAAATATTTCGTAAAGGGTGATTGGTGCGTCCTCATTTGCTGCGAGCGAGGTAATGCAGAAATCAGATTTGACCCCTGTTAAGTTTCCGGAGGCTGCCCTTCTCTTTGCTCTTTTGAAGCAGAGTTGTGCCTCTCCTGGTTAATATCCCGTGACCCTGGTAATACGCATGTTTGATGACACAATCGTGGCGTAGAAGAGGCGGAACACAAATGAAAGCTGCCAGCCCACAATAAAACTCAACCCACGACAAGGACAAGAAGGTCAGCTTTCAAGTGGCCCTAATAAGACGACGACAACAATACCAGTGATTGTTTATGTGAGAGCAGGCCCGCAATCCATCAAATCTCGCATATGGGTATCTCCTGTACACACGGCAAGCTGAGAGAGCTTTAATTAGCTTCCAATCCATCATCGTCAGCAGCTTCGTAACACTCGAGGCGCAGGGAAAAAGAGTCAAATTTTCCAACTCGCTTAACTAACTAAATAACTAGTTAGCGTTCAAGCTCAGGTACCGATCAAACTAGGGTTTAGCACTGCGTTGACCATCTTCGACTTTGTTTGCGCTCCCCATAATGCCTCCTTTGACTGTCTCTAGGGACGGAAATGTGAAATGGATATCAACTTTCGACTCTCAAGGTTTGCACTATCACATGTGGTACGTACGCCTCCGGACAGCGAAAGAGCTGTTTCCTGAGGTCTCAGATCTATTGACCCTCATTTGGTGGACTACTCGATATATTTCAGCTCTGGTATCCATGGGACGCGTCGATACTTGCTCAGTAGGTTGCTACGTCTGACCTTCAAAGTTTACATGCTGTTCCCGTGCTAAGACCAAACAGTGATATTACAATAGCCGGAATTGGTTGCTGTTACTACAGTTAGGTGTGGGCTTCTTGACACGGGCGATGCTAACACAGTTTTGCCTTTTCGCCTCTGTTGCCATTAGGCTGCTGTCTACGTCGGGGTAGATATCATAACATATTTGTCTCCAACGAGATATTCGCGATTTCCACAGTCAGGGGAGATGGGCGAGCAACTTGATCCGCCCAGGAACTACCCCAGGTTCATAATATTTAGGTCTCAGGGATAATACGATCATCTATGCGACGAGTAGCGGGGTAGGCGACAACGCATTAAAGGTAATACGGGAGTGGATTGAGCTTCCAAAATAGACAGAAATCTCTCATTAAGGGTTATTGCAAGCGGTTTCTCAAAGCAGGCGACTTACTCCGATATAAACGTAGATCTGCCATCCATTCCAAGGCGGTCACTATCCTGAAAGGCGGTAGATCTACAACACCCCACAGGATAATCTCTTTACTAATTTATTGGGAAGCTATATAAATACTTGCACTTAGTAACTGAAGTAGCCACAGATTTTATGAATACCAGGGCTTATTTATATGTCTTGAAGAAACTAGCCATTTGTCTCTCGAAGCTTATCCGCTCAGGTGGGATCTTCGTCACGTGACCATCGTGTGGATTAAATCTCAGCCTTATTTTAACCTCGCATCGCAGCTTTTGACAGAAGAAATTGATATTTATTGAAGTTGAGAGGAGAAGAACCCATCATCAGACGAAAAGTACCGTGTTTAATCAATCCATACAGGGCTGGTGCTATTATGGTCTAGATTTGACTTCTGACTCTTACAGAGCTAGAAGGGACTGATTAAAATTAAAGATACCCAGAGACTCCTGAACCATAGTTTGTATTCTATCCAAACTACTATATCCTATATAGTAGTGTGTTTAGCACATACAATATATTCTCTTTAGAACACCCTTTCTTGAGGTTGGATTACGGCAAGTCCTTTCTATAGATCTATAGCTTCTTATGGCTGCTATAGCTTATAGGTGCTATTAACATAGCATCAAGACGGGATGGCAGTCTATACCATTCAATACCCTGTCCTGTGTACACCTGGATTTATCTTTATATCTCCTATTCTCCTTTTATCTGCAGGCTGCTTCTTTACTGCTTTTTGGTCTCATCTTCTTCTTATCTTTATCTTCCCCAGACACGTGACTAGAATGTCCTTCTTTCTATTTTGGGAAGAGAAGGAGAAGAAGATGGCCCGTGCACTCAGCTGTCCTCTTCTTGTTTTCTCTTCTGCTTCACTTTCTACTTCCTCCCCTATTATGCCCTTTGTCAACTTCACTCCTTGACTGGACATCTGGATATCTCTCCGATATTCACTCCGGGCCCTTCTATCAGACTACTAATAACTATAAAAGAAGACACTGTGAGTATCACCGAGTGTTCCCCTTTACTATTCTTGATAATTTGGGCTGGACTCAGACTTGCTTTAAGATAAAGGCAGGGCTAGGCACAAGAAGAGACGAATATTTATGCTGATACTAACACTAAATCTAAATATCTAGGCTAGCTGTGATAAAGAGAGAGACGGATATTACCCCAAACTTTGACTTACTTTTGCCGGCAATTACCAGCACTAAGTTGAAAAAGATAGAAGGGCAGCCATGAATCCGCATAGACTTGGCCAGTCTTCAGGAAATAGGGAACCTGAGGGCACAAACACGATCCCTTTCCCTCCTTTTCCATATGATATGCCAGAGGAGGTAGAAACCTTTAATTCAATGCCAACCCAACTACAAGGGCCCCCGCCTCAGTATACTGGATCTTATGGTAGATTGGCTGGATATCCTGGGGAAGCTGCTAAGTATGCTTCTGTGATTAGGGATAAACTAGGCGCTGATCCTTTAGTTACTCATACTCACACTCACCATTATTCTTACATGGAGAATACTTTCAGACCCCAGCCACCAATTACTTATGATGCAGCTTCACGCCTTGCACTTGCTAACCCTGCTACTAACAACTCCTATATTCGCTCCCAACCCACAGGGCAAGCAGAGAGCTTTGCTGCTGGTGCAGCTATATCACCTGAAGGCTTCTCTCACTACCACCAACAAGAACGCGGTCGGCCATTTTATCGAGGTCCGCCTTCTTTCCGTCTTCGTTCCCAAGGGCGAGAACGGAGTCAGCCAGCATACCAACATTCAAGTCGTATCAGCCGCGAGCTTCGAGAGACCGACCACCTGACGTCCACGCGCCCCAGCTCACTTGCAACATTAGCTGCCCTCACGACCAAGCCAAACCTTACAACCACACAGGGGAGTGCTGGTTTCGGAGTTGAGAATACTACAGAGATGGAGTTTTATTACCACAACCATGGTATTCCGGGAACGAGATCGAATTCTAGGGTGGTTACTGCGATCAACCCAGCGCTGACAGCTCATCCGCTGCAGAATATGGCTGCAATGGAGACAGGGGGGCATCATGGACACGCGGTGGAACTTCCTGCTCACTTCAATCCTCATCACCACAGCCCTCACCGTGCTCGTCACGTTGGACAACATAGCTTTTCAGTCAATCCAGGCTCTTCACATTACACTCCTCCAGCATTTGCTCCTCCATCTATGCCAGGTTCAATTCCGCAGGTTAACTTCGCAAAGCACACAAAAAATGCAACATTATCAGCTCCTGCGACTTCGGTGGCCACTCCTACCTCCAAGACGAGACCTACAACCCCAACGGGCCCGTTCATCCCGGGGCCTGATAACATCAGTCCTTCGAAACAGGAGGAAAAACTCCACGTTCAGAAGACGATGCTGGAACGCTTGGGAGATACTTCAATCGCCAACGCACTCGACATCGACTTTTCGAGACTCACCGTTAACCAAGCCGATCATTACCTTGACCTTATCGGCGCTCCATCCAGGCCAAAGCCAGAGGCAGCTCCTGTTCGGAATGTGACTGCCGGAGAGGGAGAGTTGGTAGCACCTAAGCTGGCCCCTCAAAGTTTGGCTCCTGAGAAGTCTATGACGGCATCTTTAAGTCCCCACGACCATCAACTTCCACAACGCTCTTTACCCAGCCCTTCCTCCCAAAATTATTCCAACGACCTCGAGCGAGGAGCCGCCTTAGCAGCACGATATAATATTCGAGGTTTAGCTATTACACGTCTTGCAATGTTTCGCCAGGAGCGTGAAGCCGCTATGGCTCAAGAAAGGGAAGAGTCTCCACAAATCGCGGCTGGGTCTCGGGCTCCATCGTCTACTTCTACCAAAGTAAATCTATCAGCTACTCCATGTCCAAGTGAAGGAAGGAATAACACTGCCACGCAGCAACCAGGTATCCGCCGGAGTTTCCCGCCTCCCGGCTTAACTCGTCCTCGTTTTACCAATTACGCTAGTGACCCTGTGGGGATTTACCGTCCCGTTCCATGGACTGTGGATACACCTGAAGAAGCTGAAAGGAAAGCTAAGAAGGCGGAGACTGCTACTACCTCGGAAGCTGGCAAGCAACCTCCTGTTATACCACCCGCAAACACCCTACAACAAAGCCCTATTGGTAGCAAACGCCGCTCTATGCTACTAGCCAAGGAACGAAATTCCCGTGTCAGTGAAACTCTCAAATGGTATCGTGCAGACTACCGTTGGAACGAGGGCCTCCGCGAACGTTTGGATACCATAATGAAGGAAAACTTGCAAACCCACGATAATGGAAAGGAACCTGTTGCGATTCCCAAAGAGCTATATGAGTCAGCTGAGCAAAACACGGTTTTGCTTGCCCAGGCTATCGTTAATCTTCAATCTTACCTTGAAGGAAACCCAAAAGAGCAGTCCAGAAACTTCGCTCAATATGGACCAGCCCCCGATGAATGCTGCGAACCCTCTAAGGACGGAAACTTCAGCCTTTTTGACATCCAACCGGGCCCGTTTAGAGGGTCAGAGACGAGAAACTAAGAAGAAGCATACACATGGGACTGATAATGAATTTCCCCTTCCATTTTTCTGTTTTCTTTCTTCCACGCAAGTACCTGAACCTGAAATGTGATATTAAAAAAAAAAAAAAAAAAAAAAAAAGGAAGAAGAAGAAGAAGAAGGAAGAAGAAGAAGAGAGAGAGAGAGCAAGATGGCAACATGACAACTTGCCAGATATTTGGTTTCTCACTCCAATATGCATATGCTGCCCTTGGAATGGAACAGAATTGAGAACGGTCTTTAAGTCTGCACTCGTAAGGAAGCATCTAATTTCAAAATTAGTAGTTAAATTACTACATGAAATGATAGTCATATTCCGTTTAAATAAATACATTTAAAATGGATTCGAAGAATGCAGCGAGTATCCCTAACCAGTAGCCTGGTATCACGGGCTCATACTTAGGGGTAAAGGTACGATAGAAAAAAGGAGTAATATAACTATTGAGAAAGAGCGCAGAGATAAAAGGGACGTTAAACCCATTATCCTGAAAAATGTTCCAACTCCTAGCCTCTTTCCACTAAGAGAATCCATGCTCGTGAGCCATTCATCGTATTAAGGAAAAGCAAAAGGAGAAAACCAAGAAAGGCCAAGTTGTAAAGATGCAGGTTGGGAAAAACTCAGAAGGCGTAAAAAGGTTCAAAATAATAGGTTGAAAATAAAGGCTGCGTATCCAGAGAATAGAATGGAAGAAATCCTATCGACGGTGTAAAGAGGTTGTAGAAAAGTAAATAAAATGGATATGTGGGAAGGTTCTATTTATTGGTGGGAGGAAGAATAAGAAGGTCCCATTAGCATGATATGAGGTTGATGTGGTTGTCATTTAGAGTCGAGCAAGCCAGGAGCATTTTATGAGGATGGAATACAGTGCTGACGACTGGGGAGGATCGGGTATGGTGCAAAAAGCTGCTATGAGGTTCGAAGGTAGATAGATGAGTGCCGTCAACATTGAATGTCTTGACTTCACGGCGATTGGTTCCGCTAACAAGACGCATATTAGTTTAGCTCCAAAGAAGTTGATGAGATAGGGACAGACATACATGGTGAAAACCGGGGCGTGTTCATGAACACCTAAGGTACGCAGGGTGTCTTTGGTTGCCTGCGTTGATTCGATTGAGTGATCCATTCTTAGATCCCAGAGTCGGACTTCACCATTGCGGCTACCGGAGACCAATTCTCTGACTCCGCCTCGTTGCATGTGTACGTTGGTAATCCACTGTTTGTGTTCCCTCCAGACCTTAACCATTGCCGTCGTTGGTTTTAGGCGCTGGTCGAAAACACGAACTGCACCATCGCCAAATCCTGCAACGAATATGTTACCCGCTACTTGGTCGGAGGTCAGGGACGTAATGCATGATCCGGAGCGAGCAGATATATCCTGGATTTGACTGTTAGTTATGACAAGGACAATAGGTTGGAGGGTATAATCGTACTGTTGTGCAAACTTCAGTGGCCGCATTCCAGACTCGGATAACCTTCACATCCCCCGCTACTAGCGCTTTACCTTGACCTTGTTGCCACTCAAGGACGAGTCCAGCATTTTTATTACTGGGTATCAACTCAGGCAGCGCGCGGAACGCTGTGAGAACCTTGACATTTTTACTCGATTCGTAGCTGCGGAATAGCTTTAATACGCCGTCAGAGGAGCCTGTCATTAAAAGAGCTTGGTCATCTTCGTTAATGAAACGGACTTCATTAATTTTTGACCCTAGAGGGTTGCCATTCGAGAATCGATTGAGATATGTATTTGATTGCCAATCCCAGATACTACATCGGTTAGCGATTATGAATGATACATAGAGAAACAGCAAACAAGCTTACCATATTGTGTCCCTATCGTCAGCCACTGCAAGATGGTCTTCGAATTGGTGGAAACACATCTTCATTGGCTGAGTGGAGTTGTTTATGAGAGAAACCGAGTTATCCCAGCGAGAACTACCAGCTCGAGTCTTCATTGGCTGCGTTTCAACAATGATTCTTTCATTCCTGCCTCGTCGCCAGAGGCGTTCGTTATAGTCTGAACTACCGGGCTCATCCGGTTCATTGGGTTTCATTTGGGGCTCTCGGAAATACTGTAATGAGGATGTTAGTTAGGTGTTCATAAATGACTCAGGTGATTCATAATAATGCATACCTCTGTTGACCAATCTAAGAACTGACTAACCAATGGAATAACAGGTTCTTCTTTCACATCTCTAAGTTTAAATCCTCTAGAAGATGGGGTAGGTGCTTGTTGGTATGATCTAGCAGAGGCACGCTGGTCATTGACCTCTGGAGGCCTAGTCCACTCAGCAGGTGCGCGACCCCTAGGCGTAACCGTAACACGGCCCTTCGGCACTTGGGGTTTAGCAAACGTAGTGGAGTTGGGGGAGCCTGGAGGCTGAGGACTATTTGATGAAGAGCCAAACGCCATATTTTTAAGGGATGCAGCGACACTAGCCGTCCTTCTTAGACTTAGGGAGAGATATCCTTCTGGCTTGGGTGCTTGTTGGCTCGGAGGGGTCTTGGGTCTAGCGTTATCAATGGACTCCTGTTGTTGTGTTTTCTTTGATTGGGCGCGGGTATATAATTCAAGAATGTCCTCCCTTGCTTTCCTAGCCAAACCACCCAGCGGTGATTCTAGAAGAGTTTTGTGGACATAGTCAACGATTATGCCGCCGTCCTGCGCGACGTCTGGATGCGGATCGACAGATAAGATAAGAACCAGCTTCCAAATTGAACCGATCACAGTACCTTGAGAAACACCATTCTCAGATGGTTGAGGAGGGGACATTAGCGGGGATCCAGTGGGTTGAGTTGTTAGGACCTGCTTCTCCTCCAGTAGCTGCTCATATGCTGCAACTATGAATTTATTTTGATATCTCTTGACAAAAGTTGATACGAAAACCAGGAATTCCTTTCGCACAAGAACGCTACCATCAGAGCCCATTGGGAGCACTGCCATAGCAAGATACTCTTCGATCTGGGCTACTTGATCGGTAAGGTCTGGGATGCCAATGAAGCTGGTGAGGGCATGGAGCATTGCTGCTCTAACTTCTGGAACAGGGTCGGCTGCAAGTTCGCAGAGTTTGGGTGGCGCAGAAGCACGAATACCCATCCACTTTGCCTCTGGGAAGTCATTCCACAACATACTGAGGCATAAACATGACCATTGCCGTAGTAAGGGGTTTTCAGTATCCAATAGGTGAGTCAAACATGCCTCAATTAGTTCCGGGGACAAACAAACATGCTGTCCCTGAGGGTACTGCTTGCAGAAGATAGCAACAATAAATGCACACATGGCTCTGTGATCGCTGACATTTGCAACGGGTATGGGAGAATTAGGATGGAGTATGGTGATAAAGTAGTGGATGCCATTGTCTTTGAGGAGATCATTCTGTACTGTATGATCGACTGCCATTATCCTAGCCCAGATGAAGACCATGACAGGCTTAAGCTCCTGGGCAGCACTTTGGAGTAGTTTGACAACATAAGGGAATATACCGATGCTAAGAGCGAGGTGAACAGCCCAAGGGCCGAGGTCAAGGAACCCACTCAAGAGAATCAACGCCCTTAACCGGTGAGCTTGACTGAGCAAAACCTGGAGGACAATAGGGAGTTGATCTGGCGGGTTCTTTTCTGTAGGTCCGGAAGAGAGGTACACCTCAAAAGCCGTAAGTTGCTCAGCAAAGAATGGGGAATGCTGGTATTCGTAGTGTCTAGTGCCTTCTTCTTGTTCAATGAGAGCCGGAAGCTGAGCCAGGACCATTTCAACAGCCAAATCCCAGCTCTGCCACAACGGGTGAGTATGTGTAATGGGCAGTTTCGGTGAAGAAATTGGATGACATTCGTGAGTTCTCATGATACGTTCGCTGAGTAGGAAATTCCGGAACAAAGCAGCAACCATGAGGTCTTGTCGGAAGAGCTTCTTGAATAGGGGGCGAGGAAGGGTGTTCCAAGCAATGGTATCAGTAATTGCCGTGAATATCCAATTAAGTTCGCCCAGCGGACTTCTTCTATCCTGTAGGCGTCCCGGAACCCTAAATTCATCCACAGAAAGACTTGTTTGCAGTGGATTTTGAAGCACAAAGTACCTCAAGGCTATCTCGATAGGGGTGGTAAGACAACAGGTGAATAAGTCTGCAGGGAGGTCAGGGTTTGTTGGCAAGGTTTCGTTTTTCTCACAAGCAGCAAGGAGAATGCAATCGCCGTAATTTTGGAGGGATGCAATAGGATCTCTCTTGCGAGCTTCCGCATTTTCCTTCTCATGCTTTTCGAGAAAGGCATGGAAGTTTTGAACAATGTTACCCGCATGAGAAACATCGAATACAAACAAGCTGGGACCAGCAAGCCATGTCTGCAGGTCGTAAAGGGAGACAGGGATATATTGAGTGTAGTTCTTGTTGAATACCCAGATTTCGCCAGAAGGTGTGGGCAGCGGGACTCCGTGACCGTTGTAATGAAAGAGAACCCTTTCATCCTTTGCATTCCGTCGGAGGGAAATACAGAATTTCTTCGTTTCCTCCACCGAGGGGTCCAAGTACTGCTTGTATCGTGTGCGCAGACTGAGTGTTTCATACTGCTCCTGTAGCTTCTTTCCAATCTGTTCCATAACCTTATTCTGCGCTCCGGTCGTGGAAGTTGGATCTACCCAGCATTCGAGTTTCGCTGAGGGGTTTGTTTTGACTACGTCTGGTGGATCTACTCCGATGTTGAGGCAAATAGCAAGTGCAGCGGAGACAGTCTTCAGTCTATCTCTCATGCGCCAATCCTGGCTTCTCCAGACCTCGTCCGGTTGTTTCGGGATGCCATTGGTATCATGTCGTTTTTCAGTAAAATACATGTAAAAGTTCTGCAGAGTATTGTCAGCACAAGGAACTACAATACAAAGAAAAAAGGCTGGGACTCAAACTCACGGAGTTCAAGATCTTCAAGTATTCACTGGAGGTGTATTCCTCCTGCCAGCCATGGCGGAGCTGAACATCTTCTTCCTCACCTCCTAAAGCCCTGACATCGGGACCAAGGTCATGCCAATGTTCACTTTTTGCCCGAATCAGAGCAGGCTTCCGCCTGTTGCCGTTGATATTAGGCCTCGAGCGCGGCCTCGACTCGTTCGCAGAGGAATGTGAGTCTTGTCCAGCGTCATCAATTGACCTCGAACTACTAGGGAACTGGACGGCGCCACTGGTGGCTGATCTATGGTGACCTCCGTTGCTAGACGTAGACGGTTGGATGCCCAGATTGGAAGCTTGAGGGTCGGCGGTAGCCTCGAAAGACACTCGGACCGTCTTGCTCTGGCTCGAGCCAGGAGTTCTCTCTACCTCCTGCGTCATACTGTAGCGCGGGTGAGAAGGCGCATTTCTGCTCATATCAAATTCGGAGGTTCGGTGGTGGGCGTGGGTATTGTATCTAGAGGCGCACCGGTTAGTATTGCGTCAGAGCATGAGCCTTCAAAATGACAGCTGATGCTTTTGGACTTTCCAGACAGGCAAGAAAAGGGTCCATGACACCAACAACATAGAGCTGTGCTACTGAGATGCCCAACCAGCTAATATGGGGGGGAACTTACTTGGAGTGAAGCGCCCAAGACCTGCCTGTTGACGTTGTAGCGTCTAGTGGAGAAGTGTGCGAATCGAAGCTCTCCAGAGCATGTCAGAGAGAAGGATCACAGCATCCACCGCTCCTAGCTCATCTCAGGCCTTGATATCGAAGCAGCCCGCTCTCCTCGACGGCTTCTTGTCTTTCTTTCTTGTTCAAATATCAAGAGATTCACTGGAAGGTCGACAAAGGCCGAAGCCGCTTTGGGAAGGTTCCGACGGATTATCAATAGTCCGGAATTAACACGTGAGTATGCTTAGTAATGTGTAACGCGCAGTCGTTGGAGGCTGAAAGAAGCTGGCAAAGAAGATAAGAAGTTGATAGACGATGGCGAGGACGGAGAGGACGGCGTTGGTGGCAGGTTCATATGTTAGGATGGAGGTAGACGGCGTCGGCGCAGCTAACCGAACATGCGTTCTTCGATATAGAGGCAGGCTAAGGAGCCTTGACATTGTTTACCGAGTCCTATTTGCTAGCTCGCCATTGTAGCTTTTTGGTAGTTAGTAGTAGTACCAAAAACCAGTAAGGGAGGACCTCATTTCATTCAATGAATGCATGAATAGTCCTCTCTATCGTATCAATTTGGTAGGATACCAAGTCTTCAGACCTTGAGCACTCCACTTCCTCGCATGTCAACAGGGGAGCCATCCCGAGCTTCGTTTGATTCCCTACCAATCGCCTGGCTCGTAAGCTCGCAAAAACCACGCGGACAAGGGCCTTGAGCTTTGCGAAGGAAGAGCCGGCCAGCATCGTTTTACCTTAAATATACGAAGACTCCTTCTCGTACGATGTCTTGCTGTGAAAATTCGCCATCGTCTTCCAGCGAGACCAAACAGTCTCCGTCTCCAGGTCAGAAAGAAGATTCTCAGCCTCAGGGAGTTCTAGCCAGCTTGTCTCCAGTCCTCTTTGCCCTGCTTCACAGTTCTTGCTGCTGGCTTCCAGTGAGTTCTCTAGACGGTATATCTAGTTGTTCTACCAAGCTAACCGCCGTCTTCTACTCTGCAGGTTGTCCTTGACTTTCTATCAATCGGAACCGCGTCAGTGAGCATCTTCGAGCGCTTTCGGCCTGCCTTCCTACTCTTCACTCTTCTCACGCTTGGGTGGAGCGTGTACCGTAACGGATTTGACAGTCGCAATCTCCGTCGAATAGCCGTGTCTGGCATATTCTTGCTGTGGCCTCATATATCTAGCTTGCTTACGCAGCCACAATCTCACGCCGAGGGATACAAGAGCTGCCATTGAGAGAAAAGACCCATACACAGGACCAAAATACAAAGTACCTACGGATACCCACGCAAACATGTCATTTTGCGTGGTACGGCCTACAAGACTGCTCTGGACCCGCCAGCTTCCTAGGGCTACTTCATTATCCCACAAATTCCGATCTGCTATACCTGCTTCACTCACGACGATACGGTTTGCACACCATTGCGCAAAGTCCCAAAAGAGTGACGAGCCCGTATTGTCCCTGGGATTCTGGAGTTCAAGGCCGACTTGGAAGCGGGCCGGTGTCAACACGTTCCGGTGCCTGATCGGGTGCAGCCTAGGTGACTTTTCTGCCATGTGGTTCCTGCAGTCATGCTATCCTGGCATTGGAACCGGTCTCATCATGGGAATAGCAAGTACGTCATAACCCTGGTTGTTCTTTTGTAGGTCTGCACATCTGCACATGTCCATGCTAACATACCGTGCAGTGGCCTCGGGACTGACATCGTCCATGCTCCTGGAGACTGTGCTACTGCGATTGGGCCGCGACCAACTGTCATGGAAAGCTGCAGCCAAAACGGCAGCGGGCATGAGCCTTGTGTCGATGCTCGGGATGGAGACCGTGCAGAACCTGGTGGACTACCACTTGACCAGTGGCGTGGTTGCGTTTGACGACCCATCCTTCTGGCTGGCTGCAGCTGCATCTGCCGGCGCCGGGTTCCTCGCACCCCTCCCGTACAATTACATTCGACTGCGGAAGTACGGGAAGGCGTGTCATTGACCAGCCCCGTTTCTTCACTACCCTCGATGCGGCTGGAGTGGCTAGCTATATAGGAGCCCCGTTATTGCTCTGATAAGCTTTGCATCAGGCATCTCTTGTTTTTCCTGCTCTGCCCAGCGGCCTGTAACTCTGCCTGTAGCGCTCCAACCCCCGGTCCTTTTACTTTCTGGACACCTCCCCGTCGTGTACATAGCATCTGCCATCTAGCAATCTAGCTACTCTAGTGCTGCCTCCCTGCTTAGCCTACCCAGTCTACCTAGCCCTTATCTTACCTGCCCTCCCGCCCGCCCGCCCGGCACCTTTATACCGGATTAACCTTTCTGCGCTTAATCAGATCGCGGCCCCTGACTAAGCGCCGCCGACTAACCCGATTCGTCGACCCCCTGACGAGCTTCTCGCCGTCTTTTTCTGGCAGCGAAAAAAAGGCGAGCACGAGAAAACGACAGCGAGGCCGAACTTCACTTCTTCATCTCCTTCACGCCCGCATCCTCGTCTTCCCGCCGCTGCGCCAGGTCCTCACGGTCAAGGACGCTGCGAAAGAGCCTCTCGCCCGCCGCCGCCGCCGCCGCCCTCTCCCTGCCCGTGGGCTCCCTCGCCCTGTCGTCAGCGTCAGCTCCCAATGCTTATTTCGTCTAGTACTACGATTCTGCAGCCGATCGCGCGCGCTCGATGAATGCTTGGGTCAGGAACACCCACAAGAGTCCCTTGGAACGACCGACCGCTTAGCCACTCCTTCACTCGCACGCTGCCGGCATACGACGTCTATACAACCTGTCCGATCGCTTCTCCGAATTCATTCTAGTTCCCTCTTGTTTCGTTGTAATTCGGCTTTGGTTGCCCTGCCGCTCGCCCTGGTTAGTGAACAGGCGTCAGGACGGCATCCTCGATTCGATCCAAACGGCGATTTCCTGCCCGTCAGGGGCCCTTTAACGCATTTAACGACCGCCTTCGTTTCATTGTTGCCGTGGATGTCTATACCTTGCGTTCTCGATATTTGATCAAAAATTATCCTATTTTTGTTTTTTTTTTATTTTATTTTTCTTTTCTTTTCTTTTCTATCCCTGTTCGAAACCGACCATCTGGGACGACGGACGACTCTTTGCTCGTTTCTTTCTTCTCTTTCTCTCCCTCCCTCTCTTCCTCCCTCTCTTTCTCTCCCTTCGAACCGTAGTCTCTCTGCTGGGGAGAGGCTTGACGCTCGTTTAGACTCGATCCTTAAAAATGTCCTTTTTTTTCAAGTCGTCGAAAAAGAACCAGCACCAAAATCAAAGCCAGACCCAGAGCCATGCTCTGAACCACAACCAGCCCGCTCCCTCTGGGGCTGCAACGAGGAACATTCATACATCTGAAGGGACGGGATCGGTTCCAACGTCCAGCCTGTCCAGTTCGCTAAATGGTATCCGAGAGATAGAGAAAGATGTTGAGCCGGTTCAGCAGTTTGGGCCAAGCACCGGCCCCATACCAGCTCCCGGTCAAGTAAACTCTTCATCAGCCGGCCCGGTTCAACTGCCCAACGTACGCAGAGATCGGGCGGATTCAGAGCCAAAGGTTCGTTTGCCAGCCTTGCTTAATGACTTAAAAAGTTAATTTTTTTTTCCTTGCGCTCGATCGAGTGTCTAATGCTTATTTTTGTAGGTACTACGCAGCCAGCCTGTTAATGGCATACAGGCACCTTCTGCTCCTAATCATGCCCTCTATCCTTGGTCGCAGCGACGCATGAACTTCCCTTCGCCGCAACTCACACCTTTCCCTCGATATGGAGCCGCTATCAACGCCATTGCCTCTGCTGAGGGTGATATATACTTAATGGGTGGTCTGGTAGACGGTTCAACTGTTAAGGGTGATCTATGGATGATAGAAAACAGTGGGAACAATTCTACCTGCTTTCCCATCTCACCTGTCACCGAAGGGCCAGGCCCCAGAGTTGGACATGCTAGTTTACTAGTTGGAAATGCTTTGATTGTTTACGGAGGTGATACGAAGATCCATGATAATGATACCCTTGATGATACCTTGTATTTCCTCAACACTTGTGAGTACAATGAGGCTGCTCTTAACATTTTTATGGACCGTAAGTTTAGGGTGCTAATTGACTTTTTTTAACAGCTTCTCGACAATGGTCTTGTGCCGCCTCCCCGGGCCCTCGTCCGCCTGGAAGATATGGACATTCATTGAATCTGCTTGGGTCAAAGATCTATGTCTTTGGTGGCCAGGTGGAAGGCTTCTTCTTCAACGATTTACTTGCTTTCGATCTCAACGCCATGAACAATCCCGGAAATAAGTGGGAGTTCCTTCTTAGAAACAGCCATGACGATGGTCCTCCTGTTGGACAGGTTCCTCCTGCGCGAACTAACCACACAATGGTTACTTTCAATGACAAGCTTTATCTGTATGTCATCCTCTTTGTTCTACAAATTCAAATAATCGCCATGCTAACGAGAACAATAGATTTGGAGGCACTAATGGAGTCCAATGGTTTAACGATGTCTGGGCATATGATCCCAGAGGAAACTCCTGGACGCAAATTGATTATGTTGGGTTTACTCCAACTCCGAGAGAAGGCCATGCTGCTACCCTAGTCGGTGATGTGATGTACGTTTTTGGTGGACGAACCGAGGAAGGTGTTGATCTCGGTGACTTAATTGCATTCCGCATCTCCATCCGACGATGGTATTCTTTCCACAACATGGGCCCGGCCCCCTCCCCTCGATCAGGCCACAGCATGACCACCCTTGGGAAAAACATCATAGTTCTTGCTGGAGAGCCAAGTTCTGCTCCTCGGGACCCGATGGAACTTGGTCTCGTCTATGTTTTGGATACTACCAAAATTCGATACCCTAATGACCAACCTACCTCCCCTACTGGAGAACGGCCACCGCCTCGGAGAGTTGCACAGAATGAAAGGGCTGGCGGTCAATCTGGGCGTACATCCCGTGAGGCTCAACATGTTATTCCTGATGCTCAGCGCCGGGGACCGCCTGGCCCAGCTAGGGATCCCAATGGAAGCCCAGCCGGTGGCTCCAGGTTACCAAGAGCCTCGATTGCTCAGACACCTGCCGGACCACCTCCATCAGGCCAAGCACCACATCCAAGAACTAATGCCATTCCTTCACAAGCAAAAAAACAGCAACAGCAACAACCTCCTCACCAACAGCAATCACAGCAGCAAACGCAGCAACATCCACACCAGCAAATGCAGCAGCAAACACAGCAGCACCAACAACAGCCGTCATCCGGAAAGCCTGATAGAAGTATTTCTTCTTCCTCAGATCACTCTCGGCCCTCTGAGAAAGATCGACAGCACAGCCGAGATACATCAGTTCATGGTAGTAATAGAGGAACACGGGAATCCAGCCCAATGACTGCTGCTACTCGCCAACAGCACTCATCATCACGGCTTTCTGCACGCGCAATGGAAGCCGGAGAAGCCGCTCCCATGGTAACTCCTGCACGGCAACGGTCCCTTAGACAACAACGACAGCAAAACTCGATAGACAGTGTTGACGATTCAATACTCGCATCTGAAAACAGGGCTTATAGGAATTCCAGGAGTCTCGCAGATGAACCACGCTCACCACGTCTTACCGCCCACCAGGAAGCTTTGATAAAGGAGTTGGAGACCATGAAAACGAAAAATGCATGGTACGTATCTGAACTTGCGTTAGCTCGCAAGGCAGGTTACACTCCATCTTCCACTCCTGGTACTTTTGAAGAGAGATCAGTAGACGCCTTCAACGAAGGAGATCGTCCACTGGTGGAAATGTTACTTGCCATGAAAACTGAACTTGCCAAGATGCAAGCCAACGTTGATCGTCAAGCTAGCATTGCTTCCAAACGGGTTGCAGAAGTCGAACACCAGCGAGATATAGCTTTGAATGAAGCAGCATATGCTCGTGCTAGGCTTGCTGCTCATGGTGGAGGCGGAGGCAGCCAGGGTGGCACACCAATGTCTGAGATGAGCAATCGTGATCTTGACGAAAGCAACTCCCAGCGCACCACCGAAATAACTCGGCGTCTAGCTCTCTCTCTAACAGTACAGAATGAGTTGAAGGCAAAGGTTGAATCATTGTCTTTAGAACTTCAGGAGGAGAAACGTGCAAAGGAGCTGGCCGAGGAACTCCATGAGATGACGAACAAGAGGCTCACTGAGTTAGAACTCCAGAATAATCCTCTAGAGCTGGAGAGTATGCGAGTAGAACTACATCAAATCCAGTCTTCGTACCGGGAGGAGGCCGCTGCACGCTCTGAGGCTGAGGCTGCGCTGAAAATGCTTCAAGTTGACTACGCTGAACTTGCTGAAAAACACGAAGATATTTCCAGCCGTATGGAGAATCACGGATTAAATGTTGTATCTCTTCGAGACGCGGTGCAGGCATCTGTTGCCAAAGCAGAGCTTATGGAGCGAAAACTTGAAGAGGAGCGACAGCACCGTGATACTGTGGAGAGGAAGTTGCTGCAGTTGAGAGCAGAGCATGAAGAACGCACCAACGAACTGGAAAACACTGCTAGACGACTTAAGGAAGCTGAAGAACTTGCTGATACCCATGCTAAGGAGGCTGAGAGCCACAAGATTGCCCTTCTTTCTGGATTCGACCGTGTAGTCAGTAGAGGCTCTGACAAGGGCAGCTCACTGGCAGATCAACGGGTTGCTGTACTTCAGTCCCAGGTTGAGCGCGCCAATGAGCTAGTGAAGACAAGCCAGCTGGCTGCGGACTCTGCTGCTGAGAAGTTACGTCGTGCTGAAGAGCGGATTGCTGGTCTAGAAGCCTACCAGGAACAGAGCAGCAGGGAAGGATTACAGCTTCGAAGACAGCTCCAGGCCGCACTGAAGGAGAATCAGACGCTCAGCATTGAGAACCGCGATGTGAAGGCTCAGCTTGAGAATCAGCAACGTGACACTAATGCGTTGGCCATTCAGCACGGAGCTCTCAAGGATCTGCTTGGTGAGCGTGGTGTGAACATGTCTGATAGCAGACGGTCCCCTCTGCTGGATTCACCAGGCTCACGCTATGGAACACCTGAACAAAACCGACTACGCGAGCTCGAACAGCAGTTACAGTCCAGCTTGAAGGCTCACGAGGAGACCAAGTCTAGCTTCGAGTACCGAGAGCAGGAAGTGGGCCGTGCTTACAATGAGAAGCTCGAGCAGCTTGAGAATGACTACCAATCCGCCGTCCACTACGTAAAGGGAACAGAAAAGATGCTGAAACGCATGAAAGAAGAGCTGGCGAAATATAAGTCCCAGACGGCCAAACTGCAGGCTGAGCTAGCCGAAGTGTCTAACAACCCGGAAGCTGGGGCTTCACGGGAGGCACCAGCACCCGCTGAGTGGGAAGCTGAGCGCGATACCCTGCACCAGTCCATCTCCGATCTTCAATCATCCACGGCAGCATCCATATCGTCCCTTGAGAACAAACTGTTGGCTGTCCAAGCAGAGCTTGCTTCCGTACAGAAGAAGTACGACGAATCTCGCAACGAGCAAGAAGCCCTACAGGCCGAACTCTCAAGCACCACGGAGAAGGGCATGCGCGATCTCGAGCAGCTCAAGAAGGAGAACCTCCTCCTTGAATCTCGCGCAATGGACGCCGAGAAGAAAGTGTCAATGCTTCTGGACCAGGTTGAATCCTCCGTGACCAACTACCGCCGTCAATCCCAACAGGTAGCCAACAGCATGAACTCAAACGGGGCCAACCTAAGCCGTAATGCCAGCAACGCTTCCAGCGCTGCAAACGCCAACCACACCAACCGGTCGCGAGCGGACAGCAACGTCTCGCAGGACGATACGCTCTTGAACCACCGCGGCTCGCTGGCGCTGGACTCTCTGGCGAACGAGCTCGATGCGCTTCGCAGCCACTGGGAGACGGCGAACCGCAGCTACAGAATCAGCACGCAGTTCGACTTTGATCAGACGCCTACGAAAGAGACATATGGCGAGGGACTAAGCGACAGTCTCGCCAACTGGCGCCGTCGTCTGGACGAGGAGGAAGCTCGCGCCGACGAACCAAGCTCCAGCCAACACCAGCAGTCTTCAACCATCCCGACGTCCCAAGCCGCGCAACCCATCGCCGCTGGTAACATACTATGAGCCAAAATAATGACATGACCTTTGTCCTTCCTCCGGTCTATCCATACATATTATTTTTGTGTATTAATATAGCCACTAGCCTTTGATCCGGCATCCATCTTAGCGGTTATCTTCACTCACATATCCCCCTTACTTCCTCCTCACCTTTTCTCACTTTCCTCTTTCTTGTTTCTTCTTTCTATGCTCTTCCTCCTATCCTTTTTTTCTCCCGATCTATGTCCATGTACTCCTGATCTCACCTTTATCATCCTTGTTATTCCCGTTTCATCTCTTTGCCTTATCTCCTTTCTTCTCTTCGCTATTTCCCTCGTTTGCCTTCTTGCCCTCCTTACTTTCCCCCCCTTCTTCTCACTCCATTCGCAGGCTCGGCTGGACTCAACGAGGCTCACTGTATCAAATCAACGTCTTTATCTTCATTCCTGCTTTTACAGTTTATTTGATTGTTTGTTTCTGTTTTTCCTTCTTTTTTTTTTTTCTCAACCCTCTTGTTCCTATCGTTGTCGTCTTTCACATAATGCTGTTTACGCCCCCCGTCTATCCTGCTTGACTCTATTATGCCACTTGTTTGTCCTCGTCTTCTTCTAATTCCCCTTCGGTGGACTGGGTCTTTTTTGTTTCTTTTCTTTTCGTTTTTACTTTATTTCCTTGTTTATGATATGATATGTCCTTTGCCATAAAATAATCTTTCTCTCTCCCTGGATAATTAGGCGGGCAGGATCGATGTAAAGCGGCAAAGGTATCAAATGGCAGCTCCCTTTGTTCATCTCAGTTTCTCTCTCTCTTTTTTTTATTACCATCTACGTCTACATCATATCTATTTGATGCCGTTTAATCTTATTATTACTTACACCTGAAAATAAATTGAAAAAAAAAAACAATAAAGGAAAAAAGTAACTTGTCGATATGCCTTGGTCGTGGTCTGTCCTTATGATACGGTGGTTGCTTGTCCTGCCTGGTTGACCGACACCCTGTTTCGGCATAATTCATCAGAATAGCATCATCACAACAGACCGGTAGCTGTAGCTAGGTATGATGACCTGACAGGGAGATTCAATCAATAGTCGATCAGTCAGGGCAAGGATGATCATTGAATCCCTGTATTCTCTTGAGGGCTGTGCTTGCTACGCCAGTTTTCTCCTCTTGTGCTCCGTCCCCTCAGCCAATATAAGTAGGTTTCCCCGGCCAGCTCTGCTCCGTACCACCATACAGAGCAAACCAACTACTAATGCAATGTACGGAGTAGCTACTAATGCATATAACATATTCAAGACGAACCAGTCGAAACGCCTGGCATGTCGGCCGATGGTCCGATCCGCTCGGAGAAGGCCAAGGGAGCGAGTTTGTAGTTGGGCGGCGAATGCAGGGGGCGGTGAAAGCGAACGACTCCGGCCTGACAGTGGCACGTTATCTCATGTATAGTTGTGTATACCTAAGGGATAACTGCGGGCCATCCTGACAGGGTCAGAAGTCAAACCTGGTGAAGATGAAAGGGAAAAGTGACTTGTCTTTCGCTTTGTCCTGGTTGTACCTAATAATGGGTGGTTCCCCCCAGGTCTAGAAGGTTGAATCGACGCTGGGCGCGGAGTAAAAGTATTGAAGTATCAAAGTAACCTGCAAGCGGTAAAAGGAAGAGACGGAGCGAAGAAGAAACGACCCCTGTTGGGCTCCCTCGTCTCCGCAGCTTATCACTGGCGCAGAAGCCGTCGGATGCAGCCGTGGAGAAGGCGAGGGAAAAGGGGGTAGACTTGCTGCCGGCGAGCGATGAGACAAGACATGGGCGATCAGGCTGGAGGGAACTAAGGTCAGTTAGCTAGTTAGGAGCAGCTGACTCGCCACAGAGTGACCGCCAGAGGGACACCGCGGTGAATAGAGCCGCCAAAGGGGGGAGTAGCAATGACATTGACACTGATAGGCGATAATAATAGCAGTAGAACGCGATAAGCAGGCGATAGAGAAGACGAAGAAGAAGAAGAAGAGGAAGAAGAAGTTCTGCTGAGGTGACTTCGCCCAGCCACGTGACCCCAGGGCGCTTTTCTGCCTTTTTCTCTGCTTCACCGACTTCCGCCGACTTTCTTCTTCTTCTGCTCGACATCAACGACCAACGACGACGACCTCTCGCTGCGTGCTGGCTCAAGGGACGCCCCTTGACCTCCATCAGACCCAGGACAGCTCCAGGTCCTCCTCCTCCCTCCCGCAGGGGCAGACAGGTATGTCGGACTTCTCTTGCTTCTTGGCGGTGACGCTGGTGCTGCTGCTGCTGCCCTTCAGTTAGCCGCCGCCCCCCAAAAAAAGGATAAAAAAAGCCAGCCTCACCACTTCAACCTCACCTTTCAACCACCCAACTCCCGCCACTTCATCACACATTAAACACCCATCCTCCCTCACCTTTCAGGCCTCGACACGGCCTCTCCCTCCTTCTGCCTTGTTTCTTCTTCCCCTTGTTCTCCTCTCGCGTCTGCTCTGCTTGTTTATATCGAAGAGAGGGCCTGGGAGAGCAAAAAACTTCCACCTTGCTAACCTGCCTCTTCTACTGCTACTAGCTACCACATCTCGGCCCGTTGCATAACCTGAACCGTTTTTTTTTTTTTTTTTACACTACCTGCCTTGCCTGCAGGGAAGACAGACTGAATACAAATACAAGAGCGAATATTAAAACGCCTCATCCGTCGAGCAGTGTTTCACACGCACACATACATACATACAGAACCCTTCTCTCTCCCTCAAAAGCAGTCTTTTGATTACTGCTTCTGGTATCCCTCACGATGACGACCATGGTTAGTCTATATAGGTTCTTGGAGAGGAAAATATGGCTTGATCTAACGATAGATAGGATCTCCGTGTTGGAAACAAGTATCGTATTGGTCGAAAGATCGGAAGTGGCAGTTTCGGTGATATCTACCTTGGTGCGTACAGTCCTTCCTACAACACACGTACACACTGATATGTCTAACGATATGTGCAGGAACAAACATCATCTCTGGCGAGGAGATCGCCATCAAGCTTGAGTCTGTCAAGGCCAAGCACCCACAGCTCGAATATGAAGCCCGCGTCTACAAGTCTCTTGCCGGTGGAGTTGGCATTCCATTTGTTCGCTGGTTCGGCACTGAATGTGACTACAATGCCATGGTCATCGACCTCCTTGGTCCTAGCTTGGAGGATCTATTTAACTTCTGCAACCGCAAGTTCTCTCTAAAGACCGTTCTCTTGCTCGCTGACCAGCTCATCTCGCGTATCGAGTACATCCACGCAAAATCCTTCATCCACCGTGATATCAAGCCAGACAACTTCCTTATGGGCATTGGAAAGCGTGGTAACCAAGTCAACGTTATCGATTTCGGTCTGGCCAAGAAGTACCGTGACCCAAAGACTCACTTCCACATCCCTTACCGTGAGAACAAGAACTTGACTGGTACTGCCCGTTATGCCAGTATCAACACCCATTTGGGTGTCGAACAATCCCGCCGTGACGACATGGAATCCCTCGGATACGTCATGCTCTACTTCTGCCGTGGATCTTTGCCGTGGCAGGGACTAAAGGCCGCTACCAAGAAGCAAAAGTATGACCGTATCATGGAAAAGAAGATGACCACTCCAACCGAGGTTCTCTGCCGTGGATTCCCTAACGAGTTTGCCGTCTACCTAAACTACACCCGTTCTCTTCGCTTCGACGACAAGCCAGACTACTCCTACCTCCGCAAGATCTTCCGTGATCTCTTTGTCCGCGAGTCGTTCCAATACGACTACGTGTTCGACTGGACCGTCTACAAGTACCAGAAGAACGCCCAGGCTATTGCTCAGGCCACTGGAAACGCTGGTAACGGCCAGGAAGAGGATGAACGCCCACGCCGCATTGCCAACGCTAACGTTGCTTCTGGAAACCCGGCCATCCAAAACAAGCCCACCGTTATGGCCCCTCGCCGCAAGGTGATGGACCGTGGAGCCTACGAAAACCCAGATGCGAACCGTGCAATTGGCGGAAGCGATAGGATGTGAGTATCTGCAACCGTTGGTTCCGAGTAAGGAACAGACCCTCCCCTTTCTGCCAGTGAGCTCGTGCTTTGAAGTGGTCCGTTTGACGAAGACGCTTGGGCTGGCCTGCACGGAGAGGGACAATCCCTTTTCCTTCTTGTGTTTTCCATCGAAAATCTGACTAATGTTATAGTTTTCGGCGCTAGGCTTCGTTCCGCTTCTAAAGGTGGTGCTAACCTTATGGGTATCGGTGGTTATCATTCATCCCCTTACCACCGTTCATCGAAGCGGGATGATGGTAACAACGGCACTCAGTGGTAATCATCTAATAAGCAACACAGTTTTTTCTTCTTTTAATGATTTGAGTGGGATATTCTTTCCGCAAGAGGGGGGCCATGTTGGAAAGAATGACTTTTTCCACACATACTGCACCCCCCAATGTCCTCTCATGTCTACCATTTTCATACCCTGAACTTTGGGATAAGATCATTTTTATCTACCCTATCGTTCAGATCTGTCTGTTCTACAACTCTCCTCCCTTGTCATGACTGTTTATGCTCCGATCACATCGATTTTCTCTCCTATCATCTTGTCTGCTTCCTGGCCTGAATCTCGAATCCACCGTTTCAACTGACCGGCACCGACATCAACACCGGCACTTTTTTTACTATCCTTCCTTCTTTCGTGGATTATTAATACCAACATGGGACCTCGAGATGCAACCAAGCAGTCATCTATCTTTTGTGTTCGAGCAGAACTACGTCATATTCATCATCAAGGGGGGCAGAGCTTTTTCAGACAGACATTCTTTTTGGCAGGATATCGTCTTTTAACAGTTTCATTGGGCATGGCTGTTGACGATCCTGTCTCTCCATAATGACCGAGGATTGAATCATCAGATACGGAACCGGGTTTACTCTTTTTACACTTCAACAAAAAACCAGCAACAACACATACCAGGGCAGCAGCTTCAGTTAATCAACATCAACCTCGCCAGGGCGCCGTATTGTGTTATGATCCGGCTTCTTCCATCCTCGATCATCCAGGCATTTCTTATCTGTTTTCCCTTTTTTCTTTTTCATCCTAGCATCCCCCTTTTCCCCCATGCTTACGTTTTTTGCATCATCAAATTGACGTTTCCTTAGCTTGTTCATATCATGCTTTCATTTCCTAATTTTCTTTTGTTTTACTCTGCTCTATTCTAATGAAGGGGACGCGAGGACAGGGGATGGGCAGTGGAGAAGACTGCACGTTGAGAGTTGAGAGGAACACCGGGTATGGGTATGGTCGAGGAGCAGCAAAAAGGCACCGATATTTACAACGTTCGACATCCTTTATTTTAAACATTGGTCACAATACTACATACAGCCTCCGTCTTCTTCGGGGGTTGGCTCTTATGTGTATATGTGTGTGTATCGGTACCCTTCGAACGCAACTCCACCTTCCCCTCTCTCAACAACAAAGTGGTACACGACGACGGAATATGGCTAGGGTCGCTTCCGGGGTGGTATCGTTATTTTGTTTCTTGTTCCCCTACGTCACTGATTTTCAATGCATGCTTTTACTTTCTTGTTTCTTTCTCTTGTTTTGCGCCCGACCAATCTCCCCTTAGCACACACACAGCACAGCATTATTCTTTTGAGAGACGAGTATTTTTTTTTAAGGTCATTTCAACATTCAATTCGGAAAGGCAGCTCGAGCAGTGGTGGGCGATGGATCGGATTTGATTTGGCAAAGGAGAGCACGCGTGAGGATGAATTGCTTTGCACGGCCGGGGACGAGGGGAGCAAAAATGCTGAACTGACCTGCCCGATTGGAGATGATCTTTCTTTTTAACTCTGTTTCCATTTTGTCCCTTTTTTTCACGTCTCTCCTTTACCTGCACTGCTTCATTTCCATTAACTAATCAAGTCAATTAAATAACCTAACTTGCCCATCAGCAAATCCAAATATCTTACGCTCGCTACCCATACTCAAAGCCGAGTCTATCTAAGTATAGAGTAACTCCGTTGGAGCCTCGTTCGTTAGCTAACCAGTCAGTTACGTCAAAGCCGAGGAAGGAGATTCGCTAACAAGGTAGCTAGTTACGTTAGATAAAACGACCAAGAACAGCCAGAACAAGGCATGAAACAAACACCGGGACAAACCCAGCGGGAACCGGGAGTTCTCCATCTTTATCTTATTACTCTTCCATATTCAGCTCACGGGTGATGTAGTCAGTTACCTGATCACCGGCGGACCCTCGCTTCGAAAGCAGTAGTGTGCTCCGTAACCCGCTGTGGATGCACGGCCGGCTGGGTGCTCATCCTCCTGCTGCCCCATAACCATATCTCGACTTCGCCACTGCGAGAAGATTCCGATGATGAAGCCGATGATGAAGCCGGTGGGTGAATCGGACGGACGAGTTCATGCGAGTAAGTAAGGACCCGAGAGAATTAGGTACGGCTATGCATGCACCGTGCTGTAAGCTATTTATGTACTTTTGTCCCCTCCGCCCGGGAAGCGTTCCGTCAACTGCTATTACTTAGTTGCATCGCAACATTAATGTTAATAATGCTAATGCTTAAACACCATGGCTAGCTAGCTAGCTAGTTCGTTGATGCTGGCGGTGTTTTAACTACTTCCCCGAGATGTGCACGAGCGGAAGAATACGAAAGGGCCCCCCTGAGTTAAAATTGTTTTGATGAACGAACTGCACTACGCTAGAAGTACCACATTAGCCGAACCGAACCTTCAGAGAAATAATGGATTAGAAGCAGGAAAGGAGGCCCAGAAGGCCACCGGTTAGTTAAGCAGGCGGCGGGTAGCAAGGTAGGTTAGTAGGGAAGAGCAGGCAACGAGGTAGCCCGGCTGCCTGGCGGGCCAGTTGGCGTTCGTAGAGCGCCCGTATTCTACTTACCATTTCGTTTTAGTTGGTTACCTTTATCGGCAGCCATTTTGGATAGACAACTATAGCTAAAGCAGTTAGGGTACTTAGCATGTTAGTTGGCTGGGGTCATGGGTATGTATGATTTTTTTTTTTTTTTGATATCCAGCTTCCCGACGGGGTATGGCCTGGACGGGTAGGAGGAGATGAAGCATCCCTGCCAGGAACTCGAGGGAGTATAAAATAGCATCCCAGGCCGGCAACTAGTTAGACCACCTTAGCTAGGCCCCAGCTTCATTAAAACTACCGCATTATTTTGCCGCCTGGAGAAGGGGAAAAAGCCACTCGAAGCTTGGTTTGGGGAGTGGGATGCGTGGTATTTGGGTTGCAGTTGAATATTAACCAGACTCGTAATCAGGCGCTGGTCAAGGAAGAAGCTATCAAGGAAGAGAGGAAATTGAACAAGGAGAAAAGGGTGGCCAGGGCTGGAGGAGGCGCTTCTGTCATAGCGGATGGTCGTCGAAACGGGCGCCCTTGGCGGGACACAAGGGTGTCGTTATATGTGGCGGCTGCAGCAGATGTACGTAACTAGCAGAAGTCACAGGAGAAGGTCTAAACTGTCTGTGTAGCAGGTAACAGGTAGCAGGTACTCCGTAGCAGGTTGAGGTTGGACATGTCCCAGAGGTTTTAGGTTACTCCGTTGTATACTCGCACGCTACACTGGTCTCCATCGAGCAACTACCAGGCCTGCACATAAGGTAGATAGATGCCAGAGGGAGGGGTGGGCCATGGATCGTGGGATGCGACGGGATGGAGCCGTTAAATCCGCAGCCAGGGGTGAGGTAGTAAACCACCTGCTTCGTTCGCATGGTCTTTTCGATGTGGTGCAGCAGTTCTGCACGCAGTTTGACGCAAGGCCTGGCCCGGCTTCCCTGGGCTGAAGAAAGCAACAAAGGTGAGAAGAAGGATGGTTGGTTGGTTAAAAAACTAGCTAGCTAGGCAGATGGGGGGTGGATGGCCTGGGTTTGATACGTTTGGGCTTGGTTTGGATGTTTCTTTTTTAAACCGGCCGCATCATTCGCTCGCTGGCTGTTCGTCCGATAGCCCTCGCTCTTATTATTGTTAAAGTATTGCATCTTTTCGTCGTTTTCCGGCTTTGCTTTTTCCTCAACTTGGCTCGCCGTTGACCAGGACGGGGCAATGGAGAAGGGGGGTCTGCGACGGGGCCGTTAGCTGGTGGCTGCTCGATGGCTTGTCTCTGGGTGGCCGCTGAGGGAGGAGGGCCGGGCTGGTGAACCAGGGATGCCATGCCTCCTGGTTGTGAGCTGGCTTAGGGCAGCGAGCCAACTGGACAGGAAGACCAGACAAGCCCATGGAAGGTTGACTCTATCGGGGACTATCTCGCACTAGCTATGGATTGTCGTCACCATAAGCGGCAAAGGTGGCTTGCCCGGACACGAGATTTCAGATTCCCATCTTCCTTTTTTCTCCTGACGGGTTCGTAACGAGGTGGAAGTTGGGAAGAGAAAAAGCAAGCCCTTTCTTGGTCGAGGAGACTCCAGGTGACTGACTGACAGACAGAGAAGAGAAGAGAAGGCCAGAGTGATATTGATAGAAGACGAGGCGGAGGCAGAAGGAAAAAGAAAGGAAAAGAGGGACCCGATATCAAAATCCAAACGATCATCCTCAGCATCATCCTTGACCTTCTGGCTCTCGGTCTCTCTCGTCTCTTCGCACATATCATTCTCTTCATCTCTCGTAATCCCTGTTGTTAACTTCCTGTTCCCCACACCCTTTTTTTGAAATCCACATTAGACCGAGAGCCTTGCATATCAGAACGCAAGTCTGTATATTCATATATATATTTCAAACTCCCCGGGTGTTCGAAGCTGCTGCATCTTGCCTCTTTTCCCCGACTGAGCTGCTGCTTGCTTTATCGTTCTTGAAATCGTTTCTTTCGTCTCTCCGGCCGGAATTGTAGCTCTCGTCGTCCATCATGGAATACCCGTACTTCTCGTCTGCTCCCCAGCAGGCGTATCCATATTACGGCCAGCAGCCACCTCAAGACCCTTCACAGGAGCAGTTTGGTTCGTTGGTGCCAGGACCTGTATGCTTCCATTTTTTTTTTTCTCCCTGTCCTTTTGTTCGTCGTTTGTAGTTTTTATATCGCAGCTTTCAAGGTTGTTCTGGTCCCCGTGCAAGGGGGTAGTTACTGATATGCATAACTAGGATCAGCAACAACAGCAGTTTGGCCCTTCTTTCCAGCAATTCGAGCAATATCAGTTCAGCCATCCTCCTCTTCAGGGCCAGATTAACAGTATACCTTCGGCGCATTATCCGAGACAGTCTGTCGAAGCAGTAACGAGCGGTCCATCGATACCCACTGCTCTGGGAAGAGAGATCAAGCAGGACTCCATCGATTCGAATGCCTTTCCACAGTCCATCCCCAATGAGAATGGGGAGGATGGCCAGCAAGACCGTGATCCCCGTAGTAGCAGTGAAGAAAAGGACAGCAATATGACTCCAGCCCAGAGTCGCCGGAAGGCCCAGAATCGAGCTGCGTATGTTCAGCCCGCCCACGATATGAAGAGGCGTTCGATATATACTCACATGATAACCAATTTATAGCCAGCGAGCCTTCCGTGAACGCAAAGAGAGACGAGTTCGCGACCTCGAGCAAGAATTGACGGAGTACAAGCAGAACTTCTCCAACCTGCTCGAAGACAACGAAGTACTCAAGCGTCAAATGGCAAAGGTAGCCACTGAAAACGAGATCCTCCGCGCAACTTCAAAAGTAGCCCACTGCCATTCTCCTGCTCATGAGCCCGAACCCACGACTACGGGACCTATGATATATTCCCCCAAGGACTACAGCAGCACTGCCAGCACCGTCAGCGGAGGCAGCGGACCGTCCTTAGAACGCGAGAAGCACGCCAAACCGATCCATCCGATACGAGTCTGTGAAATCACCGGTGAGAGACTGTTAGATGCGTCCGCTACCTGGGACTTGATAGTTAGCCATTTGTCAGATTCAGGCGCCAAACTGGATGTGCAGGACATATACGACCGGTTAAAAGGGCGTGCTCAGTGTGACGGCACTGGCCCAGTCATCGGAGAGTCACAGGTTATCAAAGCAATACAAGATAGTATTGCTGCTGGCAACGACGAGCTGATCTAGAGGATACTCTCTGCTTATGCTTCTGCTTCTTGGTTTTTTGTTTGATGGTGGGTTGGATTTTACGGGTGTTGCGGGACATGGGCATATCATAACAACATCGTCGTCGTCGTCTTCTTCCTCTTCCTCTTCTTCTTAGATATCCCCTTTTATATCTTCTCCATTTGCTCTATTCTTCCACTTCCGGCTGTTTTGACTCTTATGGTTGGCAAAATATGTTCTATCTCAGCCTCTTCACGTACTGATATCTACTTCGTTTGGCCCAGGGAGGTCCGTCTCCTGGCCTGCTCTACTTCTCTGTCCGTTTCAATTGCCCCTTTTGGCCATGCCAGTGCCCTCCTATCCGCCGTGACATTGGGGCCTTCATCTTCTCTCCAGGGTTCTCCGCAGGACCCCTGGCTGGAGCCCTAATACCCTGTATCCTGGCGGATGGCCGTAGTCACAGTCTGCCCCTCAGCCACAACACCGACAATGCGCAAGGGCGTCCTCGGGATGCACTTACATACAACTGGGGACTATCAACGGTCAATTTCCAGTAGTTGAAACATGGGTGAGACGTGATGCTAGCTTTCCATGTGATCCGATCGGATGCACGCTATGACCTTGGAGACAAGGAACAGGTATGTAGTTACAGTTATATCGCGGTCAAGAATCATAATCTTCATTTGCCCCCAGAGCCAGCACCCATGCTTGCACATTGATGCAGGGAAGATTGGCCCTTTCAACCGTAAACTATCGATTTCAGAGACCGCACCCTTGCCCAGGCTCCATTTAAATATTCTTTTACCTAACCAGAATCGTATATAATACACATATTCACAAAAGGCCAAGAGAGGGTCAAGGAAGGGAGTATATTGCAAAAAAAGCAGAAACAATATTCAATCCCAGTCGTCGTAATCATCCTCATCTTTCTCTGCCGGCTTCGGTGTACTAGATGCATTCTTCAACCGGCTATCATGTTCGTCCAATGCACCCAACTCAACAAGCACTTTTTCCACATCCTCGGCTCGAGTCCGTGTCCCATTCAGTTCCCGCAGTGTGATGATCTGCTTCTTGATGTCACCGTCCTTGTAGACGAGTATGGTAGGTGTGTTTCTTTCCGGGTACCCCTCAATGCACAGGTCGGCGCGCATCTCGCAGAATTTGATATCCCCGTACTTGGCGGCTAGTTGCCTCCATATATCGGTGAGTATCCGGGATTCTATGTTGTTTCCCAGCGAGGAGGTAAGGTGCACTAGCACAAAGTATTTCGAAGATGCTTCGGTCACATCTTTGGCGTAGTCAGGTTTTTGAAGTGGGTAGACCTGGTTGTGGATGCTTGTCTGTTGTATTCGTGACAATTCCTGAAACCGCTTTTTCCTGCCAGCACATTCAGTAAGTGGGCTATTTTTCGTATCTTTATAGGTATAATTTCTTCTCGTAGTTACCGGTATTGCTCTAGGAATTCCTCATCTTCTTCATCCTCCAGGGCGTCGAGTTCGTCCAAGGTCTTATCTTCTAACCGGTTCTCGTGTTCAAGCTGACGGGCCTTCTCGATTGCTTCTTCTATAATTGGAGTAGGAGATGGAGGCTTTTCCGGTATAATTCCATGTTTCCGAAGAATATCGTTCCTGACCTGATGTTAGTATTTCTGGATGGTGGATGCGGGACAGTCCCTGATCTAGAAAAGCATAAGACTTTACCATTCTGTGTCAGCATTTGGGTCATCGATAGGGACATTCACAGGCATATCCATTTTGAAAACGTGCCAGATAAAAAAGGCCAGATATATATAGATACAAAAAGCTCTTCTGGGAGGCGTTCTCTTCGTCGTCCTTTTGATGCCTGAATTTGCGGCTTATCGCGAACCACGATAAGTGACATCAGAACGCTGGTGCCTGTTACCACATGTGGAGTGTTTGTCTTGTTTGTCTCAACTACCCCCTCATATCAGTCCCCTTTTTCTTCCTGGCATATATATCAATTTGAATATAAGAGATATAGATATAAGGATTCTTAACAGACATAGCGGAGGATTTCACAACCAATTCTATTTTTATCAGTGAGTGTATGAGGGACATTGGCCTGCTCAACAGCCTATGGAAGCCAATTCTCCCTTCAATGTTATTCATCTTTGCTTAAAATTGGATAGGGTTTGCCCCAGAGTAATTGGACTCTTGCAGCCACCAAACTCCGCAAGCACATCTACAATTCACTTGTATAAGTTCAACAGAAGATCTACGGAGTATAAACAAGCGCTTTTTGCCTCCTTTCGCCAGATCCATATCACGTGATTGAATGTATATCACGGGGCTCCAATAAAAAGGTCGACAGTGAGGGACAGGTTGTCTATATGACATAAGCAAAGCTGCTCCTGCCAAGGATCTAAGCGGTAACTGTAAAGTTGAATTTAATGAGGTCACGCAAAAAGATGAGTCAGCAAGCTCACATCAACGCCGCGAATCGATCAGGAAAGGGAAATTGTTAGTGCTGTGGACACCTGGTCTCGAGTATCGTCTGTCCACGAAGACGCCCGTCGACCGCTCGCTCCACTTCCTCGCACTCTTCGATCCCTATACCGTCGCCATGAGCTACATGAAGAAGGACGAGGACGCAGACCAAATGATGATGAAGTTGGACAGGACATCCGTTTTCCAGGATGGTACGTCCGCCCTACTTTTGGCCCTGTTACCCTTTTTGGGCGGCGGATATAAAAAACCGCCCCCAGTCTTCCTGTTGTATTGGCAGCTATTCAGCTAATCTCTTCTCTTAAACAGCCCGATTATTCAATTCGTCCCCTATATCACCGCGAAGATGCCGGACTCTGTTAACAAAGCTTGCCGTTCTAATGTTCACCGGCGAGAGATTCCCCACGGATGAAGCTACGACACTCTTCTTTGGAATCTCGAAGCTCTTCCAGAACAAGGACCCATCTCTACGACAGATGGTGTATCTTATCTTGAAGGAGCTCTCCAATACCGCACAGGATGTCATCATGTCAACTTCTATAATTATGAAAGACACTTCTGTTGGCAGTGATGTCCTATACCGAGCGAACGCTATAAGGGCCCTGTGTCGTATAATAGATGTACGCTATCTATTCATATGCAAAAGAAAATGGCCTTTGCTTCTATTTAATGTGATATACTTACCTCATTTCCTTTATTTTAGGCCACCACTGTACAGGGTATCGAGCGACTCATTAAGACTGCCATTGTGGATAAGACGCCCTCGGTTTCCTCCGCCGCTTTAGTTTCCGCATACCATCTTCTTCCAATTGCAAAAGATATTGTCCGGAGATGGCAGAGCGAAACCCAGGAAGCTGCTTCTTCCGGGAAGCAGTCTGGAGGCCTTCTCAGCTTTACGTCGTCAACACAGCGCCATACCATGTCCCAGACCAGCTATATGACACAATACCATGCCATTGGTCTCCTCTGCCAGATGAGAGCTCATGACAGAATGGCAATGGTCAAGATGGTACAGCAGTACGGTTCCGGTGTCGTTAAGAGTCCCCCCGCAATCGTTCTCCTCGTGAGACTCGCCGCAAAATTAGCCGACGAGGATCAAAGTCTACGAAAACCCATGATGCAGATGCTGGAAAGCTGGCTTCGAGGGAAACATGAAATGGTTATTTTCGAAGCGGCCAAGGCAATTAGTGAGATGAAGGACGTAACCGACGCAGAGGCTGCCCAGGCCGTCAACGTCCTGCAACTTTATTTGTCCTCTCCTCGAACCACCAGCAAATTCGCTGCCATCCGTCTATTGCATACTTTCGCATCCTTTAAGCCACATGTCGTCAACGCCTGCAACCAAGATATCGAATCCTTGATCTCCAATTCCAACAGATCTATTGCCACATTCGCCATCACCACCCTTCTTAAGACCGGAAATGAAGCTAGTGTTGATCGCCTCATGAGCCAGATCTCTGGTTTCATGTCCGATATCACAGATGAATTCAAGATCACTATTGTGGAGGCAATCCGGACACTGTGTCTCAAATTCCCAAGCAAGCAAGCTGGAATGCTCTCTTTCATCAGTGGTATCCTTAGGGATGAGGGTGGCTATGAATTCAAGAAGAGCGTTGTTGAGAGCATGTTTGATCTTATCAAGTTCGTCCCAGGAAGTAAAGAAGAAGGTAAGTTTTCAAACTGACGTTATCTATATGTTTCGCTTGTATGGCTTGCTAACGGTTTATACAGCCCTTTCCCATCTCTGTGAATTCATTGAAGACTGCGAGTTCACGAAATTGGCGGTTAGGATATTACATCTCCTCGGCGTCGAAGGCCCAAAGACACCCAATCCCACCAAATATATCCGGTATATCTATAACCGGGTTGTCCTTGAAAATTCAACTGTCCGGGCCGCCGCTGTTACTGCTCTAGCTAAGTTCGGCGTCGGTCAGAAAGACCCTGAACTACGACGAAGCGTTATCGTACTCCTCAAGAGATGTTTGGATGATACCGATGATGAAGTTCGTGATCGTGCTGCCCTTAACCTCAGATTGATCGATGATAGTGAAATTGCTGAGCGATTTATTGCCAATGGTATGATGCCTAGTGCTATTTGAAAGGTTCAATACTGACTTACGCCCACAGATACCATGTACTCTTTATCTACTTTTGAACACCAGCTTGTCATGTATGTCACTGCAACTGACAAAGAGACCTTCGCAACCGCATTTGATTTGTCAAAGATCCCGGTCGTGTCCCAAGAGCAAGCCCTAGCCGAAGAGAGAACCAAAAAACTTACTTCGGCTACACCAACTCTCAAAGCTCCAACTTCTGGCCCTTCAAAAGCAAAGCAAAATGGGGCCGCCGATGGAGCAGCTGCAGCTCAAGCAACGACTCAGAAATTTGCCGAGGAGCTGGCACAAATCCCCGAACTCAAGGAATATGGAACTCTTCTCAAATCCTCCTCACCTATCGAGCTTACCGAGCGGGAGACCGAATACGTTGTCACAGCCATCAAACATATCTTCAAAGACCATATCGTTGTACAGTATGACATTAAAAATACCCTTCCTGATACTGTACTCGAAGACGTGTCCGTTGTTGCAACTCCTTCAGAAGAAGAGGAGTCACTTGAGGAGGACTTTATTGTCCCTGCTCCAAAACTGGTACCAAACGAGCCTGGCCTAGTATATGTTGCATTCAAGAAGGCCGGCGGTGAACATGACTACCCCATCACATCATTCACAAACGTCTTGAAGTTCACTAGCAAGGAAATTGACCCCACTACTGGCGAGCCTGAAGAAACTGGCTATGAAGATGAATACCAAGTGGAGGATCTTGAGCTCACGGGCAGTGACTATGTTGTTCCAGCCTTTGCGGGCAACTTTGATCATCTCTGGGAGCAGACTGGTGCCAATGGCGAGGAAGCTAGCGAAACCCTACAGCTATCCAACATGAAGGGTATATCAGGTAAGATTAAGTATTTTTTTTATTCCATAACTATCGTACAATCTATTTGATTACTAATTTATGTTCAATCATAGATGCCACTGAGCAACTCATTGCTACTCTATCCTTGCAGCCCTTGGAAGGCACGGATGTCGTTCTCAATAACTCCACACATTCACTCAAGTTATATGGAAAGACTGTATCTGGAGGCAAAGTCACTGGCCTGGTACGGTTGGCGTACTCCGCAAAATCTGGTGTCACCACCAAGATAACGATCCGAGCGGAAGAGGAAGGTGTTGCTGCCGCAATCATAACTTCAGTTGCATAAAGCTAGCGGCCCCCTCTTTTATATCCTTGTCTCATTCACGTTGGTGTTTAGATGGGTAATGACCTGTTTGGAATTTCCTTTCTCGCTTCCTATTATCAAAAAGATGACCTAAGCGGTTTTCGATTCTTGTCGCTTATAATATGACCCGTTACTCCATCAATAACGTTCTCCTTGTCTTTGAGTTCCAACAAATATATCTCTTCCTAGCTTTTTCTATTCGTTTCTTTGGATTTCTTGGTGCGGTGGGATGAGTCGTTGGTTGCGTGTAGATGTTGCATTTTGATCGAAACGTCTTAACGAGTAAATCCTTCACCTCAAAGCCCAATTCCAGAGGGGATATCCCCGCAATTCAGCAATAAAGACGGCTAAAAATAGTAGACACCCGTCTGGATTCTACCATTTTCAAGCTTCTCTTTATCGTAGTGTCCTGAGTTCCTGGCATTCTCCATCAGAACTTTGTCCATCTCGAGTTCAAACCATTCAGACACATAGTCGATGCAAGACGCAGCGATGCCTAATAACCGAACCCGTGGAAAGGCAACTGCGCAAACCGTCTTAAGGTCCCTTACCAACTCAACACGTAGTTTGTGTTCGAGTGGTAGAGGACTTATTTCCAGTATTTCCAGAGGAGCCATCTCGGGAGACATGGTAATAATCCTCCTATAGAAACCGGGATCGCACCCACAGCCTTGCAGGCTTAAAAACTTGAGCTTTTCCATCTGGAAACAAAGAGGAGCTAGAACAGATACTTCGTCGGTTTGGCGACTGCTCAATATCCTAACGCGCTGAAGTCTATGGCAGGCGCTGTCGGTGGATAGAGTTTGGAGGATAGTGTTGAAAGGGTAATGGTTGGATTCTATGATGGTCACAGCGGTAACTGTTTCCGGCCATATGAAGTTTCCCAGGATAATGGAGTCATGTACCCTCCATAGCTGTAGCCGTTTCAACTTAGGCGGCCATTGATATAGTGGGGGAGACCTTTCGTTATGAGGGTCATTTACTTTCGGCAATCCCTTGTGGGACATCTCTGGTGGGAACCGTAAGGTCTCCAGATGCTTTAGATTGCGTACAGCATGTGGTATACTCAGAAAAGGGACTATCGTCATTAAAACAGATAGATCAACTATCCTCAGGTTTAAGCATTTGCTCATGGGAGTTAAACTAATAGTCCTACTTCAATGATAAGTAGACGCACTTTGAAGATGACCTATATCGAATAAGGAAATGTAGGAAAAATTATCATCCCTTTACACCAAGAGTATGGGGTCTTAAACTGTTCATCCAAACTAAGGATGAACGGTGACATTTACTGAGAGGTATAAAAATTAAGGAGTACTCACGAAAAGGTAGACGCAGGCGCAACGAAGACCTCGAGCTCTTCTTTACAGGCTCGTAGCAGCCTTGCAGTGACACTCTTGCTACCACTATGTGCAAGGCCCCCTAAATCAAGATGCTTAACAAAGTTGCCCAGAGGTTCTTGTATGTTATGCCTGGTTTTGCCACGGACATCTAGTGTTCCAGCAAAGGAGTCGTAGTTTCTCGCAGAGATGACTGGTTTTGAGTAGAGAAACGGAATGGCGGCGGAGTACCATTGCTGACAGACCAAGCAGCATGAAAACAGCGTCGACTGCCAGTTTTCATTCACCGTATCCTCGTCCGAGGCGAAGGAGAGGATGGTGATGACGATTTCAGTGGGGAGGAACGCCCCCTTGGTCTGGGGAGCCTTAGCCATTATAGCAAATATGGCTTCATGGGGCGTTTTATTGATATTTGGCCATGTTTGGTGCAAGATTATGGCGGGAGTCCAGAGACAGCGGTCAACGAAAACCTCATTGCTTTTGCATTTTATCGATCTTCTTTGCTTCTCAAAAGTATTTTATCCCTTCGAAAAAGCAAAGTCGCCAGCTGCAAGTCGATCTTGACGTTTTGAAACTTTGTCGGGCCGAGGCTTAGGTCACGTGGATGGACCCTGTCGCGCGGGAAGTGTTATTTCTGAATAATGCTTAACCTACATCCTGCACGGAGACGAAGCTCGGCGGTTACGGCGACGGGACAAGAGGTGTATAGGTATCACGCTCAGGGGTGTTATGTCGTGGGTGTGCACCGGTGATTTGACGGGGAGAAGAGAGATATAATCCACGTTCTTGTGTGAAAACTACGATGCAATTAAGACGAATTCCTTTCCCCGTGGGCGTTTCTGGGGTTCCCCGGCCTCGCCTGGTCACTCGTTCACTTGCAGCCTCATACATCCAACGGGGTTTCAAGACATCTACAACCGCCCCTTTGGAAGCTCCCAACTTCGCATTTGCTTTTGAGTGAGATTTATTCCAATCTAGATGTTACTCCCAAGCCCAAGGACTAATACAAGTTGTCAGTATAGATGGTGTCCTACTTCGAGCCTCCAGACCCCTCCCGGGAGCTTCACAGTCTCTATCTCTCCTACAAAAACAACGAATACCTTTCATATTGCTCACGAACGGAGGTGGCATGTCAGAAGAGGAGAGAATCGCTCAGTTGAGTGATAGACTAGGGATACCGCTGGACCCAGAGTTGATAATTCAAAGCCACACACCATACACACAGCTCGTGAGAGGTAAACATGATCAGAAACCGCTGGAAAATAAGACTGTTTTAGTGGTCGGTGGAGACGGTGATAAGTGCCGGGATGTTGCCAAACAGTATGGTTATCACAATGCAAACCCCTCCGGATTCACCTCTCGCTAACATTGCATAGGTATGGGTTTAAGTCCATGCTAACACCTGGTGACATATTTATGGCCCATCCATCCATTTGGCCATTCTCTTCGGCTTTTTCACATTATTATAAAGGGATCACGAAGCCTCTCACCAACTCGATAGATCCTATTGATCCTTCAAAGGGTCTCAAGATCGATGCAATCCTCGTTTTCAATGACCCACGAGATTGGGCGCTTGATATCCAGATCATTATCGATCTTTTACTCTCACGAGAGGGCATTGTCGGGACAATATCGGACAAGAACAATAGGGATGACCTTCCAAATCGTGGTTATCAGCAAGACGGCCAACCGGCCCTATATTTCTCCAATCCTGACCTACTCTGGGCAGCTGGTTACCATCAACCTCGTCTCGGCCAGGGAGGCTTTTGTGCAGCCCTTGAAGGTGTTTGGTCTGCAATGACGGGCGGATCTGAATCCGGCGTGGCACTGCTGAAGACTATGATTGGAAAACCACATAAGTTGACTTACGACTTTGCCGAGCAAAGGTTGATAGAACTAAGGAATAAGCGTTTCCAAACGGATGTTCCAGCTCCCTTGGAGACGATCTATATGATTGGTGACAATCCAGAATCTGATATCAGGGGCGCCCATTCATACATCAGCTCTACTAATGTGAATTGGGTCCCCGTGCTAGTAAGGAGTGGAGTGTACACAGGTGGAACGCCTACCTGGACTCCCAAGACTATAGTTGATGGGGTTGGAGAAGCTGTCAGTTGGTCTCTAGCTCAGTCGAATTGGAAACAACATCTCTCGGATAGATAAGGACAAAGAATGTTTTGTTTGATTAATACAATAGAGTACGGAGTATAGATTTCAGGGAAACAGAGATATTCATTACAATATGGGATGTTTGCTTACTATCATAGAGTTGTGAAGATGCTGCACGGCGTTTTCTTGTGTAGTACCGAAGCTGAATAAGCGACAATTCGGGTCTTATCCACGCGTCCAACCAATCATAGCTATTAAATACATAAAATACAGGGCTCTGCGTGCTGAAATAAGCTTTAAGGGTGGGATGACTCATCACGTGCCTTTTTTCAATCTCGCGGGGGGTGAAAGTGACGACGGAATTTTATGTGATTTGAACACGGTTATCGCTCCAGCTTGTTGTTAGCATTCTTGCATTCGGTCGTCTGCTAGAGGATAAGGCCCCTCGGATATCCTTCAATAGTCAATCAATTCCTGACACACCACAGCCGAGCGATGGATAAGCCTACAGAATCTACGCTACCCCTCCACACCAAGGAGGAGGGAGACAAACAACCTGACGCTGAAAAGCCCGCAGCGCAGGCAGAGGGAGAAGCAGCAGGACCCAGCAAGAATGCGTTAAAGAAGGCTGCAAAGGAGAAGGCAAAGGCGGAAAAGGCAGCTCAACGAGCAGCCCAACAGCAAGCAGCCGCACAAGCCAGTCAAGCCGAGGACACGGCAACACATCTATATGGGAAGATGCCGGATTCCGCAGAGGTTGAGGACGTCATGAACCTCATGAAGCTGTCAGATGAACATTACGAGAAGGAAATCACTGTTATTGCGCGTGTGGACAATGCTCGCGTGCAGAGTGCCAAACTAGCATTCCTCATGCTCAGGCAGCAAGGAAAGAAGATCCAGGCTGTGATAGCGCTAAAGGAGCCATTGTCCAGACAGATGATCAAGTGGACCGGTCAATTGAATGTCAACTCCATCGTTCAAGTGTCTGGTGTGGTCAAGAAGCCGGAAATTCCTGTTCATTCCGCCTCGCTGCCAAACATGGAACTTCATATCACCAAAATATACATGATATCGGAAGCAATCCCAATGCTTCCCATGCAAGTCAAGGATGCTGAAAGACCTCCGCCAGAGTCCACTGAAGAGGGACTAGTTGACACTGATGGGACTCCTATCGTCACTTTGAAAACCCGTCTTGACAACCGAATTCTCGATCTCCAAACCGAAACAAGCCAGGCTATCATGGCGATATCTAGCGGTGTTGCACAGTTGTTTTCGGAGTATATGTTGAAGAGTGGGTCAAGATGGATTTTCACATCTAAGATCACTGGAGCTGCCACCGAGGGAGGCAGTGGTGTTTTTGAGATTTCTTACTTTAAGCGCAAGGCGTATCTCTCTCAGAGTCCTCAGTTGGGAAAGCAGATGTGTATTGCTGGTGACATGATGAGTGTGTTCGAGATAGGACCCGTCTTTCGAGCTGAAGACAGTAACACCCATCGTCATTTGACTGAGGTAAGGCAGAATTTGCTCGGCTTGATTATTCTTCCATCCCAAACTAACAGCAAATTTAGTTCATTGGTCTCGATTTCGAAAGGACATTCCAAAAACATTACCACGAAGTTTTGGATTTCGCCGAAAATCTCCTTGTTTTCATCTTGTCCGAACTCAAGGCCCGGTTCAAGGACGAGATTGCCGTTGTCCAAAAGTCTTATCCCAAGGCCGGAGAGTTCAAACTTCCAAAGGATGGAAAAGCCCTTAGACTTAAGTATATGGAGGCTTTGGGTTTCCTGAAGGAAGCGGGCGTGGATGTCTCTGAACAGGAGCGGTTCGAGAATGACTTCACCACAGCCATGGAGAAGCAACTTGGAAGGATCATCCGTGAAAAGTACGATACCGACTTCTATGTCGTAGACAAATTCCCAAGCGCTGTCCGTCCTTTCTACACTAAGTCCTGCCCTGACGATCCCACCTTCTCGAACTCTTATGACTTTTTCATGCGAGGAGAGGAAATCATGTCAGGAGCTCAGCGAATCAATGACGCGAAGGAATTGGAAGAAGCCATGGTGGCAAGAGGAGTCGAGCCCAATCAAGAAGGATTTGAGGATTATATCAACGCTTTCCGACAGGGCTGTGCTCCCCACGCTGGCGGTGGATTGGGATTGAATCGTATTGTCCAATTTTTCCTAGGTCTGCCTAACATTCGTCTGGCAACGTTGTTCCCCAGAGATCCCCAGAGATTGCGACCTTAGACGTAGCATAGATTCAGCTGTTGTGTCCATGGGTATTCTCTTTATTCACATTATGAAGAATGACATAGAGAAAAGTCCAAAATATGTTGATACTGTAGCTTTCATATAAGATTTATGCGGCTCTTACTAGCTAGCGTCCGAGGCGCTTTAGCTGAAGTCTTTTTAGCTGGCTTCTCCAGTACCAAAACATCTTTTCGTTTGCACCTTTCCGCCTACCACCAACCGACATAAACTCACCATGAATTAAACAAGGACAATGGTGAGTTGGACAAAACCAAGTTGCTACCTGAGACATGGCTGAGAAACGCAAACTGTCTCCTTCAGATGGCTCGCCGTCTACAAAACGAATACGGCCAGCTATCGTCACAGAAGATGACATTAGCGAGGACGAGTCGCCTTCAAGGCCGCAATACCAGCAGCCACGGAGCGATCCTGTGTTCGGCCAAAGGCACGCATTTCCGGGTTTAGACGATGTCTCACAGGATGGAGAGCTGTTCTATGGCCCGGCAGATGATGGCATTGAGTATCTGCGGATGGTCAGGTTAGTGACTCTTTTTTCCAAATTAGGAGTTTCATTTCCATTAATTCCATCCAAAGCTCCATATATCTTTCTTATATTCCCTTTCATGTCTAGCAAAGGTGAGAGTATGGGCTTGTTTAGTCGGCGGCTTTTAGCTTACCTCTTTTTCTTGTTATTCTAGATCTGAAGCCAGGAACCTTCCTGTGTTCTTCGTTGCAAAGGAGAAACTCGATCCCCAGATAAAGAAGGACGGTCGCCATCCTACAAGTGCAGATGCATCCTCTATCAGAACACCTCAGGAAACGGAGCAAAAATGGATATATTCGGATGGCGTCTGTGCGGCTGTATCAAATACAGTCCTGGAAAACCAGCTAGAAGCCGGTAATTCAGATCCTGAAGACCCTCAGGAACAGTACTATAATCTCCTCCGACATCGATTTCTTCTTCTACGCTCTACCCTAAAATGCGTTCCCCCTGCCAAACTCATCGCCGCTCTTGATAACTCGCACCCTATATCTTTGCCAGCGGATAACCCTCGGGCTAGAACAGAATGGACGACACTTGTTAAAACGGTGGAACCTCAAATGGTGCAACTAGCTTGTATGGACCTTGACAGCGTTTTACGGGTTTTACGAATTGTGACGAGATCTCTGTCTGAGGCTGCTAAAAGCCCAAGTTGCTCGTGGACCACGAGAATAGCTGCATGGGCATGGGGACTTCTTGGACGATGTAGGGACGTGGGTGAAATGAGCAGTGAAGAGGTTGGTGAGCTGAGAGATCTGGGAAAGCGAGCGGGAAAGATATTAAGTAAAATTCGTGAGAAGGAAACCCAGGGTATGCTCCCGAGTGGAGTAGAGGGTAATAGTATAGCTGAGAGGCAGAGCTCGGACTGGGATGATGGAGATGAAGCAGAAGATATGCAAGAAGAGGCTGGAGAAGACAACACTGTCCAAGAACAAAAGGATGACCCTATCAGAGATGAAACCAAGAATTTGTCTGCTGGCGCTGAGGATGAATCTGAGGCTCTAGAGCTTGCTAAGAAAAGGCTGCAAGGGATGCTTTCCAGTAGCTATGCAGAGGTTTCTGAGTCGGAACAAGCTGCTCCTTCAACTGCCAACGAATTGGATAGCAACAAGGGACATCAGTTTCCCAAAAGCGAGTGGAAATACAACGCCCGCGCAATGCTTGATATGATATTGACCATTGTTGGAGAGTTCTATGGTCAGAGGGATCTCCTTGAACTACGTGATATCTGGGATGAGGCCGAGGGTCGATAATAGAGCTAGGTATTCGTCCCTGGGCTGAACTATCTATATCCTATCCAGCCTTACCTTTTGTTATGATAATAGGCGGCAATAGCTAGCATCTCGTCTAACACACAGGCTTATAAACATGTAGGCGTTGCCATCGAGAATACTCCAGGAACTAAGCGTGTGATCGCATCACTCCCTTCCAGCTATTTGCTTATTCCCTGCCAAATCTGCTTGGTGTGGATGGAACTATAAAATCACACCCCCCTGTCGCTCATCGTGTCACGTGAACTTGTTTTGGACGTCATAAGTTCGTTTGAGCCGGAGACCCAACAACTCACAACTGCATAGACGGTGTGCTGTCCAGAGCTCGATACTGTATCATTTAGCGCTCAAGGCGAGCTTGGATTGAGTGTTGACCGCAATACCCAGCTGTTTCGCATAATATAGGCAGGTTTACCATGGCTTCGAGCCCCGAAATCTCCATTCCTTCCACGAGCATTTCCGCTACGCCGAAACCTTACACTATATACAACATTTCAATCCGTCTACCTCTCCGATCACAGACAGTCGAAAAGCGATACTCTGACTTCCTCAAGCTTCATGAGTCACTTATCAGCCAGGTCGAGAAACCCCCACCAGCACCGTTGCCTAAAAAATCCTGGTTTTCAGGCACCACATCGAACGCAAAGTTTCGGGAGGAACGCCGCAAGGGTTTAGAAGAATACATACAGGCTATCAACGGCTCTGAAGACTCCCGGTGGCGCAACTCTACAGCGTGGCGGTCATTTTTGAATCTGCCTCCAAATAATGCGTCCGCACGAGCTTCCAACTTACACTCGGCCATCGCTGGGCCTGGGGCAGCAGGAGCACCGATTACTGACCCCACGACCTGGCTAGACTGCCATCGAGATGTTAAGACACATTTACATGATGCAAGGCTACACTTGACTCGACGCGATCAATCTTCAACCCCCCAGAAACAACACGAATGCTCCGCATCAGCCAAAAGCAGTCTTGTGAGAACAGGCACTTTATTGGGGGCCTTGGAAGAAGGGTTGAAGAATATTTCCGGGAATTCCGCCTGGAGCGGCTTCAAACTTGGAGAAGGAGAAATTCGCCGACGTAAAGACCTGCTTACCAGCGCTAGAAAAGAAAAAGATGCGCTAGAGGACCTCCTAAATTCCATGGCTGCCAAGAACAAACTGGACTCTGCTGTGGCTTCCATTCCAGATAAACAGGCCCTTTTGGGTATAGATGCAGCTACAGGGAGTAGAAAATCCGCAGTTAAGGGTGGTCGGGTACTGGGGAAAGAGACTAACCGCACGCGGGAGTTGGATAACGAAGGTGTTCTACAACTGCAGAAACAAATCATAGGTGAACAGGACACTGGTGTTGAAGAGATAAGGAAGATAATTGCACGGCAAAAGGAACTTGGAATTGCGATCAATAATGAACTTGAGCTCCAGCTTGAGCTTCTGAACGTTGTTGATGAAGATGCTGGAAAGTTAGTATTGCCCTTGGTCAACTTGCTTTTTCCTAGTACTGCACATCCCTTCATACTAACAGGCTTCTATTTAGGCTCAAGAGTAAAATCGATATTGCACAGAAGAGAACAAAGAAAATATCCTAATCAGCTTCCTCTGATTAAATTTCAGTTACTTTAGTTATGTATATTATAATACCCTTCTTCCAGGCCGTTCCTACTGAGCTCTGGGATTCGTTATATTTGAAGCAAGCGTTTCGTTATGATATAGAATGAAGCTAGTTGATTCTACTTGACTTTGCCAAATGCCTTCCCATCTACATAGAGCCTACATAACCACCAGCAGCTAGATATCCAGTATCTTTCTGCTATTTTGACTTTGATGACAAAAACTATTTGACAGCATGCGTTAGTTTGTAACAGCAAATATGGGGGTTGGGATTGGATATATGCATACCTCCTTCGCTTCTTGTTCTGTAACCTTCGATATCTCTACCAGCTTGTCATCGATGAGGCCAATCCTTTTCTTCCGAATAAGCCACCAAAGCTCTCTCCTATCTTCGCCTAATTTATCATCCAGCAACTTCCGTTTTAATTCGCGAATAAAATCGTTATATAGATCTGGTTCTTCAAAGGAAATCAGTTCATCCCTCATGGTTCCTATGTATTCAACGACTCTATCATAGTTGGCATCGCCCAGGCTGTGCTTGATTTGGTTCTCAATAATCGCGCACATCTGTTTTACAGACTCCTTGACGGTATTGATATCATCCGTGTTCGCAAGTGCTTGTTTGAATTCGGGTATTGCATTCTCTGGGGAAATTCTTTGGCGCTTTTCGCCTTGTAGAAGAGCATCCACGTCCAGTCCAGAGAGTGGCTTATCGGTGATCCTATTCCTTTTGCGGCCTTTCACCTTTGGTGGAACTATAATGGCTGTCAGTAAGAAGATATGATGAGAAGGGGGTGAGATTAGATCCCCTCGTCCTACTCTTGGGATGCTGGGTTTTAACTTGCCTTTCTTAACATCAGATGTTTTGATTAGTTGCTCCAATGCTGACTTGCTGTGTTCCATCAACTCGTCAGGCTGACGGGACTGTTTCTGGAGAACTTTCGGGATTGGGGGAAGTGGCTTAGTAGGGTGGATAGCCCGCCATCGAATGGCCTGGTCAACCCTGTGTAAAAGTGGAGAGTAACAATCCTGAAGAGCAAAGGACTCGACTTGACCACTGCTTAAATTTTAGTACTCGCCTTTCTCTTAGGGGTCCATTGATTTGGTGTTTCCTTACCCTTCTTCTCCAGGCTGGACAAGCTCCATATTTTCCACATATTTTTCCATAGCCGATAAGAGATTTTCGTTTGGCAGGTTTCGATGCTCCTTGACAACTTTTCCGGACATGGTAGTAACCCTATCCAGGGGTGGGAAACGATAACAGCGGACATCTTCTGCAAACGGCAACTGGACCTCAAGCAAGCACTCATAGTCGGGGTCAATTGAAGGAGCTAACAAAACTAAGGTAGGAGATTTGCCATCTTTAGTAACTAGCCGTCCCACGGCATAGCTTTCGACTTCGTGAAGAGCATGTATAATGGAGGAAAGAGCGATGATAGCTTTGTTGTTGGTCCTCTGGGCGATAATAACATTAGAATTCGACATGTTCATGTATCGATCGTACTATTAGAACATAGTCAGTGAAAGGCACTTTTTATATTATCAAGATAGGTTTGGGGATAAAACGGACATTTTCAATTGGGATGAATCCAACTATCTCCAACGCAGCCTTTGTTTCAAGCTTCGTTATATTTTCGTCCGTGTCAGTGATATGCACCGCCGTCCGGCCATACTCGTATCCCTTTGCAAGGGCATCACGCTCCACGTCTCTCTTGCCGCCCACTACTCCACTGTCAGTGACTTGGTAAGATCGCGCATTTCTGACACTTGTTAGTTCGTTCGAGATGCTCTTTCCAGTGTCAGTTCTTGCGTCCTTCAAATTTGCTGAAGAATCTCCAGTTTCCTGAACTTCTGGGGGTGCACCAGATAATACGAATGAACTAGCAGGTGGTGGTCGGGCCGCATACGTTCGAAAGTACCTTTCCACCTGGATTGTTAGTGCAGAATCATACTTGTCTGGGTCCCCGAGTTTGAAATCCCCTTTGAAACTGGGTACTCCTCGCACAGCCTTAACACGTGGGGTATCAAGCTCGGATATCGCTTGTTCCAAAGTACCATAGACACCATCACAGACATCACATAGTTTTTGAAGTGAAGACTCATTCTCGGCCTGGAAGCATCAGTAGGGAAGAAAGATAAAGATGTTGTGAGAAAATTACCTTAACTGCATCCTTGTCTTCTTCTTTAACACCGAAGTCAAGGTCATCAAAGTCCACCCCGCTAGGTAAGATTAGATATAAAATGCAGCCGGATTCATGGTGGAGTTTGCGTACAGAATAACAAGCTCAATGCCCTCTTCTCTTATCTTTTCTGCAATAGTGTCCATGCCATCAAGGTCCATAGGCCCCTTTCCGTTGGTAACAAGGACAATTTTTCTCTTGTATTTAAGCTTCTTGCAATATTTGGCTATCATGTCAATTGCCAATATAATCGAAGAAATTGCTGCAACGTTGTTCGAGTTAGCAAGACTTATGTGACAGGAGAGGGATGGACATGTATCTCATACCATCGCCGTTATCTGTATTGTTGGGTTTTATCAAGCTTCGAAGCTCCCTAAGATCAGGCATGAGTGCTCTAAGAGAATTGTTAGACCCATCTAACCCTCTAGGCTTAACGAAGACATACTGGCCAATTTCCTTGAAAATTGATATATTTTTGTATGAATTATCTTTGGATTTGGTCCACATGTCACTCGAGGTACCTTGCTAAGTTAGAGCTCGACCAGGACGAAGGAAGTGAAGTACTCTACCATCTGTTCTCAGGCCGACAACACCAATCGTTGCCGTTTTCCTACCTGTAGCAATCTGTATATAGGCATTTAGCATTTATCTGGGCAGAGACGCGTTTTCAATTCCCATACCGTAGTGGTAATCCTGTCCCAAACGTAGAGCATTGCCCAGTCAAGATCTGAGTACTCTCTCCCATTGTTCATCTCCCCCATGGACCTCCCGACGTCCACAATGTAAACAGTGGCTTCCTTGTCCGCCATATTGATGAAATCGTGTCAAACAGCCACAATATCTAACAACCCAGGACTCCCGTTCTTTTCAAAGCAGGCAGAGTTAGACAAGCTCACACATACAACAGGCTCCTTCGACGTTAACAAAGGCTTAGTAAGCTAGGCAGACGCGCAGGACAAACACGCCAAGCATCAATCAAGTATCAGATAAACACGAACTCACGTGATACAACTTTCCTTGGCCAAACGTCATAGTTTCTGCAATCGCCAACTTTCCCAGATCAGCTACAAACAACAACTCTTCATTTCAATTCTGTCAGTGCTAAGAAACCCCAAGATTAGGCAGAGGAATAGAGACCAATACAATGCCTGAACGATCTTCTATGCTGGCTCCGGCCCATATTCTGAGGTGTGCATGGCGATAATCCATACTTCTAACTATATGGTGGATCTAGACTAATCTGAGGTGCAGCTATGGCTCCTTGCTAGGATTTCAGTCCTACCAGGTAGGAGCTCTTCGTCTGTTATATACGCTGTTGTACTAACCCAAGCTGTAGACGTTTGTCAGTGGCATAATTGCGTTTAGAACGCTTCCCAGACCACAGTTCTCGACCCTCCAGTCGTCTATTTTCCCGGTTTATTTTGGTCTGCAAACTGCAGTGCCACTCGTGCTTGCTTTGACCTACCCTGGTGAAAAAGTCGCTGGGCGCTTTGGAACCTCAGGCCTTTCTGGAGTATTTTCTGAAAGCAACCGATGGAACACCCTTGTTCCCATTATGACCACATTTTTGGGCGGGATCACCAACTTGTTGGTTATCCAGCCAGCAACCGCAAAAGTAATGCGCCAAAGAAAAGAGCAAGGTTAGTATCCAGTTATAAACTCTTCTTTTAAATGACCTAAAATAGCTGCTAACTGGTTGATTAGAATCCATTGACGGGAAGAAATACACAGACGCTGGTCCCCACTCGAAGGAGATGATGAAACTAAACAAATCATTTGGGAAGCTTCACCAACTCTCTGCTGTGGTTAATCTCGCCGCACTAGCTGCCACCATTTATTACGGTGTAGTCCTTGCCGAGCGCCTCAACTAGAATCTTAGGGAAGGCATCACTGCTTCCATTTTATACGCTCCGACTTGCTACGCCTTACTGGCCGCTTCTTGTATGATTTCATGTACTACCAAAGCATCCGGATTGCATGATATGTAGCTGGATCTTACACTAAAAAAGGATATTCTGGATTTCTTTATGAGTTACTTTGCTACATCTATTTAATCAACTTATTCAAAATTAGGGATATTCATTCTTAGTGATAACTAATATCTCACTACTAAGACCTAAAAGTAGGATGCATGTTTTTTTAGGCAATAATAAGCCCAAAGTTTGTCTCATATTTCTAAGTAAATACCTACTTAACTCGAGGGATATCACGTGCTTGTTTGATTACCTAAACTGGTTATCTAACTTAACTAGTTAGCTTAGCTAGGTAAGCTTGATTGGTTGGTTTCGATTCTTTGCTATGAAAGTTTCAGTCTTTCCCAACGTCAACAATCAAGATATACAAACAAGTACAAGCAATTCATCATCCAGCCTGCTGTCCTCAGTACTTTATCATTTAATTAACTAGAATAACTCTGAATGGCGCTGCTTCTTGGCAACACCCACTTTCCAACACCACAAAAGGCGAAATGGATCTTATGAACAACCCCAATGCAGAATCCTGGATGTGAAAGCAGAGAATTAATGATGTGCTCGTGGGGATATTTCAATTATTTTACAATGGCTTGCTTGGATTTGATATCCTTGGTGATCCATCATTGTTTGCTGAACAAAGGCCGAAAGTTATATCCTCTGCGGGTCTTAGGACCACCAGATCAATCAGTTGGGATTCATTCCTGTCCTTCAACTGGATTTTCTTTGATACCCTGGCATACTTTCTTTCTCATGAAGGTATTCATCTATGTATGGAAGCAGGTGGAATACAAAAGCATTGTCAATGCACAATTCTTTTTTTTTTTTTTTTTTTTTTTTTTTTTTTTTTTTTTTTTTTTTTTTTTTTTTTTTTGTTTGTTTGACTTCATGGGTTATTATACTATCTATTTTCTTCTTTATTATCAGTGGAAGCTTTATACTAACTCTTCTTTAAGCTGTGTGATAACACCTGCTCAGAGGGAATCTAATGAACTTCTTGTACTTTTGAGGATCTCCAGTGGTATAATTTCCTGGCCTTCCTCGCTTTACTTTTCCCTCTACTAATGCAGGCCACTTGAATACACATTCTCCTACAACAACACTATCGGTTCTAACCTACTTACAGGTAGATTAGGACCTGTAGGTTTTCAGACCTACACATAGCTACGAAAATAGGATTTTTGCTTCCATTAGATCAACGTCGATTTGCTGTTTAACCCGAGGACGGGCCTCAGTGATGGAGCCTACTATCTTCTTTGGGTTATTCACCCTTTTCACTATATACAGCCTTTGGTATCCCATCCCGTTAACAACGATAAACCCACGTTTTCCACTGCCTGCTAGAATTGCTGGAACTATTCAGTTAACAGCGACGACAAATTCCGCGGTCTCCATGTTTCGAAATGTCATGTGGCCAGATTTGAATCCACGTCCTCCCTCAAATGAATCTCTGCCGAATAACATCACCCCTTTAATCAACGATCAGCTGCAAGAGTTCCTTGATAAATGGGATTACAAACTTGAGAAACACATCACAGAAAATGCAGAGCGTCCGGTTTCTACAGTCACATCATATTCTACTCCGACACCCACCTTGCAAGCTATGATGGCCAACATCATAGAGCCACAATCTTACCCAGATCCTCTGGATTATAACAGTTGGGTTGGGTACACATTCTATCAGTTCGCAGAGAAAGAAGTGAGACGCAATCCTAATATGTACACCTTGGCTGCTATTTTCATACTGGTAAACTATTGGCTTGTGCGATCTGCGCGAAGGTCCGAAGTCCGTGAGGAGCTCGAAGCAGTGAAGGAAGTGCCCATTGACAAGATAAAGGAATTGCGTGATGAACTTATTGCTCACAATGCTCGATTACATTTGGTCGAAGTCAAGGTCGAGGGTCTTGCTTTGGCTGATGACCAGCGTCGGTTTTCGAGGACTGCTTCTAGGCAGATTCCACAGGTGGGCGAATCTGAGCAGGCCTCAACGGAGGCCCAGACATCACCAGGCATATTACCGGCCAGCCAGCCAGGAAAACCCGAATTTGATTCTCTTCAAGAGCAACTAACAGAAATGAGACAAGACCTTGTTTCTTTGAAAAGCAACTCGGAAACACGCTCAGAACACCTTTCGGAAAACATTGCTTCCGTTATGAGCACAATTAAAGAGTTGCAAAAGGAATCTGAGTCTACTTCGCGGACCAGAATAATGAACGATGCGGTCTCAGTCAAAAAGAGCGTATTCGAAGACCTTAAATCAGAACTGACGCCTCTTAGTGACCGGATATCTGATATTGAGGCCTATTCTTCTTCATCACGAGGGGAACTGGGAAGATTTGCTATCCAGGTATCGCAGATCATGGAAAGTATAAACGTTCTAAGAAGGGAATTTGAAAAGGTCAAGCGCAAACTTTCGGCTGAGTTAGCTTCAATAAAAACCGAAATATCCAGGGAACACAAGTTAGAGCTTGATGCTGTTGAAAAGCAGATAATCGAGTTGAGGCAAACAGCTTGTTTATCAAGAGATGAATTGGATGATCACCTTTCACAGCGGATATCTTCGATAATGGGCATAATCAACGAAGCGAAAGAAGATTCCGCAAGCGGTGTTCCTATCGACTCCGTCAAAAAGGAAATGGCTAGTCTTAAGTCTTCCTTGAAGGTTGTTGAGCATGCAATGAAAGAAATAGGAGACGAAACAAAGAACCAAGATGTACACCATCTCCGAGTTTCTCTAGAGGCTTTACAGGCAGAAAGTACTAGGTCGTTGCAAGAATTATCCAGCCGTTTGGATATGGCGATGCAAGACATACAAGTGGAACCATGGAGAGTTAAACATCAACAGTTTGACCAATGGATTGCTATGGTTGAAAGTAAGCTTCAGGGGTTGGAACACCGTTCGCTAACTGAAAGCAATCTACTCCCCGTTCTATCACAATTGGAGGCGTTGAATACTAAAGTTGATCTTAATGATTCTTTGTTCAAAAGAGTTGAAGATGAATGTGCCACGAAGTTCGAGCAGAAGTCTCTTTATGCGGATGTTAAACATCTCGAAGGACGAGTGAATCAGTTAGAATCTATTCCTCAGAAAGATCCGTCAAGCACTATGAAGGAGGAGCATGTCATTAAACTGAGGGATCTGGGCAAAAGTTGTGTGGATCTCAGGTCAGAAATCGGTGAAATCAAAGATACCCTCACTACATTAATATCGGATGAGATTCCCAAACATCGCTCGGAAACCCTCGATAAGCTTACCGAATCTGTTCGACTAAGTACATCTCAAATTGAGAAAGATATCGAGGCTCGTTATGCTCATAAGGAGGATGTACTCAAGTGTTTAAATTCTCTTCAACTAGATGGGAAAAAGCCTATTGACCTGCAGCGCCTGAAGAAGGATCTTTCTGAGATTGAAAATTACGCATACGCCACTCAAAATAACTTGAATCTAGCAATTGAAAGAATAACTGACAATGAGCAGCATATTGAAACTTTACGCGAGGGCAACGCTACCAACTACAAAGATATTCGCCGATGTTTAGACAAGCTAGGGATATCTGGTACCATCGTGCCTCTCAGTGCACCTATTAAGCCAAAACCAGTCCCCGGAGAATCGAAGCCACCCGTCCACATTGACTTATCTGTGGGGAAAAAGTTCAACTCACAGGTCTCGTCCAGTTCACTAGATCGAGGTGATAAGAATATCAGTCGGTTTGACCCAAGGTACAAGGGAGACGACAAACCTGTTGGTTCTGATATCGAATCTAACCTGTCTAAACGTTCTGAGCCCTTGAAAAAAACAAGTCAAGGCAAGAATATCAGTCGGTATGACCCAAGATACCAGGGCAGTGACAAGTTTAGAAAATCTTTTCCCGAGCCAGGATCTTCAGAAGCATCTAAAGCAGAAGGAAAGCTGAATCTCACGGCGGACTCGTTCGTGGAGCGCCCAAAGAGTAGTGGGGATAGGAGTCGGGCGTCAAGAGCCAGTGTTGCCCAGTCAGAGTTTGCAGGAAAGGAAAAGACTGAAGTCGAAATGACGACGGCAAAAGAGAAGCCTGAAGAGGGTGAAGATGCTATAAAATCTTTGGTCGAAATCACGTCGCGCCAGGAGCAGCAATCAGAGAGAGAGGAAAAAGATGTAGACTCCATGTCTGTCTCAGACGATAATGGCGACGATGCTCCTGATACTTCTGCTGAACCAGTTTCTAGCAAATCACCGGAGATTGCAGCTACAACCGAGTCTGAAGATAAAATGGAAATGTGATTCTATCTGTATATATGGAATAGGAGAACAAGTTCCGAATCAACAAGACCAATTTCTCTTTTCCCTTCCAATAACATGCGTGTGATAGTTATATCACTGCTTCCTTCTCCATTAGCAGGTAGATACTAGACAACACCTTATATCCCGTAAACTCTACAGTAGTCAGTTACACGTGCAATCTATGTACAGTAGTTAACTCTAGTGGCGCTGCTCCTCATATAAACTAGGCTTCCGTAGCTTACTTCCCTGAAAGGCTCTGAAGTGCATAGAAGTATGATAATGATAACTAGTTTTCAGAATCAAAAACATATTTCCTACATGCCACCTTAAGCAACTCAATGCGCTGTTGCGTATGGGTGAATACTTCGCTGTACATATCAACGTTCTGTCTTACTACCTCCGCTTTCGTCTTGGTCCCAGAACATATATCTCCCATTCGCAGTTCCATTTCTTTTCGAAGGAATGGCTTCGTGAGGCTAGGGCAATCAGGCAAGCCAGCAACCACATTGTCATATCCTTCGACAAGAGCAACCCCAAGCTTCGTAGGGATAAATTCATCTACCCTACCGCCAGATCCTCTGCCACCACCGCGAGGGCGAGTTGCAACATACTCTCTGGCCTTGATTTTGGATATATGCTCAGCCATAGTAGCGTCGGTACCAATTCCATTCGCATCCATGAGCCCAATGAGTTCCGGCTCGGTAAGATATCCGGGAGCAACCGTTTTCCCTTCTGTAATATTCGCTTCTTTTGGCTCAAAGGATTCGTTCAGAACAAAATTCGGTAGCGGTTGGCTGCTCTCCCATTTGTCATACACATAAACATCCAGATAGTTTCGTTCTAAGACGATGAGGCCCCGAGTATGAAACTCTTCATCCCCATATTGGATTTCAATGTCCGTCGACTCGCCTTTCGCATCCTCAGAGCAGCAGGCTAAAAATCTCCGGGTTACAAACTCATATACTTTTTTCTCATTGGTGTTGAGTACCGTGGGAGAAACATAGACCACTGGGTGAATTGGTGGATGGGCTTTATCATTGTTTCGACCCCGACGAGGTTGTTTGAAACCACCGCCTATAAGTCTGTAATTAAAATTTCGTAACAGAGCGCGAGGGGTTAGTGTGGAACTCTGCTAGAATGGTTGTTGTGAAGAAGACTGACCCTCTTGCGTATTCGCCCCATGCTTCACTTGGATATTGTTTCTCGACAAGTTTTTTCAAGTCAATCTCATTATCGAACTGGTCGGTTTCGGTACGAGGATAGCTAATAAACCCCTTTGTATAGAGGGTTTCGGCGGCCTTATACATCATGAGGCAAACGAATTAGAAAAGGTTCAGTTCAAACTCCTCGCATGGTGTAGCGCAAACCTTCATAATTGCTTGACTATCAATTCTCAAGTATTTACTTCCCATCATTTGGAGGTCAACGGTAGTTAAAGGAAGTGGTCTCCATTTGCTGGTCGGTTTTTTGTTAACTTTAGTAACAGTGGCTGTTTTGGCTGCCAGGCATCGCTCAAAGAGGACTACCACTGCGGCTCGGTCAAAAAGATGCCCACGTTGCCAATTGAAGTTCACTGTAATACCATCACGGGTATGTGAAACTTTGATGGACCAAAAGGCCTCTGGTTTGAAATTCTTAACTCTCATATACCTATCCACAACAAATCCCAGAGTTGGAAACTGACATGACCCTGAACAAGCAAATCGATTAGCAAGTCATGCATGCCGAGTACAACAAAGCCATGAATAAATAAGTTACCGTAACTGATTGTCCTTTCAGCCAATGCCCCTCCCAGTGTCTGAAGCTGAAGCGTTTGAAGTCTCGTGAAAGCTGCTCCGATGCGCAGATCTAGCTCAATTCTAGCAGCCACAGCATCCACTTGGCGTTCATCAAGCCCAATTGGTCTCCGAGCAGCTTCTAACACATGCCTATATATAAAATTATATGTTAAATACTGATTTATTTTATTCTGGAAGGCATCCATACGTTCGTTCGGTATTGCTGAATCTTGCCCTTTTGATTTCAATGCTTGGGTTACCAAGCACAGCCTGGTCTCGGACTTCAGAACCTATGTGCTCTCCTTCTCTATCACAGTCAGTCCATATAAAGAGAGCTCTGGAATCTCTGGCTTGTCTCTTGATATTCCGAGCTATGCCGAGTTTTTCCTAATAAAAGTACATTAGTTTAATATGATCCCTTCAAGCAGGTGAACATCTAGGACACTCAGACTTTATCAACTGCAATTATAACATTCGCGGCAAAGAGTTGGGAGGGGTTGCAAGAATTCCAGTTTCTATATCTGGGTTCAAAGTCCGAAGCTGTTAAATGTCCTAGGACACTGGTCATAACAACGGAGCAGCTACCCCACGGGGGCCCGAATGTGAAATCAAATTCGTAGTTTTTGACATATTGATTGCCTTCAATTCCAGACTTGTAGAAAACAATATTAGTTTGCCCTCTGGTTTTAGGGGGACGATATTCTTACAGTTCTTATGCGTCCACCAGATAGATGCTGGGCTACTAACTTAGCGATTGCAGGTTTCTCTGCAACGCATAGAATTTTGGAGACCATAAACGCGTCCGAGTACCAGCGTGGTTTGTCAGTTCATCGTGCACTAGATTTCAATCTCCAACTCTGGTTATACTCTCCCCGTAAAAGCCGCGCGTTTGAAGGCGAAGTGTCGCCTGACGTTGAAGGCGCGCTAAACAAGGTTCAATTGATGTGCACGGTCCACAACCCTAAATCTCCCCTTTTTCGTTGAAACGACGATCAATTCTACGTGTTAACAACAAACGAAAGGAAAAACGAGAGAAAGCTTGACGCTGCACAGGTTTTGTGCCAAATATTTGCCATGGCGTTACCGACTCTTCAATCTGTGGCTGATTGCGCTGATTTCACGCAGGCTGCTCTCCCTTTCCTTCACCAGCTTTCATCTTTGCCTACCAGAGTGGTGGAGGCTGGTTTCAACGTCGATACACTGCGAGAAGTTTACCTATCAACAAACCCGCTTGTTATAGCATTTGGGTTCTCTCTATTTCTTGTCCCGGCTTTTGTACTTGTCTCTGAAATCAACCGAAACTATTCTCAAGTTGATCGATTGTGGAGCATTTTACCCTCCATTTACAATGGACATTTCGCCCTTTGGTGCCGGCTGAAAGGCCTTGCCACAACTGAAATCAACACCATCTTTATTATTACATTGATATGGAGTGTAAGTGCAAGCAATTTATTATTCTACTCGCGTTAACTCCCTTGATTTACCCGGCTCAATGAACTAACTCCTCGCGCGGCAGGGCCGCCTTACTTTTAACTATTGGAGAAAAGGAGGCTATTCCATCGGTTCTGAAGACTATCGATGGGATGCTGTTCGAAAAATGGTGAACAGTCCTGCCTTATTTTTCCTATTCAACGTCCTCTTCATCAGTCTCACTCAATCGGTCCTCCTATTCCTCATTACCGTACCTACTTATATATTTGTCCTTATCGGTACCATTCGCGATGCGCCCAGTTTCGGGCTACCTGATCTTATATTTTCTCGGTTCCTCCTGTTTCTTATATTAATCGAACACTTCGCCGATCAGCAACAGTGGAAATTCCAGCAGGCCAAGAAACAGTACCAGAAGACCGCCCGCGTTCCAGCAGAGTATAAGGATATTTTTACGAGTGATGACTTGGACCGCGGGTTTGTAGTGTCCGGCCTTTGGGCCTGGTGCAGACACCCGAATTTTGTCGCTGAGCAAGCCATTTGGGTTACACTGTACCTATGGTCTGCTTACCGAGCGGAATCATACTTCAACTGGAGCGGAGTGGGCGCTTTTTGCCTTCTCCTACTATTCCAAAGCAGCACCAATCTAACTGAAAGCATCACGGCGAGCAAATATCCTGATTACAAGCAGTATCAAGCTCGAGTAGGGAAATTTATTCCACGCTTCAGCGTCGAGCCTTGAAGTGCGGCATCAAGAATAAGCGAATGTTCCATGTTTATTATATGTAAAGTTCTTTCGCTGTTAACAATTGAGGGGAAATTTTGTTCCCCTCTCCGTTATGTTACTCAGTGGGATGAGAAACTGATACCTCCATGATAATATTAATTAGTTGATAATATAAACTCCCCATACATCTGTTTATAATTGAGAGTTCCAGTCAATTATGTCACAAAGATCAAGCCTTGCTACATTGCTAAAATCATTTATCTTTACTAATTTACAACAGGGTGTGGTTGTCTAGGAGATGAGAGGGAGATGGGGAGAGATGAGAGTAAATGAAAACAAAACAGCCATCGCTTCGCCAGATAGAAGGGTGTACAACATAATGGCCGCATATGGATTTCCCACTTTGATATGCTTTCCGAACGAACACTTCTACTAACACCTCAAACATCAATGATATATAGGAGATAGAAAAATGACAAATATTTAAAGCATTACACCCAAACAAAGGAAAACAAAGGATTACAAATAGAATGGATGCGAAGGGTGAAGGGTGGGGTGAGCTAGATAGTACATGTATACGGAAGGGAGGGAGCGGGCGAGGAAGTTATTCCAAGCAAGATAGATCAGGGGTATTTAAGCAGGGGGCGATGGTTTGTTGTCCTTAGTTTCCGCATCATCGGCCTTAGGCGAACCAGTCAGAGTCTCAGCCGGTGGCGGTGGTTGTATCTTCCCACCAGTTCCATCAAAGTACTTAGCAAATTCTCCGGATTCAGGGTAGGGTCGCTTGCCAAGCAATCGGATCATATCATCGCGACTAAGTACTTCTTTGGAGAGAAGCTCTTCGGCAACTAAGCCAACTTCGGCTTTCTTCTCAGTTAAGAGGTCACGGCATTGCTTGTAGGCCTCATCAACAAGACGCCGGACCTCCATGTCAATATTTCGGGCAGTCTCTTCCGAGAAAGGTTTGTGGAGCTGCTGCTGGTCCTCTTCGAAATACACTGTTCCAATCTTGGGGGACATTCCAAATTTGGTAACCATGGCAGTGGCCAAGCGAGTAACTTTGTTGAAGTCATCGCTAGCTCCGCTCGTCACAGTGTCGAAGTGTAGCTCCTCACTAACACGTCCACCAAGCGTCATGGCCATGCGGTCCATGAGTTGGTGTACATTCATAAGATAAGTATCACCCTGTGCTGGGAGGTACTGAGCATAACCTAGAGCTCCCTGACCGCGAGGAATGATCGAAACCTTTAGGAGCGGGTCTGCGTATTTGAAGTACCAACCACATATAGCGTGGCCAGCTTCATGGTAAGCAACAGTGCGCTTTTCTTCTGGTGATAACACAAGCGACTTTTTCTCCAAGCCCCCAACAACTCTCTCAATTGCTTGCTCGAAATGTGACATAACGACATGATCTGCGTGCATGCGGGCAGCTATAATTGTTTATTAGATTTAATTCGAGCATCGTAAAGAAAGAAGAGTACTTGCAACATACCAACTAATGCCGCTTCATTGACACAATTTGCGATATCAGCACCAGAGAATCCAGGAGTTAATGCGGCCAGTCGTCCTTTTAGGTATTCGATGTCCTCCTTTGTGACGATCTTCTTCAAGTGAACGCCGAAAATCTGCTTTCGTCCATCCATTGTAGGCTTATCGATAGCAATATGTCGGTCAAATCGCCCAGGACGCATCAATGCCTTGTCCAACACATCAGGTCTGTTTGTGCCAGCTAGGACGACAACCTGTTCAGAAGTGTTGAATCCATCCATTTCAGTGAGTATTTGATTGAGAGTGCTTTCACGTTCATCATTCCCACCACCAAAGTTGGATTTCGATCTTGACTTTCCGATGGCATCAATTTCGTCAATGAAGATGATACATGGGGTGTTTTTTCGAGCAGTAGCAAATAGGTCGCGAACACGGGAAGGGCCAACGCCAACAAACATCTCCACGAATTCAGAGCCGCTAACGCTGTAGAAGGGAACAGCGGACTCGCCGGCAGTCGCCTTTGCTAGTAGAGTTTTACCGGTACCTGGTGGCCCAGAAAGAATAGCTCCTCGAGGTATTTTCGCACCTAGCCTCTGGAACTGTTCCGGTCTCTTGAGGAAGCTGACGAACTCCATGATTTCTACTTTGGCTTCATCCATACCAGCGACATCCGCGAATTTTGTCTTTACATCAGTCTCATGGTTGAATTTCCTGGCTCGGCTCTTTCCAATGCCAAATATTCCACTCTGGCCACCGCCTCCTGCACCACCGGCCCTTCTTGATAACCAGAAGAATGAACCGATGAGGAGTAGAGTGGGTCCGAAGGATAACAAAGTAGCTAGCCATGGAACTTCATCAGCATATGCGACTGGAATCCGTTCTGAGCTAGGGATGTTTAGTTCTCGGTGAGCGTCATCCAGGCGTCTCTCAAAAGCTTCGACAGAACCTATTGTGAAGTAGTAGTGGAAGCTCATGTTGGTGGCTGGCGATTCGGGATATAGCTTAGCAACCGCATCTCGGTCCAACTCAACTCTTACTTTGCTGCGGTTGACGACGGTGAGTTTCTCAACCAAGCCTTTGTCGAAAAAGGTATTCCTAAATTCCTGCCATGTAATATCTCGTGACGATTCGCCAGGGAAAATACTTCGGTAGACATAGTAAGAGATGAAAGCAGCAATCAAGAAATTTCCGGCGTCGAACTTAAAGTCCATTATCCTAAACTGGGGGCCCTTGGGCTGGTCTTTATCATCATTGCGTTGCCGTTTCTTATCGGATTTTGACTCCTCTTTCGGTCCCTCCCTGCTTTCCTCTTTGCGGCCTTCATTGGACTCTTCCTTGGGTTTCTCCTCTGTTGGAGCTTTGTTGTCTTTTGTCTGCTCCTCTGACGAGTTTTTAGAGTGCTCATCGGCAACACTAGAAGCTAACTTCACAGAGTGTTTATTCAGAACTCGCACAAGCTTCGCCGCGTTTGACAGACTGATATGTTTCGACTCTCTCACTTCTTCCAGAGCATTTTTGACTTCTTCTGGCAAGCCCTCACGCTTGATGACTTCCGCGGCAGTGTCAATAAGTTTCGCCTGCGATTTAGGTAGGTTCACCTTAAGCTGGTCAACGATCTTATCGAACTCCTCTCGCTGTTCCGCATTGAGTGCATATTTTGGCTGGGAGCTTTCGCTTGCTTGACTTCCACTGGATTGACTCCGCGAAGATCGCTCCGCCTGTTTCCCAATATCCTTTTCTCCGTTCTTTTTATCTTTGGGATGTTCCGAGCCACCCGTGCTATTGGTTGCATATAACCGTGAGCGGTTTGCAACAATGAAGGCCGATAGCCTGGATTGGGGGAGGGAGGCAGTAAAAGGTGTGCGCGAGAAGGCCGAATATCCTGCAGCTCTTCTAGAGTACTGAGCGAGGCCGCCGGGGCGCCGTAGGAGTGTGGCCATAGCCAGAGCAGAGCACGAGGGAGGCAGGCAATCTATCAAATCAGTTAAGGTTCTAGAAACCAGCTCTTAAAGGACAAATCCACAATCCACAAAGCAACTCCTAGAGACGACTAAAGAGCTGCCTCTCGCTAAACAGAGGGGAAATAGAGAGCGAGGTTGATGTAGGAGCGAGATGAAGTCGAGATGTTTGCCAAATCGGTTGAGCTTCGCAAGTTGTTCCTGTTCCGAATTTTTCGCCAGCTGCTGACTCATCACCGATCAGGGTTTGGGCGATGATTTGGGCCGTTCGGACTTAAGCGGGTTTTACCAGGCTGACACGGTTGATGATATAAAATAAAGATAGGAAACATAACACAGCTGGGAACAAGGTGAAGATGAGATGAGAATTCATTTGTTAGCTAGTATCTACGATTATGTATTCACTACGTACTCCCGCATTAGTATTCCTATCCACCCATGCTCGAATGTACCAGGCATCAAAATATCAACAGGGGAAATTCCTCGAAGGGATGCACATGAGGCCGGCCTTCCAGAAGCCAATGATCCCTTAAAAGACAACAGCAATCAAACCGAAAAGAAAATAACTCCTTCATGGCATATACACCTACGCTAGCGGGAGACAATAAGCCGCTCCATATAGAAAATTCAAGGCCATAGCATTGTGTTGAGTGAGCTCTCCAGGTAGGTGGGGCAACTTTTATTACTCTGTAGCCCCATTAGCAAATGGAAAGCCATTTGACATGTCTGCCCAGTCCCATTCAAGGGTCATCGGCATCTGCCATAAATCTTGTGGGACAAAAGGCTGCTGGAAGGAGGAGACATCCAGGGGCATTGACTCATTAGGAAGCTGTTGGTCGACGCTGAACATTCCGGGGTTGACGTTTAACCCAGGGCCACCAATGATATCGTTTAGCTCCTGGTTAAATCTTGCGGTATTCTTCAATTGTGCGGCTGATATATCCTCATTTATCACTGTATCAAATGCGTTCTGTGACGATGTCTGAGGTGATGGGAATGTACTTGAGGATGCGCTTGATATGTTATTATTAATGTGGGCCGGGAATGGTGAAGTAAATGGCTGATGTTGGGCGTTTGATACTGTAGGGTTCTCTGTCATCTGTGTCTGAGGACGCTGGGTATCCTTATCGTTGACATGCGGCGTTATGTTAGACTCCTTCTGGTTTTGTTGTTGTTGCTGCTGCTGCTGCTGCTGCTCTTGTTGCTGCTGATGTTGTACATCACTTGTCTTTCTTTTACGCCTTGATTGAGATTCTTTCTCGGCTCGATCTAAAGCCACCTTCGCTATTCTTTCGAATTCGCTGCAGACGCTAAGCATACGTTTGACGCTACCATTTGATTCATCAGTAGCGAGCATTGAGAGGAAGTTAACCACGAGGTTCATTAATTTAACGTCCGATCGAGCTCTTGCATCAAGCGGATTTTGTAAGATATTGGCAAAAAGTGTTACCAATGATGATATAGGGAAATAGAGAATCAACCTACAATATTAGTTCCCTGTATCTCGGCGGAAGGTATTTTTAGATGTGTTACTCACCATACACAAGCAAAATCGCCCTGCGGAATGTACTTAATCAGGTTAATCGAAGCTCGAGCAGCTGAAACACAGAGTATAGCAGACGAAAACACCCGAGGGTTCAATGGTCGAGCATTTAGTCCTTGTATGGCGTAGTTTGAAAGACGACTTGTCCAATACCCGTGATGAACGGACATTCGATGTATAGTCGTCAGGCAATTGTAGTATGCGAAATGAAGAACAACGATGGGCAAGATCAGAGGCCTGTGAGTGGTTTTTATTTCGTGTTCCGGCCTGAAATCTATAGGGATGCTATTCTTCCATTCCTCAAGTTCATGATCCAACTCGCCAATAGTGTTGAGAAGCTCACCGTCGGACTGTCGAGATGCTTTGGTCGAATACAATTGTCTGTAAACCCTGCTCTCAATAGTTGCGAATATGCACATGAGACGGAACAGATTGATTTTCCCTTTGTTATCCGAAAGAGGAACATTGCCGATGTTATCAGGGGGATCTTCACTGGGCAGCTCTACATTCATATCGTCATCATCTTGTACAGGAGGACGACCGGATCGGAGACAGATGCTTTTAACAATGTTAGTAACTGTAAAAACATTCGCGAACCTTAGCATTATTGTATGCTTACTCTTTATCTAGGATATAGGCGATCCAGAAGACACGCTTCCGTTGTTCAAGCTCCACAGGGTTTAGACCAAAGCCTGAACAGCGCTTATGTAGACCTATACTGTGAGAGAGACGGATTCCGGCTGCAACAAGGAAGAAGGAGGGTTGAGGATTTGGTGTTCCTTGAAGAAATAATGCCTATAGGATCCCATAAGTGTCAATTAAAGGTATGAAAAGAAAACAGAAAAAGAAAAAGTGCAAATGCTTACCATTCCAAGCAAAGCCTGTACACTTAGGAGGTCCGTATTTCTCATGGTAAGCTCTGTAAGCACGCCCATGGCATTCTTCAGGTAAAGCCACGCCTTTTTGTCTTCTTCCTGTGGAGCAAGGTTGCTCATTACCCGTAACCTATGGGCGATTGCCAAAGCAACATTGATGCTAGCCCACCATCCAGAGCCCTCGTAGGGATCTCTTGAGTATTGCTTCTCAACTAGATGCATAAAAGTAGGCTCGTGGAAAAGAGGGAATATACAATTGAAATTTTCAAAATAATCCCTGAAGAGAGATAGCGCTTCTTCCTTAGGTGGTAAAGGTTTGAAAACCCGACGGGCAAATATGTCGCTGAATATTTCTGGTTTCCAGTATATCCATTTGTTATCATCTACACATGCAGATGAGATCATATGTTGGAAAGAGGAATCGCCCGTTTTCTCATTTACCCACTGGATGCCCTTGGGCGAGAATATTGAGAACCCGGAGGAGGATCCTGTGATGCAAGATTAATAGCTGCCCACAAGGAAAATCGGCCTTGAGTAAAAATACCTATATATCGTGTTTCTCCACAGTTATTTGTAACTAAGGAGCACATCATATCTGAGAGGGAATCAACCTCTGCCTCTGACTCTTTTTGGGAATCCGGGGAGCCTGCAGCTGATGAAGCTCTCGGACTAGCATTCAAGTCACCACGGGGAGTAGAATTCGAAGGCGACGCCGACGAGCTCATAAAAGCATTGTAAGTAGGAGGTATGGTCGATGCCTTGGGAGGTTGTGGCTGTTGCTGTTGCCCTTGCTGTGAGGTCGGTGACGCTGCTCTGTCTGCCAATCTTTTCTCCAGCACTCCTAGATCGGTCTTTCTAGCATCAGTCTCGGACAAAAGACCAGACAGCCGAAGTAATGATTCCATACGGCCTAATCGGTTCTCGAGGCCTTCAATGTACTTTGCCCTAATTCATGAGTCACTCTAGATTAGACAATAGCTCCAGTCGAAAATGCTAATATGTTTAAGGATTTCGTACCCTTTGGGGGGATTTCGTTTCTTTTCCACTTGCGTAAAAATACACTCGGACTTGTAGTTTATGCAATGCGAACATTTTGGCATTTTCCCATCACACTTTATCTTCTTCTTCCTGCACATATCGCACGCCTATAGGTAGACAGTATAGGTATTAACTCGAAAATCCCGTAATCCAGAGTGATAGGGCAGTCTACATACTCTAGCAATCCTCCTCCTTTTTGCATCGTTATTATCTTCCGCGAAAGCTGTTCCAGGGTGGGATGATGATGTAAGGGGAGAACCATCCGAGTTGGAGGCCCCAAACGCTTGCGGCACTTGATTGGCATTTGAGCCGCGGTTATCGAATGTGGTGGCATCCATATCTCCTCCTGTCATGTCCATTACAGCTCAGGGAGCTTTTTTGCGGGGAGCCCAGGCCGCAACGTTTTCCAAGTAGAGGCACCGCCGTTCGTGGTGTTCGGAAGCTGTGCCCAAGGCTGCACGAGCTATCCGGCCGAGCCTATCAAATACCAGGGGTTGGAGCAGGAGTCAAGATACCGAATAAATTGGTCCGATGCACCCAGAAGCTGTGGTATAAGAAAGCTGCGACTCCGTCTCTCTGAATGCTTGTGGCGGATAACGGGCTAGGAAAATGTCTGCCTGCTTATTAATAAGGATACGCTGCACAGGAGAGGGAAAAGTACATCAGGTAGTTGGCAATAATAATGCATTGTATGTCGTAGCATATCACTTGCGCGCACCGCGACTTACTCCCTGGTTTTGTTGCTGGAAGGTGGCTGCTCGTCCTTCCCTCCGCGAGTCTTGACTGATGCCTTGCAGCTTTCAGCGGCGGCGATAGCAGCCTCGAGGCGTCGATAAGGCACGTGAATATGACTAAGCCAAGTAACTCCTCCTGTTAAACTATACATACGAGGGTCGACTCTTCCACCACCCATTAATATTCGTATCAAACTAGAACCAACCCGTTATAACAGTTCTTTCTGGCTGCTATCATACAAAATGAAAAAAGCGTGAATAAGAATCGCCGAGTCAGGGCAACGCAAAGGAGGACCCTTCGCGCTTCCGGGGTCTTCGGCCTGCGCCTCATTAGGCACCCTGTAACTAACTACAGGGTTTACAGCATTCCGTCTCGACATCCAGGCAACTTGATGGCCCCGATTTTTTTTTTAATTGGTCCACACGGACGGACAAACGGTTGAACCTCCTCCGGCAGTTCGAGGGGGATTGCCGCAGCGGAGAGGCGGGATGTTCTAACTCCGACTTCCTCAGCCGTCTCGCCATGCCGCTACGAAGTACGTTTCTGGTCAACAGTGCGAGGGGATATTCCGTGTTACAAACTAGCCAGCAGCCTAGTTCAAGCTATTTCAAGACCACACCAGTCCGCTTGATTTTATGTGAAGCTGCGTCATAACAACCCTGGCTTCACTCGAAATCCTTCCAGGGCAAATAACGCACCCAAAACGAGACAGATGCTCCTTGCATCATGCGACTCGCTATTTTTTCGCCCATCGATAACAAACTAGCTCGACTTCAGGGGGGTTAGATATAAGCTTAACTAGCTTAGCGAATATTTTAATGTCTGCTGTCTTCCCCAGACAACAGGGGCATGGCTTGGTGTCATACTCTCTTTCTACTGGCCATGAAATGCTCTTTAGCTACTGGCTCAGGTTTCCCCCGAGCTAATTATCCGATTTCTACTGGTTAGGATATAGTTAATTTTTTTTAATTTTTTTTTTTTTTTTCCATGTATTTCGGCCTACTTGGCCATCCGAATGTTGAGGAAATAGTTATACAAGTTGATTAATAGGCCGTCTGCCTTTCTGCGCAAGTCTCAATTATAGAAAGATTGTAAATATCCCCAGGTTTTTGCTAGGAGAGAGCGCGCGGTCGATTGCCGTAGTGCAGGTAGGAAGCTAGTTAACTTGTCAATTTGTTCCTTACGCTTCTCAAATGACACCGGGAGAAAAATAACAGCTATGCGGTAACCAACTAATTAATTATTGGAATCTTCGGCGCTTTGCGAATACTTTACTTTGTTTGCGTTCATTTTCGCTTGTCTTCATTCCTTTAGATACCATGTTCTCAAAAAACCCAGGCCATCGAAACCGCTTCAGCCGGTTCTTCACCAAGGCCATACGGAAAATGGCGACTCAGAAGGGTGGGTAATCTCCAAACCTACGTTTTAACATGAACAGAGCAAAGTAAGTTAAACTAGATTGGAACTCGACTGAGAGCTTTTTCAATTATACCCGAGGACGTTTTGTTGTCAACGAGGCCGAGGAGATGCGGCAGAGACATGTGCGCTTTGAATGAACTGGCTCGGTTGGCTGCAAATACCGTTGGTGCAAAGGAGGTCGTCAATATCGAAAAATGCGCAGATGGCCTTTTCAACAAAGCCTTCGTCTTCACCTTCGAAGATGGAAAACAAGTAGTTGGGAAGATTCCCAATCCGATTGCCATTACTCCCCATCTTACAACTTCTAGTGAAGTTGCAACTATGGAGTTTGTATGCCTACCAATGACGTGATATCATCAAGTTGAAACCTTATGCTGACCTCTCTGTCTTTATTCATGTTTGAATAGATGAGAACTGTGCTTAAGACTCCCGCTCCACGAGTCTATGCATGGAGCTCCAGAGTTGATGGTAGCAAAAATTCTGTGGGAGCTGAATTCATCATCATGGAGAAGATTTCAGGCATTCCATTGGGAAAAGTCTGGGAGCGTCTCTCAGGAAGCGACAAGATGAAGGTTCTAATCAACATCTTCGAATATCAGAATGAATGGGCGTCTGTTGCATTCTCAAGATTCGGAAGTCTATACTACTCGGGAGATGTAGACACCCTGCCTGCGGACTATCTTTATATCGACAAGAATGGGAATCAAGTCAATAACCCTAGATTCGTCGTAGGACCAGCTTCACACAACGAATGGTTTATTCACGGACGGGATTCCGTTAGCTGTGATCGAGGACCCTGTAAGCATTCATGCCTGTTTCCCCCTTAATATTTGGTGTATTTACTAATTTCATCTAGGGAATACAGTGATTGACTATAGGAAGGCAATCGCCCATCGAGAGATCACGGCTTCTCGGTTATTACCATTCCCGAGACAGACCTTGCTGATTTACGGCCCCCGTCCACTCTACTTACCAACTGTTGAGAAAAAAGTTGCAGCTTTGAAGTGCTCTTTACAGTCTTTGGAGACTTTTCTCTCTGAGGATCCAGCTCTTCTCCGGGGCCATCTCTGGCACACTGATTTCCACCATGAAAACATATATGTGAACCCAGAGAAACCTACTGAAATAACTGGAATTATTGACTGGCAATCAACACCGATAACGCCACTATTCGACCAGCCCTTAGATCTTCCATTTGTGAACTATGATGGCCCAGATATCGGTGAAAATCTCGAAATACCTGTGTTGCCTGACGATTTCCAATCAATGCAGGAGGATGAAAAAAAGAAAGTCCACAAGAATTACATGGATAAGTCTGCTGTGGTTGCATGGCGTCTTCTTCTGAAGCACAAGAACCCGGCGTATTACAGAGCTGTCTTGTTTAAGCGTACCCCTATCGGATTGACTCTAGAGCTGTCTCGTCAAGTCTTTACCATCGGGGAATCCTCTCTTCGCACTATATATGCAGAAATGGGAGAAGACTGGCAGGAGTATGCGCCCAAAGGATCGGACATGAACCCTGTCCCATGCCCTTTCAACTTTTCACAGGCCGAGATAACAGAGATTGATGAGGATGAAGAGGCCACAGCCAGTAGCACAAGGATCGCAGCTCAGATTCAAGAGCACCTGGGACCACTATACCCTCACAAAGGTGTTATTGAACATGAAAACTACGAGGAAGTAAAGAAAATTCTAGGAGAGATTAAGCAGGAGGTCATTGAACATCTGTTCGAATCCACAGATGATATCCAAACATTTGATAGTCAGTGGCCATACAGAGATTAGGTGTCCGCCAAGCTATAGAAATACCCAAATTTAGGCTAGACGCTGTTACCTGATTCAAAGTGAGAAGGTATTCCACTCATTGACTGTATTGTGCTATATTATGTCGGGTTATATAGCAAGGGCAGATAGATTGGCAGGCGAATATTTATAGTTGATTCAAGACTTTGCATCGGAATGCCAGAATGTCTCCTGTTACATTGATTCCAAGCTGTCGCTTCAAAGCTCGGGAGGCAGTTACTGACAGCAAACTCGATACTAATAAATTAGCAGTAAATTCCTAGTATTTTTTCATTTTCTTTTTCTTATCATTTATTAACTCTTTCACGTTTCCCCATCCTGGGACAAAAAAGCCAGGTTATAAAGGCTTATACAACATCGACTTTCTAGAGTGTATTCTCCAGGCGGCGTTCCTTTCGGAGAGCGCGCAGTTTAGCCCTAGCCTCCTCCAGGGGTACGAGACTGCCCTTGGTCTGTGAACTAGGGTCATCACGGTTACGAATGTTAACTGAACGAGACTCCTTCTCTTGAGCGCCCACAACTAAAGATTTTGTTAGTACAAATGTTCCCTCCATATAGAACATAGGATACGAGAGTGTAAAAGCTTACCAAAAATGAAATTATACTGTGCCAGTTGACCATTTCGAATCTTCTTTTGCATAGTGTGGCCGCTAAGGTCAATGTCGACATTCAACTTATCGCCTCGAAGAATCTCCTGAAGTTCTTCGACATAGTCGTTGGCACTGGCCATGACAGGGACAATCAAAATCTGTCGGGGGCTAAGCCAGAATGGCCATTTTCCACCAAAATGCTCTATCAAAATTCCAAAGAAACGCTCAAAGCTTCCAATGATAGCTCTATGGATCACAACGGGTCTAGCTCTGCCTGGGCCTGGGGTAGAGGAATCTGAGGGCTGGGCTTGAGCTGGATTTGAGTCGCCCTCCGCTGGTTTAGCCTCGGCCTTGGACGTAGCTGGAGCAGCAGATTTAGGAACAGCCTCTCCAGTCATGTACTCGAGTTTGAAATTAAGAGGTAGCTGGTAGTCGAGTTGAATAGTTGCACACTGATGTTCTCGCTTCAGAGCATCGGAAATGGTGATATCAATCTTTGGTCCGTAGAAGGCACCATCACCTTCGTCAATTTCCCAGTCTGCACCCTTGAACTTTGTGAGAGCTTCTCGCAATTGAGCTTCGGCAAAGTCCCAGGTCTCGAGCTTTCCGAGGTATTTCTCAGGTCGGGTAGAGAGCTTCAGTTTGAAACTGAAACCAAACAAGCCATATATGGCGCGGAGGAAATCGAAGAGTCCCTCGATCTCTTCCATGATCTAGTAGAGGGGAAAAGAAGAAATTAGTGATATCTCCCTAACTGGTCTACGGACAAGTGCAGCCGTTATACATACCTGGTTGTCGGTGCAGAAAATATGAGTGTCATCCTGTTGGAACTTTCTGACTCGAGTCAATCCGTGCAGAGCACCAGATGCTTCGTTTCTATGAAGCACGCCAAAATCTGCCATTCGTAATGGTAGTTCTCGGTAACTTCGCTCTCTATGGCCAAACATGATGCAATGACCAGGGCAGTTCATTGGCTTCAGGGCCCAATCACGTTTTTCAACGTCAAGTTTGAACATGTCATCTTTGTAATGAGCCCAATGGCCTGATTGGCGCCATATACCGACATCATACATGTTGGGAGACTGAACTTCCTGGTATCCTCGTTTCCGATACTCGGTACGGAGTAGTTTTTGTAGGGCATTGAAAATCTTAGTTCCGTTGGGAAGCAGAAAGGGACATCCAGGGGAAACTTCATCGAAGAAGAAGAGTTCTTGCTCCTTGCCTATTTTAAGGTGGTTTCGCTTCTCTGCTTCTTCCAGGAATTTAAGATGCTCTTGTAGCAGTTTCTTGTCTGGGAAAGCTACACCACGTATCCGTTGCAGGGCATCGTTGGTCTGATCACCCAGGAAATAGGCAGAGGAGTTCTGTCTGATGTTAGTAATGAGCCAAAAGTGGTGTTCAATGACATAGAAACGCTCACCTGAGTGATCTTCATGGCCTTAATTTTGCCCGTGTTCTGGATATGGGGTCCTCGGCACAAGTCCACGAGAGTTCCGCATCGATAGACAGTGCTGCTCTCTCCTTCAATAAGATTGTCGATATAGTGCAGCTTATACTTGCTATAGCCAAACATTTTCTTCAGATTCTCCTTTGAAACCTCCAATCTGTCGAAGGATTGTTTTTCTTTGAAAATCTTTGCGGTTTTAGCATCCAATGATGGATAGTCTGCTTGGGTGACAACGCCGCTATAAAGAAGATATCATTAACCTCAGTTTCAAGTTGATATGGTAGGCCAATTGCAATTGTTGGTAAAAGAGGGAGGGACCATTGCGTACCCTTCGGGAATTGCCATATCATAGAAGAAACCCTGAGCAGTGGGAGGACCGTGTGACAGGAGACATCCGTATTGGCATTCACAAGCTTCACCGAGAGCGTGGGCACTGGAATGCCAGAACACTTCTCTACCCTCCACTGAGTCAAAGGGAAGATAACGAATGCGACAATCCCTCTCAAGCGGGCGATCCAAGTCCCAGAGCTCCTTTCCGTCAAGCTTAGCAATAACCACGCTCGAGCTGAGCTCCTTGGGTATATCCTTCAGAAACGAGCCTGGAGTAGAGTGCCATGCCTGCGCAATAACCGTGGATGGTGCACCATCCCCCACTTCCAGCGTCACGGTGATGTCGAACCGAGGTTTGTTCTTGAGTTCCTCCACCTTCTCCTTGTATAGCTGGTCGAACAGCTCATTTCGCTGTATGATGAAATCTGGCAGCGGCTTCTCAGCGGCTGCAGGTTTGCCCTTTGCCCTGTCTGCTTTCTGCGGGGCATCCTTCGAGGGGTTGCCAGCGTCCATGGCTGCTGTGCGGTCGGGGAGGGCGGTGTCTTTGGTTGAAGCGCTCGCTGGAGCGCCAGTCTCACTCATACTGCCTCTGTTAGCCCGCGCCGGTCAATCTTTTCGAGTCCTGCTCCTGGTCTCGTGTTGTCTTCTCCTTGATATCGTCAAGCAACTAAACTGTGACTCCTTGAATATATGTATAGATAGGGGAGTTAGGGTGCCTCACGTGACACTAAGTCGACTAATTTTAGCCGAGACTTTTTTTCGTTTCTTTTGACAAGCAGATATAAAAAAAGTCTTCAAGATATCGGACGGCCGACCAGCTCCAACGGTACCAGCGGACGTTTGTTCAGCAGAGAGAAAAGGGAATTGCGCAATGTCGTTTCGCGGGGCACCTAGAGGCCGCGGCACAGGCGCCAACCGTGGAGGGTTCGGAGCTCGCGGTGGTGAGTTGTGCGCTCCATCAATATTACATGCATAACCAGTTCAATTTAGCTGACAGCAATTACCTTCTTGTGTCAAAGGCCGTGGAGGAATGCAACAGTCGTTTGGGCCACCGGCTACCGTACTAGAGATGGGGACCTTCATGCACTCTTGCGAAGGAGAGATGGTCTGCGAATCGATCAATCCTAAGATTCCATATTTCAACGCCCCGATATATCTGGAGAACAAGGTACAATTGCAGCACTGTTTCCACGCTGGAAAAAGGGATGCTAATTGGAGATCTGGTATAGACACCAGTTGGAAAAGTTGATGAAGTCCTAGGCCCGATCAACCAAGTATACTTTACTATAAAGCCTCAGGAGGGAATCGTCCCTACATCTTTCAAGGCCGGTGACAAGTTCTACATCGGAGGAGACAAACTATTACCATTGGAGAAGTATGCGCCTGCGTTCTACTTGATAGCTGTCGATATAGTATGTAAGCTTACACCTTACCTAGGTTCCTCCCCAAGCCCAAACCACCGCCAGGTGCACCAAAGCCAAAGAAGATCGGAGGCGCAGGCCGTGGAGGAGCTGCGCGTGGTGGTAGAGGAGGATTCTCCCGCGGTGGACGGGGCGGTGCTCCCCGGGGTCGTGGTGGTTTCTCCAGAGGCGGCGCGCGAGGTGGACGAGGTGGAAGCGGTGGATTCTCCCGCGGAGGTGCTAGAGGAGGCTCACGAGGCGGATTCCGTGGACGAGGCTAGAGAGAATCGCATCAGCCGATTTCCCACTTTTCCTCGCTGGCGTTTAGGAGCATTCTGGATGGGAGTTTGATTCATTCTTTATCATTTAACGATCTCTCTGCTATTTTGGCCTAAAAAAAAGAGCTGTCGGTTCCCGTTCCAATGTACTAATTGTAACATAGAGCCAATTCGCATCCCTCACAGTGTCTTCTTCTACACCTCTTCCTATATACAGTCACAAAAAGAGTGGTGAATATGCTGTCCGGCATGTTGAATCAACTGTGGCCAACGGTTTTGCTGCAAGCCAAGGTCAAGCTTTTTTTTTTTCTTAGTGCAGGGTAAACTCGCAATATATGACGTCCTTCCATCCAGCCCACATCAACATCATCTCGAACCAAGGACAAACAACTCCCATTCCACCCACCTCGCACTCTCTCCTGCGCAATAGCAGCTATTATTACCCTTCTAGACGTCCCGGGACGTTGAATTCGTTTATATCGGTAATCTAGCTATACAATTCAGCCCTCCTGCGACCCAACAATCAGCCATGTCGCGACGAAGCCCTGCAGCGGGCGGCAACGGGCCCGAGAGCTCTGAAACCCCCAAGGATGCCGGTATGGGCCTCGCTATACAGGATACATGCGTTGGAGTGACAGTCTGACTGATATGTTTCCTTTTGCTAGGCCAGGATAAGCAGAAGATACTCCTCTCTGCAGACACAGGCCACTTCAGCTTGATCAGGTGCGCAAACAGCTGGAATTTTACTGATGATGACTCCTTTTTCCCCCTTCTAACTCGGCGGTTTGATAATTCCAGGGCCTTGCATCTTGCTGATTTTATTACGGAATTAAATGGTATGTGGTCGCCTCAGTTCTGATACAAGTTGGGCGGGCCCCATTGCTGACTGACGGCTTCTTAGGATTTTGCGGAGGCAAGTATCCGGCGACGATCATCGATCTCGATCACCTGGAGAGTGCCGAAAAAGCCTATAACTATATCTGAAGCTGACTAGAAAACCTCTAGTGATGTCGATATTTTCGTCGTTGAGATACTGCCTGGGTGAATCCCACCAGCATGGGAACATCTGGATGGCCCTTGGTTTCATCCCGTTCGGCCTCTTCTTTGACTTCATGGATGGGAAGGTTGCCAGATGGCGGAAGAAGTCGTCGCTGATGGGCCAGGAACTGGACTCTCTAGCGGATCTGGTACGCATTTCGACAGATACCGAACTTATTTTAAAACCCCTCAGCCAGCCGTGCGCGGAAATTTGTTGATACCTCTAACACTTGACTAGGTCTCGTTTGGCGTTTCTCCTGCAGTGGCAGCATTTTCGATTGGAATCAGGTCGCCGGTTGACCACATCCTACTCACGCTCTTTGTTCTCTGCGGTCTCACTAGACTCGCTCGATTTAACGTCACCGTCGCAACACTCCCCAAGGATAAGACAGGGAAGTCAAAATACTTTGAAGGAACCCCCATTCCGACGACGCTAGTGCTTGTGGGAATAATGGCGTACTGGCTGTCTCAGGGTTGGATTTTGGAAGACCTTCCACTTGGAGTAATGCTTCCAGGTACCGCGCTCGAATTTCACCCGGTTGTTGGCATGTTTCTTGTTAGCGGCTGCCTTATGGTAAGCAGATCTATACATATCCCAAAGATATGATAGACTCTACCTACCTGTCGTTTAGTACCCTTTTTTGGTTTTGTTAGTATCATTCGCTTTTGTTGTTAAAGAAAAAGAAAGAGAAAGAACTGTTTAGCAATCTGACGAATTTTGATGCACACTTTGGGTGCCCTTTGACCTCGCCGTGACATTGTTTAGTTTTATGTGCAAGCCAGTTAGGTTTCCGGTTTCCAGTCAGTCAGTGTTGGCAAACATGGCGCGGTTCTATGGTCTATTATCTTGATAATCAGATACACCAATGTCGAAAACCGGATGATAAAGGACTCCATTGGTTAAAACTTCGTGTCCTTTTTTAGCCCTTTTTTTTTTTTTTTTTTTTTTTTTTTTTTTTTTTTTTTTTGTATTTGGTAATAGTTCCCGACTCTGATCTATGTTTAGCCAGAGTGCCTCCTTTGACAGCAATCCTTCGGCTACTAGCACGAAAAGCCACGTACTTGGGGACCATACGGAATATTCGCATATCCGCTGTGACGAAATAGCAAAAATATTCAAAAATATCAACTCTCAGATATAAAGAAGGATAAAACGGACGTGTCACCTCAATGTGATGGGCCACGATAACAGCCAGGATGGCCCTCGATCTATCCCACGAAATCAGCCATCCAGGGGAGATTAAAGGAGCGCTGTCTGCACGCACAGCGATCTAAACTCTTCAGCCTCGACAGCAGGCTGGAGATATGGTTGGGAGCAGGTGCGAGCTGGTATCGGAACACAGGCTTTTGCAGGATGAGCTTTGTTCTAGATCATTCTTGGTAGAATGACTGAGACAGGTGTTGCCGTATTCCAAAAGCCTCAAAAAAAAATTCTCCGCCGTCTTGGCTGGCCTTTTAACAGCTCAAGCTGTGACCAGAAGTGCGCGGTTTCGAGGATCTTGGGCATTTCCTTTGCTCACTATTCATGCCCTGGCCCAAATGTTTTCCCGCACCCCAGGCCTGCCACGTATCTTGAACTGTGGTCCAGCCACTTAACCATCTGACTGCCATCAATCCACGCCCTGTATCTGTCACAGGAAAACATGATGCATCAGGCCAAATGTTCCAATTATGGAAATCGAGCACGCTGGCCGCAGGGCATAAAAGATGTACTGTGTATGATGCACGTTGATATGCCAGTCAATGACTTAATCGGCCCCAAGTAACGGAGTAACTGCTGGGGAACGAATCATTTCTGGCGCTTGAGAGCGACTCCCCCTGCTTAGTCCTGCGTGAAGGGCAAATCACACGATAGCAAGGATCCACGAAGTCTTAGTGTCTTACCTGCTGCGCAAGCAAAATAGATTACAGATTACTATTGACAGGGGATATTGGGAGCCACTGGGACCGGCTAGCGCCAAGTCAGCCATAAAATACAGCGCAGCAGAGCAAGAAGAATGTCAACAGAAGCAGAAGAAGCGTCCAGAGAACCAATAACTATCATACGTTTGGGGGTGGAGAGGGAAACCGCCCGCCCCCAGTGGCGAGAAGCTCCGGCACCAAAAAAAAAAATAAAGGGAAGACAACGGAAGCAGAAGCCTGGGGATCGTGTTATACTTCCGCTCGTGCTTACGAGGGACTTGCATGTTACCTTACAGCAGACATGCACGCAAAGAAGACGAGAATTTCTCGCAGGGGTTACGCTTTAACCGCAGTTGGACCGACTGGACGAATCTCCGAGGAATATATGACGAAGAGTAGGAATATTCACACTCACCACTGTGCCGTGGATGAAAGATGAACAAAAAAAAAAAAAAAAAAAAAAAAAAAAAAAACGGAAACGATCAAAGATGTCCACCATCACTCCGTCATTTTGCATACAACTTTCAAGGCCGATGCTTTTTGCCAGCACAGCGAGCTTTTTCCTTTTGAGATGACATGATACTTTCCCCATACTCCATACTGGGCCTGCGAATATACGGCGTAGACGACGCATCTGCTGCACCGCCACGGATGGCATATCCCGCCCCTGAAGCACACTAGATGTTACAAGTACAAGTTCCGGGCCAGGATGCAGCAAGCAGCGGGTGTTCCTGGGCCCAGAAACCAATTTCGGGGTCAGAGCGTATTCCCTATGTACCACTAGGACAACTATCGCCTGCGCTTTAACGACCGGCAAAGTTCGCAGGCGCTTCTGATTGGGTTGCACCGCAGGATGAGCCTGCATGTGGATGGTGACACCCCTTTTTTCTAGCAGCCCAAGCAGGTACGGCGCCCGTATATATATCGAACGGTTCCAGTTCTCCATAAATTACCTGGATATGCATGGTCATAAACGGCAGGGATACGGCAAGTCCTCGCCCAGACACGCACTTCGTCCCTTGCCCAGAGCGAGGCTTCTCCTCTCCTTTCCATCGCTCGTACAACTCCGTCCCTTCTGCCTCCATCTCGCATTCTTCGACAGTCCTTTTTCCTTTCCCTCCACACTCTTTTTCCCCTTAGGCTAGGTTCATCTCGTCGAGCGGCTGCTGATGAGATCGTCTGCTCCAACCACAGTCCTTCAGAGTCCTTGAATGGTAGGGCTTTTTCTCCCCGGTTATTCCGTCAATCTTACACTCTCTCAAACGTCGAGTCAATCTTTTCTTCGATTGCGTGGTTTTTCTGAGGTTCGTCCATCTCATCATCATCCCCATCAACCCCCCCCCCTCTCGCTCTCTCTCCCTCAAACCGGCGTACCAGCAACACATATGAAGCCATATTCCGAATGAAAGGCCGATAATTTCGGCCACACTAACACCGCGTATCGCAGGCGTCCTCGAAGGTGGTTTATACAGATACACACATTTTGACGTACGAATTATTTTCTCGGTGCCGACCTGTCACTGGGCGTACGGACCGGTATCCTCAGGAGGACGTTGGAAAGGAGATGTTTTCAGGCAGAATATAAAACATCAACTCATTGATATCCACACAGGGCATTCCGGCCAACCGTTCTCTGATATCGACCGTCCCAGACTCGGCATCTCGCTTGACATCCATTTCTCTATATACAAGTCGACCCTCCCCTTCATCCACAGGGGTAAAAAAATTTCATCAAGAATCAACCTGTAAATATGAAGTTATATACGCCCAAGGCCGTCATGGCGGTGGCCTTCCTCCTGAGTTCGAGTCTGTCATGCGTTGAAGCAGCCCTTGACGAAAGCCTCAAGGGATGCTACAAAGGTTCCGGCAGTTTGAAGGATATGGGGCCCACCAAATACCAGAGCACAGGAGCCTGTCGAGAATTGTGCACCAAGTCCCAGAACGCAGTATTTGCGCTCCATGACACCGACCGATGCTCTTGCGGTGATAAATATCCTCCAGAGAGCCTGAAGGCCGCGTCTACAGATAAAACCTGCGTTCTCGTCAACTGCCCAGGCTTTGACAAAGATAAATGTTCGTCCATCCTGCTTTCAACCCTTCCTTTTATATTTTCTGGTTTATAGTGCGGGACAGTGACTAAATTGATGGCATTCTAGGTGGTGGAAAGAACAGCTTTGCGGTCTACCTGACCGGTCTAGTCGATGACCCAGCAACAGAGGGCGGTGCAGACGACGGCGATGCCACGAAGACATCGTCGACTCCTCAGCCAACAATCACCGAGGGAGGACACACGATCATCATCACTCCTAGCAGCAAGCCTGCCCCGTCAGGCCCCAACAAGGCTGGAATCGCCGCCGGTGTAGTCGTTGGCGTCGTGGCCATCGGCGCCATCATCGGGGGTGTCATCTTCTTCCTCAAGTACAGAAAGCGACAAAAGGTGGTTGACGAGTACCGTCGCAACCAGACAATCAATAACTTCGTCGCTGGAGGGAAACCGTCGTACAGTCAGAGCTCGGCGGATTCACGACTAGACCCAAGCATGACATCTCAGCGCCGCCAGAGCAACGGCAGCATTGCTGACGACCAAGACTTCTCACGGCGGGTTTTGAAGGTACATACTATCATCCATCTTTCCTCTACCTGCTTGCGGTTCCCCTTGGGCTAACAGTTGCGTCGTCTCCAGGTCACCAACCCGGATGGAAATTACTAAAATATACCCACGTCGATATACGTTCATCAAAGGCCGCCCCTTACTGCCTCTGCCTTTCTTTTTCCTTTTTGTCTGGGAGAAGACTCCCCATTTTAATTGATCGCGACTTGTCGATACTCCTGATTCAGCCCGAATATTAACGCCCGTGTATATTTCCGTTCCCTCGCCGTCGCTTACACTTGTACCTCAGCCCCGTCCCCCGACCTGTATTTCCAGCTTTGACCTTATGACCCAAAACCAACCTCCACCTTGTGATTCCTTCTCGGCGTTATATCACGTTCGCACAGTCTTTTCGGAAAGGAGGGGAGTTTTGTCAACGTACCCTCCTTTTTTCATTACCTTTTCCTTTCTTGTCTGTACACCCTCACTCCTTTCCTACCGCAGACGGGTACGGGATAAGCAAAGCAAACGTCTGGGGGCGAATCTGAACCCTTCCAAATGAAATGACATGTCAAAGTGCCATCCTTCCAAGCTCCTCTGTTTTCCTTATGCCCTTTTTATCTCTGTTCTCCTTCCTGTTCCTCTATTGGACGTGTGCTATGATCCATATCTCTCGTGGCCTGCCATATACCAGAGCTCTTGTTATATCTCTCTTATATCTCTTTACCTACATATCTTCTATCTCCTTTCACCCCCCTCCCCCTCCGTTTTCCTATACACCTTCTACTATGTATGCATCTGGGCGTTACTGTGTATTATTCCTCACCGGCTTCCTATATATACATCTCTTTTTTACTAAGTTGACGTCTTGGACGACTGGCTCTCTCTTGCCCCCTTTTTATACCGTACATATATATACATACTATTATTACTATATGGTCTATCTGTCTGCCTTCTATGATTAACCGTCTTCTTCTCGTCCTTCATGTTTATCCTTGGTATTAAATTAATACGTCCTAGCTGGCCCTCGACGTCCATTGGGCCACTTTCGCCCTTGCCGTCGATCAGAGCATGGAGATCACACCCGTAGCGCTTCACATGTCCACTTTTCCTCCCATTCATCTTGCTCCGTTGGAGTCACTTGACAGTTGTCTCGGCATCTGAATACCAGAGCAAGAAAAGAAGACAGGCGAAGTCAAGAGAAGACGAAGGGGGAGGGAAAAAAAAGCAAAGGCTCGTCGTGTATATCGCTAACTGGCCGATACGTATCATATCCGGCGCTCTCCTCTGCCGCAGGGCACCCTCCTCTCTCTTCCGTTGCCTAACGCTGCCCATCGCTCGTGTGTATCAGATTAAGCTCTAGTGATCCCCATTCTATTTACTCGGCAGATGCTTGAGGTTGGTAAAGGAAAAAAACGGGAGAGATTCAGCTCGCGATACTCAATATACGAAAGGCAAGGAATGCAAGAGGTGGAGGGGGGTGTTGAAAGGCCAATATCAAACTTGTTTCTTGTTGATATCCAGGGGCAGCCGTTCAAATAGTCAAAACTCTCTGGGAGGACAAACGGGGCTGTGAGCCAGGGGTTGACGGAGCGCTCGACGGCCCCTGTCGTATGGGTGCAAACAGAGTAGTCGAGGCCTTGTGCCGTCATACCTTGCCTGCAATCGATTGTTCTGCAGTGGAATGGGTGCTTATGCGCTGGCCGTGTCACAGTCCCTCACTTTGTGCATGTAGACACGGCATTCCTCAATAATGGGGCCTCAAGCTTGTATGCTGTACTACCCCAGCTTCCGGGGTACATGATGGTACTGGGGCGAGTCTCATGGACGAAAGGAACTGTAACTTAGGTAGGGAGTTAACTAGTTAACGAGTTAAAAAAAAAAAAAAAAAATACTGAGATTGATATCTATGAGAATGGACAATGCCAGTTTTAGGTAGCTAGTTAGCTACTTGTTAACAAGTGTAGAAAAAAAGATATAAAATGCTACATATTATCGTAATATTTCCAAAAGACGCCCATGCAACTAGCAACGACCAGGTCTAACATCTTTAGGCCCTCGTCTTCAATGATAAGTTTGCCCAGCTTAGCGCTGTTGCCGCGTAGACCTCCGCCAGCCCGTTCGCGCGCAAGACTTAGGTCTAACTCTCCGACCCAGGGGGAGCTCTTGGTTGGGCTGCTATTTTGGTCACTCGAGCTGGACGGCCGGGGCAGTAAGGTTGGCAGGTTAAACCGTATTTCAGCGACTGTTGTTGTTGTCGCTGAGGATGGCGACGTCCCTGCCGCTCCCGGGATGGTATGCTTGCACTTTAAAGTCCTTCCGTTGGCAGCAGTGACAAAGTTACAGTAACCGTTCCAGATGGACAGAAACTGGTAATGTCCGTTAGACTTTTGAGGGTACTTGTTAGCCTTGGGGGAAGAGAGGTTGAACATCTCGCCGTGAGAGGAGGGTTGGTGTCTATGGTGAGATGACGACTGCGGTGGCTGCCAGAGCTTAAGGAGACGGGTGAACTTGACAGGGCCTGCCCCGTGGCCTGAATCTGACATATCCTCTGCCTCTCGGGGCATATTCGATGACATGCTTTGCTGTGGAGGCCGTGCAGTGTCCAAGCTGCGCGCAGCGGCAGGAAGCTTAATGCCTAGACTCTCAAATGACATTCGAGACGTATCAACTGCGAATTTCTGATAGCCAGGCGTGGTTATTTCAACTTTGATAGAGCCGTCCTGTCTCCCTTCGGAAGGGGAGCTGCCTATGTTATCGATTGTGCCCACGTTCCACTGGCTGCTGTGGGTTGGATCACGTCGTATGAGCGTCAAGTGGAAAGGGGGTGCAGGAGCTGTCTCTCGCGGCCGCTCGTAGCTTTTCCTCGGCCTCAGGGGCAGCGGTGGTTTAGGACCTTCATCCTCTGGTATGTGTAAGAGACCTCGTTGGCTCTGAGGGCGTGGTGTGGGTTCAGGCTGGAAGAACGGCCTCCTGCTGCCATCCCAGCTGGCTCGCACTGTTGTTCCAGATGCCTGGTCGCGCCGACTCTGCAACTGCGGCGACCCTATAGCGGATATTGAAGCGGTTACCTGGGCACTCCACCGCCGTGTGTCATCATCAACAGGCTGAACGGGGAGTGGCCGAGGTGGAAGAATCGGTGGTTGCGGCTCCAATAGCGGCTTGCCTGGCGACCCTGACACGCTGATAGGAGAATGCTCATGGACCGGAGTTACACTCCCTGGTACTAGGTCCTCCTGCTCCCTCCTGCGTCTTATTTCTGCATTTTGCTCTGGATCTTGTGTTATATGTTGGGGTCGGGTTGGTAGAGGAGGAGGAGCCGCTTCTTGTTGGGTATCGACCGCCGTAGCAACACCAGGCACCGGTTTCCTGCGAGTCCGATTTAGGATCGCGAGTTTGCTTGTTTGCGGTATTGGATTCGTAGTCTGTTGTTGCTGCTGATGGTGTTGCTGAGTATGCCGTTCTTTTTCTATAGATTCTAGGATTTCTTCGTCCCGCGGCCCTGCCACATGTATGAAGTATAAGGACGCATTTAGAGATTCGGGAGAGAGACTGGACTTTGTCGGCGGTTTCAGCGGCGAGAGAAAGACGTCTACGTAGATATCTCGTGTCAGTATCAAGAGTCTATGAGCTGGTTGCCAGGTGGTTTCGTCCGATCTCACCTTTGCTGCCGGGCACGCGAACAATGTACAGAACGAGCGGCTCCAGCGGCTTCTGCGTTGGATTCCTGGGATACGCCGGCGGGTTCGAGGCGAGGCTGACGATGGACCCCAGCGAGCGAGCCTCGACGGGAGCGCCGTCCATCGGTCGTTTGCGCACAGCTCTTGGACGGTGGGTGGAATGTCCAGCTGGAGGGGAGAAGTTTGCCGATAAGATAGTTCTAGGCGGAGTTTTGCAGGTTTTAACTAGCTAGTTAGCTGGGTTGGGTGTGGCTGAGGCGCCTGAAGCCCAACGCGGTCTCCAAGAAGCGAAGGGAAAGGACGGAATGAGAAGAAGAAGAAGAAGAAGAAGATGATGATGATGATGATGATGAGGAGGAGGAGGAGGAGGAGGGCGACTGGCAGCTATTTATTGCTTTTCGCGTCTACGTCCAGGCTCAGCCGCGAGTTTGCTAACTGAATATTCACCTACGCCGTACCAAGATGCCAATACTACTGGATAGCTACAGCTGAAGCCCGAAGACGAGGATGAAGACGAAGAGCCAATGGCTGAATTCAGCTTAACGAGGCCTGATTCACCATGGACTCTTAAGAGCCCGAGTGTAAAAAATAAAGAAAAGTGAGAGAGCAGGAAAGAGAGTCAAGTTTGATATCAAGATGTTGCGACTTTAGTATAAATAGCACGAAAGCCACAGTGGATATATGCACCCTGTCAGGAGTGGTTATGCTGATGCCTGGACTGCGCCTCGCGATGATGAAGTAAACATGCATGCATGCATGGATGTAGACTATTTCATGTATGACTATTTGATCACAGGGCCTGCGCGAGGTGAAAGATCAGGTTATCAATCAGGCCAGTCTGCTGGGTGCTCGAGTAGGACAGGCTGTGGATAGCTGGATTAAATGACAAGAAGGAGATATATCTGTGCCTGTGCTATGGCTGTGAGTATGGACAATAGGAGATAGGAGAGGGCAGGGAGAGTGCAAGGAGAGGGTCTGGAACAGTAAGAAGAAGCTCAAGCAGAATCAAGGGAAGCAAGCAAATGATAGATATATAGTATGACAAGGACCAGAGGATCAGTCGGAAAACAATTATTACGCCTTGAGCTCCAAAAACTCCCCCAAGAGAAAGACGATGATGATTCAAACAGAAGATGGAAACAAAAAAAAAAAAATAAAAATAAAAATGGCCTGGTGTATCCGTGCTCCTCCGCCTGTCGTTGACTCCCGATCATATAAAAGGTACTTGGTTAAAAGAGGGTGACGAAGAAATGAAAGAAAAATGTAAATTCCGCGGCTCTCGACGGGACTTTTATACTGCAGTCTCTGATCGTTCATTCTCGGCGATGATAGGGACGGGGAGGCCACGGTTAGGGCTTTGGAGGATTAACTGTTCGTGTCTTCGTGCCCTGAGATAGTCGCTGATTGCACGGATAAGGATGAACCAGCCAACAACCATGAGGATATAGGAGAGCCAGTCGCTGGTGGTGAGGCCATGGAATGATGATCCTGATCCGCTGGAGCCATCGACGGCACTAGGGTTGAAGTTGTGGCTGTTCGGGTCTGGTGGGTTGACGTATCCGTCGTCTCCGGCGTCCGAGTCGGGAGGGTTGTAGCCGTCTGTGTTTCTCATGTAGAAGCCGTACTGTACCATGGTAAGACCGAGGCCGGCTCTGCTTCCATTCTTGGCTGCGTGAGTGGTGTGTAGGAGGTAGGTAAGTAGGAAGCCGACGAGCTGAAACGAGGTCGAGATCATGCCGTTCCAGGCAAACGAGAAGACGGAGCCGACGGGGAGGCCTTCAACGTAAACCTCATCCGACGACATGCCAGGAGCCACGATGGTGGTCTCCCAGTACGGAGGAGCAGCATCTGCCGCCGCTTGTTCATATGTCTACAACTCATCGTCAGTCATACATCCATATAATCTCTTCTAACGCCCGCAATAGCAAAAAAGGTTTTTGGTCAGGGGCTTACCGGTGGCAGATCGTCGAGTTTGTCGCCTCCTCGCTCTGGCTTGGCCGAAAGATTCGCAAACACTCCATCGTTGGCGCCTCGGATTACTCGAGATGCTGAGGCGTTGGGTCGCCCTGCTGGTTGAGCACTGTTGCTCCCTGCTGGCGCTTCTGACGGGTCGATGTCTGGCGTCGTGTTGGCAGGGCTCCCCCTCATCAGCCGCTGTCTGTCATCGGCCCCTTCTTCGTCATCGGTGTGTCCGTCATCATCGCCAAAGGCATCAGCCAGTGTTCGATCTGCGTCTGAGTGCAGAGGGTCCTGGGATAGCACGCGGCGAGATGCTGGGGATGGTGTCCGCGAATGAAAGGAGGGTGGAGGGGATGACGGGATAGGCTGCTGCTGTGTGGCTTGAGAAGAGACGGCGTCGTCTTCGCTGCGAGTATTTACCTGCAAGGCAAACGCGCCATGGTCAGTAGAGGTCTCCAAACCGCCGTGATAGGACCCCCAAGAGGCCTGGTTGATGTCGTAGTTTTTGCGGGTGCCTTGGGGGACTTACGGGTTCATATCGATGTGAAGTCATAGTGTCCCTTCGTCCACGGCCGCCCGCGAGCAGCAGGCTGGAGCGAAGATTGTGGTATTCGAGGGTTCTCTCAGGGAAACCCAGCTGCGTAGTGAGATGTTCTTTATCAGCAAAACAAAATGCAGCAGAAGAAGCAAGTGAGCAAAGCCGGCGCCTTTCGTTCGTCTCTTCTTCGTCTTCTTCGTCTTCTTCGTCTACTTATCTTCTGCTGCTTCAGCTTCTTTTGCGGTCGAAAAAGGGCGAAACAAGCCACAGTCACGTGGAATGTCACGGGACAACTTTATTCCGCCGGTTGTCTTTTGCGGTCAAAATGGATGGATTGGAAGACGACGACGATGAAGAAGACGGAGGCGGCATTGATACACGCAAGATAACAGGGGGTGAAGACTGTATTTACCCAGGGACAGCCTGAGACAGGGCCAGGAAAACATGTCGTCCAAGGTAAGAGGCGATCCAATTGGCTGGGATGCGCAGTGACGAGCCAGCATACTAACAAGTTCAAATAGCTCCCTCCAAACACAGTCGGGCAGATCCAACGGCTCATACTCAGGTGGCCCAAGGATCCCATTCGACCAGAGTCTGTTTCGGTCCAGAGATACCTCCAGTCACGGCTTGAGCCTCCGCGCCCTCAGTCCGATTCCTCGCTCACGTCCTACATTACATCTTTTTTCTCGCGATCCAAACCACAATCACAGAGCGCTGCGTCAGAACAGCCTCCTCTACTATCACAGGAAAATATAAAAGTGCTACAGTCTTTTTTGGATAATAAATACCAGAAAGCATATCCCCTTCGGCATAACGTGCGGTACCCCGCCAGTATGCCACAGCACTACGACCGGCTTATAAAGGAATTTGACGAAGCCGCGCATCGATCGACATTTGCACGATTGCGTAGGAGGATCGGGGGGTCAGTAAGGCTGAAGTAGACGGTCAGGAAGGAAGGCAGTTGCGGGTCATTTGTATAAGTGCTTTAAGACGCGGGTCTGGAGTAAGGGACGTCAATGTGTAAGATACAGCGGAGCATGTAAAACTATGTCTTGAAAGACACCTGAATTTTATAGAATATTAATTGATGAATATATCAGACATTTTAGGTATATATATATATATATATATATATATATATATATATCAAAATGGATTCGCCCAGAAAAAATTCGTCAAGTACATCCCATATGCCCAGGAAACAACACAAATGAAATAGGAAATACAAGAAAAAGAATCATGGTATATACAGCAACAAACTTAGCGCTTTCTTCGCTTACAACATTGGCTTAACGTCATCAGCTACCTTGAAGGGAGCTTCAGTTTTGGAGCGGACTTCCTCAACGGTAACGCCATCAGCCAACTCGATCAGAGTAAGGCCGCTAGCGAAATCAACATCAAAGACGCAGAGTTCGGTGATGATTCGGCTGACACAAGCTCGGCCAGTGAGTGGGAACTCGCACTGCTTGAGAATCTTGGGGTTGCCCTTCTTATCGGTATGTTCCATGGTGACGACGACTTTAGTGGCGGTAGGGTTGGAGACGAGATCCATGGCTCCTCCGAAGCCCTTGACCTTGCCTGGAAGCATCCCTATTTGAAGTGTTAGATACATATACATTGGGCAAAATCGGGAAAAAAAAACAGGGGAGAGGAAGAGGTAGAAACAGTAAACTTACAGTTGGCCAAATCTCCCTTGGCGCTGACCTGCATGGCACCAAGGATAGTCAAGTCAATGCGTCCGGCTCGGATCATTCCAAAAGACTCTTCGCTTCCGAAGATGGAGGCGCCAGGGAGAAGAGTGACAGTCTCCTTGCCCGCGTTGATCAGGTCAGCATCCTGCTGACCCTCCTTGGGGTAAGGTCCAAGACCCAGGATACCGTTCTCAGACTGAAGCTGGACTTCGACTGATGGGTCAACGAAGCTGGGAGCAAGCATGGGCATGCCGATACCCAAGTTTGCGTACATTCCATTCTTGAACTCCTTAGCCGCACGGCGTACAATGCGCTCTCTCTTGCTGGCGGTTTCGCCCTTGCCGAGAGCGGCGGTATCCTCATTCTCCTTGGCGAAAGTGAGTCTCTCAATCTGCTTCTCGGCTTTGCTCTGGATGACACGCTTGACGTAGATACCGGGAAGGTGGACGGCAGCTGGGTCAATCTCGCCGACCTCAACGATGTTCTCAGCCTCGACAATGGTGATCTTTGCGTTACGGCCCATGGCACCGTTGAAGTTGGCAGCGGAGTATCGGAACTGGCAGTTTCCAAGCTTGTCTGCCTTCCAAGCCTTGACCAGCGCATAGTCTCCCTTGATGGACTCTTCCATAACATAGCTCTTGCCATCGAAGACCTTGACGTCTCTTGGGGTTCCGTAGGTGGCAACAGATCCATCCGGGTTGTTCTTCACAGCAAGGTCACCGGTCTGAACAACGGTGCCAAAGGCAGCTGGGGTGTAGAAGGCGGGGATACCAGCACCGCCAGATCGGCAACGCTCAGCAAGGGTACCCTGAGGAGTAAGCTCCAGCTCAATCTCTCCAGAAAGGTACTTTTGCTCAAGAGACTTGTTCTCTCCAACGTAACTGGCAATCATCTTCTTGATCTGTCCGCTGGCAATCAAAAGACCAAGCCCCGCACCATCGATACCGGCATTGTTGCTGACAGCAGTCAAGCCAGTGATGGAAGGAGTAGAGTGAATCTCATTGATCAGGGTGCCAGGAATACCGCAAAGACCGAATCCACCAGCCAGCACGGTCGAGTTGGACTTCATGTCCTTGATCGCCTCTTTGGCAGAGGGGTAGACCTTGTTGATCTCGAATCGAGCAACGGTGCTCGAAAAGGCACGAACGAGGAAGTGTTGGCTCTGCAAGTAAGTCACATCCAGTCAGCTAAATATGTCTTCATCAAGGTCCCTTAAATTGGGTGGCAGTTCATACCGATGCTGGGTTGGCAGCGAACCTCCCCGCCGTGCGGAGGCAGGTCTTTGCAGCGTGGAAAGGCATTGTCACTGAAGTCGAATGCGGGAAAAACAGCAAATCTATCAAGGCGCCAGTCCCTCTCTTATGCTTCGATGTCCTTCCTTGTCTCTGCTGCCGTCTGACTGCTGCCCGTTGGTGGTGGTTGGTGGTTGGAGGCGGTGGTGTCTTGCTCGCGTGAAGCTCGGCGAATATGTACTGCCTCCTCAGTATGCTCTTGGCGAGAGGCGGGAATTTCCGTGTATTTCTTTTCGAGTATCGGCCGTACGGGCCGAAGACTTAACCGCAGCGCACGCAAACGCCGAAGACAGGGATACAGCAAGGACAAGTTGCCCTTCACGTAATAATAGCCACGCAGACAATCTAAAACTGCCTTACGTACTTCTGCTCTCTCTTTGGGCTGTTTTGCTCTCTTATCTCCTCCTTTCTCTGCTTCCGCGTCCCTTCTTTGCGTCTCCTCGAAGTCGCTTCTTCACGCCCTTTTTTGAGCCTCGGCAAAATCGGCATTTTGCTTAGTCAGGAAGTCCGCATCTAGCCACAGTCACGTGTTGCGGATGTTCAAACTGCCGCTTATTGCCGCTCTTGACCAAGCCTTCCTAATACGGTAATATCAACAACTTCTCACCCGCATGCATTATATAATCACAACAGATCTTAGAATGCGCTTGCCACTGCAGTGAAGCAGAAACACACATTAATAGATCAGTCCAACCATTCCCTTATATAGGTAGGAGACGAAAGGCGAAAGTCCACAACTGCTATAATCGCTCCTGGTACTGCCCGGACCAGGGGGCTCTTGCGGCTAAAAGTGTGATACCAAAACGTTGCGTCTTCATGGCACAATTGCAACGGTCTCAGATTCGTGCATCATGTCAACATACACTTGGCGCAACTGTTTTATGCAGAAGTCAATCACTACATATTCTTGAAGAAAGATAACTCCACGAACAAAAAGGCCACACTACCAAACGACAACTACCAGAATTAAAAGAAGCCAAGAAAATGTCTATTGTCCGTTGTGACCCGAATTACATGACTGGGGAAGAAAAAACAGGAGCCAGGGCTCTTAATCAACAAAATGGGCAGAGTGCAGGTATTTTGCCGTAATGCCGCAACATTTCGCGATTAACTGGTGCTTGCAGAATTCCTACTTCTGGTGTGGTTTGATAATAATATCGATGAGCGACAGTGTATGACGGTGGTGATGCCGGGAAGGGCGACTCCCTTCATGAACTCAGATGTTCTGTAAATTCAAATCAAGAGCATGTGTACTGTCCAGTGGTTTGCAACTGCTGATACTCTGTAGCTTTGATGAGGATACTGTTATCCAAGTATATCAACGTCGAAGGAGTCGAGAAGCGATAGAGTTAGAGTTAAGCTATTTTTAGTGCGGCTCAACAATTAAAGTTCACGGGTAGTCTGGACGCATTTTAGTAGTTCGATATTGGAACAAATTCCCCTCGACCTCCTTTATAGTTAGTACTAACTTCTCCTTTAGCTTCATAAAATATTCCACCTAAAGAGATGGAGGATGGAATTGATACCCAATTATAGCTATACCCATTATTATTTTCTGTACCAATTGTGACATAATACATAACATGCGGACCGACCGTTACATACAGGAGTGTGACCATGTGTCGGGCACACCGTATGAAAGACCAGATACACGTCAAAGGAGCGGTGGATGATGGGGCTGGTGTTCCTCATGTCAATGCATCAGATTGCTTGCATTTTTATTCTGTGGTATTAATTTGTACTTATCTTAATTTTTAGCTCACTGAATCTCACTTCATCGGCTGTTACATCGGCGACACTAATAAATTCTCCTTTGTATTTCATTGTTACTTGAACATATCTCAAAACATATGTGCTACCATTATTCTATCTTGTATATTCACAATATTAAGACACAAATGATAGTTGATAAGTCGAGGCACCGCATTTTTCTGCCCCGTTTGAAACATCTAAGTACATAATTCTTCTACATCTAATCTCCGCCCCTTCTGTCTAGAGGCAAAATGCCCATAATCGAGCAAAACACCAACCCTTGCCATCGTCCGGACCAAACTGCGTGTGTTGAAAAGACCGGTGATACCACCCCGCCATTAGTGGTGGATGATAATTTAGAAGCGGGAAACAATAACGAGGCAAAAGGTGGTTTCAAAGCGTGGACCTATGTCCTTGCTTCGTTTTTCTTGTTTATGAACGCATGGTGAATAACGGTCCGGATAAAACAACAATTTATGTCTTATCAGAACTGACGAATGAGCAAACTAGGGGCCTAACGCAGACTTTCGGGGCGTTCAACCAGTACTATGTTAGCAACTTGCTTTCCACCAGCTCTCCCAGCTCCATCTCTTCGATTGGTAGCTTCCAGGTATTCCTGGTCATTGTCCTCGGCGTTTTCACCGGTCCTCTATTCGATGCAGGGTATTTGTGCCAGATGCTCACACTAGGCTGCACTCTCGTCGTCCTTGGCATGAGCACACTGTCGCTGGCTACTTCATATTGGCAGGTCTTTCTCACTCAGGGCTTATGTGTTGGTCTCGGTTCTGGTCTGCTCTATGTACCGGCCCTGGCATTTGTTTCGACACTGTTCCCAGACTCGGTCCGTCCCTGGGCAATTGGCTGCGTGAACGCCGGTGGAGGCATGGGTGGTATCGTCTATACGTTAATGCTGCGTGATCTGGAGCCTCAAATCGGGTTTGGCTGGGCTGTCCGTGCGATTGCTTTGGTCACTCTTGTGTTGTCAGTCGTGGCTCTAGCAATTCTGCTCCCTTATCGCTCGAAGGCTCCCAAACCCCAACATCGACGAGCTATGTTTGATCTGAAAGCACTTCGTGAGCCTGGTTTCTTACTGTTCTCAATCGCCATGTTTCTCAACTACATTGCTTTCTATATTACGCCCTTTTATATACCGATGTATGCGACAGAGGCCTTGCATCAATCCCGCAGTTTTGCATTCGCGTACCTGGTGTACACGAGCATTACATCCATCATCGGACGTACCCTGCCCATGTTAGCTGCAGGCCGCTTTGGTTCTCTGCAGGTATATATTGCCGCAACAGTAGGGACTACAGTTGCTCTGTTTTGCTGGACGGCTGTTCACAATGTCGCGGGTTTTTTGGGCTTCGCTTTAGTGTATGGCATAGTCTCGGGCATGCAGGTTGCAGCCCCAAGCGCAGCAATTTCACATCCAGTACTATCCCCAACCATGAACGTAATCGGCACACGCATGGGTATGGGGTGGATGTTTGCTGGCGTTGGCGTTCTCGTTGGTTCACCTATCGCGGGTGTCTTAGTCAATGTGACTCCTGGTCGGGTAGACTTTAAACTAGCACAGTGCTTTGCAGGGGCTGTTGCCGCTGCCGCGCTTCTGTGTTTGATATTCCCCCTCATTGCAGTTATCAAACACGATAAGAAGACTGCTTGATGTTTGTATTAGTAACCGAGAAACTCCTATTCTGCAATTCTTGATGGTCAGCTAGAAAAAATAATATATAGGGGCTGCAAGATCAGGGATTCGCTGTTATCCTCTCTGCCGGAATGACGGCTCTCATTCCCTTCCTAAGCTAAGGAGTTATATACACCAAAGCCACCACCTGGTAAGGAACAGCTGACACTGTGAAGGAATGCAAGTCTAATGTTCGCTGGAATATTCGACAAGCGCTTTTACTGGAGACAAAGGGATATCCATATCAAGAAGAGTACGAAGGCAAGGAAATAAAATGGTGCTCAGAGATTTCTCTATGGTATCGGAGGGGCAATAGACTTATAGTATGGGCGTTGAATAGTCATAATAGTGGATTTGGTATGGAAGGGGGGAGTAGGGTATACGGTTTCAGGTCGTGAAAACAGTAATGTGGTTAGTTCTTCGATGCAACAGTCGGGTGTTCCTCACTTTCGGCGCCCTTTCGTTTTAATCGTTTGCGGTCTGGAGATGGCGATAGTTTCTTCTTCGCCATCGCAGCTGGGCCCGTCGAAATTGCTTTCTCGTCTACCATGCGTGTTCAGGCCGGTCAGCATGGTTACTTTCCCAGGTTCCCCGGATAGGAATACTGCCTTTGCTCCCTTGATGGAAGTTCTGTTGGCTGTCTGGATGTGATCTGTCCCTACCTGGGGCTGTTTTTTGCGCCTCGTCATAGCTGGGAGGTAAGTCGGTCATTTCTACATCCGATCTGTCACCTGCACGTTCTCGGCCGGGTTTTGATTTTGAATTATCTGTCGCCGAGGTGGTCGGTGCCGGACGCTCCTCAACGTGACGACACACAGGTTTGGCCAGTCGTTCCTTTAACCCGTCGTTTAGATAAACAAGGAAGTAGGGGGTTGGCGGGTTCTTAACGTTGCGATCACTAAATATTTCTGCCGTGCTGTGGACCTCGGTTACTTCGGAATCGTTATACTTTCGCCATATCTTCTTTTCAAAGTCAAATATGTAAATGTAGTAGTGACCGAATTCCACGGATCCATGATGAATGAATACCGCATAGAGATGGTAGGGGAGAGACTTCATATCGTTGAACTGATTATCTATCAAATGGGCGAGTTGTTCCATCCGAGAATCAATGCCTATATGCTAAGTTAGTACTGCAGTGGAACGCGAAAAAAGTAACTGGAATTCCACTTACGAATGAGTTCCTTTCTTGTCATTACTTCCAAATTCGAAAGGTGTGTCAATACCCCTTCATCGATGTCTAGGGCATCATTTCCCATTTCAGGATCGTCCTTCATCAACATCAAGTCCTGGACTTTGTCACGGGCATCTTGAAAAAGGTCGGGAAGGGATTCCTAACGAGGAGAAGTTAGCCAACAGTTTTATATCCTAGTAGAGGGAGATAATACATTGTTGCTTAGTAGCTCCTCCCGCCGAACTTTTAACCCATTAAGCTCGTCGTTCCATGCCCACTTTTCTCGGCGTCGTTTATATAGACCCATATTATCATGTTCCGGGACGTCCATGTATCGGTCCATGTATATTGTTTCCTTTAGCTCTAAATGGTGAGTGGATTTGAAAGATGACTTCTTAACCTGATCGAACTGCACACGCTGCACTTGAATTTGTAGCACTGGTGGGATCTTGCTGATGGCTCCATACTGTTCTGCGTCCGCACCATCAACATGTACTTTTTGTCTATCAAAAGCACCGTCAATGGCAGAATAGATGTCTCTCGAGCCAGTGGCGACATCGACTTTGATATCTGACCAGAACTCGTTTTTAGAACGTATACCATTCATTGCAGTGATGTAAGATTTGGTCTGTCCATAGAACAGACTTGTATCAAAGAGTTAGTATGTTCATCAACTTAAAGCACTGAGAGCTATCACTTACTCCATGATCAAATCGATCTGATTCCCGTCTGCGTCGATCTTGGTTGGCTTAATTGCGCACTGAGCTTGGAAGAGCACGTTGTTGATAACTTCCGTGACATCTTGCTGCGCACCCAACTCAACTTCTTCTCGAATTAGCTGCTCGTTATCAACCCGTGGAGCAGGCCGTGGAGGAACTGGTGGTGGTCTGTTAGGGGCTACAATAGCCTCTGACACCGGGTGTTCAGGTGTAATACTGGTCTCGCTGGAGGATGAGGTGACTTCTTTTGTTTCAACAGTAGGCACCACAGTTTGGTCTGAAGCATTGCCAGACTCTAGCTCATTGGAAGCTCCTGTAGAAGGGGTGACGCCAACATCTTCTTTAGCCGACTCCTCCTTTTCTGGAGAGCTGCTACTCGGTGTAGACTTCTCTTCAGGGATTGGAGCTGGAGGACCGACAGGGCCCATGATGGGCATCCCATTAATCTCCCCTAACTCTGATGCCTTGTGAGTTGATAGAGATTTACGCCGAAACGCAGCTTCACTTGAGGAACTGAGCAACGTCAGCCTGGCAAGCTCTTGGGTCGGTGTTACGAACGCATCAGGGGAAGTAATCATGTCGTTGAACAGAGCTTTCAATTGCACAAGGACTATAATTGAAACAAAAGTTAGCTGCTGCATACAAGTGTCATCAAGGTCAGGAGGAACTAACATTTCTGTGAGCGTTGGATCTCTAAAAGAGATACTTTTCGCGATCCAACCTTTTTATTCCGAATCACCTCCTCATCAAGCTCAGTTTTATACCGGTCAAGATCCAGTACCATATTCCGGAAAGGCTGGATAGTAAAGTAAAATTGAAGCAAACTGTTCAGGTAACAAGTGTTGCCAATATTTCGAAGTCCGACCGGCCAGTCTAACAGCGCGCGGTTCGCTGGCGCGCTATCGTCAACCAGCATGCTACGGATAACCGCGCTGCCACTCTCCTCGGCAATAACAGCAAGTGCTTGTCGATATGTATCGATCTGCTCGGGAGCTTCCGAGCAACATACTGAGTATGCAGCTATTATAGCAGCATCATCTACCGATCTATCGGGGATCTGGAGCAAGCGGAATGCATCCCCAATATCCATTTGGGCAGAGGCGGCTTCACCTGTCTTGAGAAAATGTTGTAGGGCTTCAGACTTTCGGCTGTCTGCGATAAGTCGAACAGCTCGTTTAGCTACCTCTTTGCTGTCAGGACTATCGCTAATCTATTTTTGTTTTTAGATAATGGTTAGTAACAGAGTGTTTATAATAAGATATAGTTCAAGGAGACATACCTTTGCAGTATACATCGAAATCACGAAATCATCAGGGGTATCAGCATGGACTCCCAGGAATACCTCAGCTTGCTCAGCGGTCGTCACTCCTAGGACATGCATTAGCTTTATGCAAAGGGGGAAAAATTAACAAGAAGGAAAAGGAAGACACGCACTCTCTTCTGCAGCCGCCTTTATCTTTTCGCTCTTGCGGTAGTCGCCTATTCTCCAGAGATGTTTTCGTGGCTCCATATCATTTTGAGTATCTTCAAGCCGAGCATAAAACGATCCGATGATGGAATCATCGCTTAGAGCAAAGTCTCGGTAATAATCAAGGTTGAAATATGAGTAAGAATCAGGTACATCATCGTCGGCATACTTGCCGTTCGTTGTTTCTAACTCAACAAAATCGTTTATCGTCTTGCCGTCGACAGGGTCTCTCCAGTGTCCAATTGACCGTAAGCATCTGAAATGGTAGCTATTTCGTGACGGTATAATTCTGTTTTGCTGACGATAGGCTTCAATGATCAGTTCATTAGACATGTCGCTGACAGCCCCTAGATGTTCATAGAAGCTATACACTGGTTAGAGCAGGAATATTCATATACACGAAAGAAGGCAACATACGGAGCTTTTAATTGAGAGCTATTGGGGAAAGCGCGGGTTTTGGGATCTGTAAAAGGGCGTAAGCCGACGTTAAGTAAATAGGGATGGTGTGTTATACTGACAGTCTGTTGTACCAAGCAGCTGGTTAAACTGGCTTATAGAAGGCGTAAAAGCTATATTTGCCCCTTGGCCCTCTGTCTCATGTTGTGGCCGCTGGCTTATAAGCACCAGAAGCTCGAATGAGATGTTGTCCAAGAAGATATTTAACGGATCAGTGTATGGCTTTAGCGCTTTTGTATCGGGCCGCGGTGGTTCCCAGCGATCATTCTGCAAGGTAAAAAAAAAAAAACAGTCAGATATCATGCATTAAAGAGAAGAATAAGAGAAGTACGGAGGCGGGTCATGGAATGACATACTGCCAACTTAAAGCCCAGATATTCAAATAGTTGCTTGCAGGATTCTCCACCGGTGCCAAAGCAGACTGTGAATTTCTTGTTCATGATATTGATTGATCTGTTGCGCTGTTCATCATGCAAAGTATTGTCGATGTATGTCTTGAGATGCGTGAGGACGACCAACGGCGTTGGTCTGCCTATCCCTTCCAACCGTTGTGGTTCCAAGGCTAGGGCGTCGTCTACTCGTTTCTTCAAGATGTCTTCGTCCGTCAACAAGCTCACCCATTCCGGCTTGATAAGGGGTGTCCAAAGCTTCAGGTGAACTGTGGCAGAGCATTGGGTCTGCGTACAGCTGTAGACGTATACCTCTAGAGCTTGTCCCGGCGATTTGGGGACGGTCTTGAGCCTATCCGCCGACTCCTTGGGAAAGTAACAAAAGTGGTGCACGGTCCCTGGTCGACAGGCCAACTGTGTCTTGAAGACAACTGCAAACTCGAGATGAAGTCGACACTTCTGACATACCGACGAGACCTGGTATCTGGCGCCTGCAACACGCTGGCTGTCGTTCACCGGGAGCACTGACTGGTGAGGCTTTGTGATGAAGCGATGGACACAAGCGTTCGAGTCGGAGTAGTCCGGGTATGTAGACTTATCGTAGAATATAGGTGGCACGTCTTTCAGGATATTGAACTGCGGCCGAGTAGGGCTCGCTGGGTCATGGTGCAGGACATCCTGTATGAGCAGAGGAGCGGTTTTGCCTAGATTGCGCAGCACACGGGGGAGGAGGGCATTCAGGTTAGCGTCCGGGACTCTAGAAAGGCAGAAGATGCTGCGGACATACCCAGCTTGGCCGGTAAAGCCATATAAGCGTTTCTTCCAGCTCTCGCAAGCTGGTGGTGTGTCTGGCGTAGCTCGATATGGGGGGGTTTGTTCAGCCCGGTGTTTACCTATCTAGGAACCGTAGCAGACGAGCTTCTCAAGCGCAACTTTGGCGGCAGTATGTTGTTTCTTTCGACCAGCGAGAGGATCGACAGGCTCCGGGCAGCCTTTTAAAGCACGAGCGAGGGCGGCAGCAGTGCTGGTCGGGCGTGAAGGGAGCTTGCTGGCCTGGCGGGTAAATGAACCGGGCTTGACTGACTGGGCGCGGGGAGGTACAGCGGCAGCGGTGCGAGCAGCAAGCAAGCAGCAACGAGTGACGGTCGGGCAGGGCAGGACAAGCAGCGGCTCAGGGCATCGTCGGCGGCGCCAGTCATCAACCTAGAGAGTGAACAGAGGCACAATTCCATCAGCGAGCCGGCGTCGTCTCATCCTTCGTCGTCGTCGTCGTCGATTCTGCGTCGTCGTCGTCAAGTCCGCGCCAAGCCTCGTCCCAAAAGGGCAGAAAAACCAGCAACGCCAGCGACGAAACATCAAACGACGTCGAAAACTCGCCCGCAACCGCCAGACTCGCCCGCAAACGTCTCGCTCGTCCAGCAACGATGGCCGGCCAGCAGGAGGCTCCCGTGTATCACCCCCAGGATGCGCTCAAGCGCGCCATCAACACGACAATGGTCACCGGCGGCGTCGGTCTCTTCACCTCCGCCGTCCAGAATACCCTCCAGAAGCAGAACGTCGGCCCTTGGGGCGTCTTCACCAGGTCCGGCAGCACGATCTTCTTGTTCGGTACGTTGATTCAGCTGATGTGCTCCCATTGGATGATGAATTGATGCAAACTACGGCGGGTAAAGAGTGATGCTGATGTGTGTCTGTGTGTGTGCGAGTGTAGCTGCCATGGGAGGATCCTACGAGTTTGTCAAGACTGCCTCTGCCAACCTGCGGACAAAGGAAGACTACTGGAACTCGGTCTACGGAGGATTTGCTGCTGGTTCTCTTGTGGGATTCCGAGGTGAGTCCTTTTTGCCATCGTGTCTAGGACTTGCAGGGAGCATTGGGTTTTAACGTGTGTGTTTCCCTCTAGCTCGAACATTCCCGGCCATGATCGGATACGGAGTTGCACTTGCTACACTGCTGGGTGTTTTTGAGTACAGTGGAGGAAGCATAGCGGGCAAGATTGCCGACCCTAACGTCGATGAGTACGACCGAAGAACCGCCCTCAGGAAGAACTTCCGAAGTCCTGGCGAGGAGACAATTGCAGAGCTGGGTGAGCGAAGAGGTATGTCAGGCCCGCACCTCGTGGCTATTCTGCAGCTGTACCTGTCTATATCTCTGCAATTGATGATAGCTAACCGTCCGCAGGAATCGAGGCACCCGGATTCGCAGAGAGACGGCGAGAGCGGATAAAACAGAACTACGGGATCGATGTCCCCGTCACCCAAGCATCTGCCTCCCCGACTACTCCTCTCTCGTAGGATTAGAAGCACACAGCCCTGCACCGTTACATGTCCATATGTAGTATATTTCCGAGTCTAAACCAGTCGGCTCTTTCTTTCTCTCTTTCTTATTTTTTTTTTGTCCCTCTTACAATTACATCTAGACAGGAAATGTCAAGTCAAGTCAGCGTTTACTATACAGTGCCGCCACACCCTCCGCCTGCCCACCGGCCTCTCCACCGGCTCTGCGGCTTGTCATTCTCTCGCAAGGTCTCTCTATCCAGCAAACAGCATCCACCATCCCTGCCCTTCGCACCCGACTTTGATATCACATGACTGTACAGCCACGATCTGAAGTCTTCCGAGAACAAGAAAAGGAAAAGACAAAGGACAAAAAGACAAATGATGACGTTGGAAAGGTGGCTGTTCAGGCAAAGGTCAGGGACGAAGTGTTCATCGACACTGCTTGCTCCAGAGTAATGACACCAGATATCGTTCAGCCTCCCCAACCTTGCAAGAACCGAGATCAACGGGCGGCTGCGGTCTAGCTGGTAGATCTCGCACTGTGGCTGCTTGTAGCTGTAGCCGTCACTAGAGCATCAGGCCAGCAGCAGCAGCAAGCGGGAGTATAAGCAGCATCAACCGCCGTAGCGTAGGGGGTCACTTTGTAGCTACCACCGCATGTTTACCGTCTATCTATAATTCCATCTACTCCTTCATCGCCCTCCACGGCCTATCTGTCCCTCTTAAGCACTGCTTCTCGGAGTAAACAAAAAAGGAGGCCACCCACCATCTGGGCAAACGACGTCATCGCCTTCGGCTCTCTTCCACTTCTCCTTTCTCTTCCTTTTTTTTTTTTTTTTTTTTTTTTTTTTTTTTTTTTTTTTTTTTCTTCTTCCTCCGCCATCCTTCGCACTCCTTAAGAATCAGAAACAAACCACTAGAATAGCAGAGAGACAGAGAAACAGAGAAAGAAAACGTACCTCACAGCACCCTGCACCGTCGTCGTCTGCCAGAGTACCGTTTCAAGCTTGCCGCTGGCCTCGACCGCCTGTGTTGTTGGTTGCCCCTTGGACTCGCGGGGGTCAAGGATCGCTAAATAACGGCCATAACAAAGTCGCAGGATAACCACTCTACTATATACGAAGATATACCGAGACATACACAGGGATACACAGCGGTGCACAGCGGACCGCAAGCCGAAGTGACCTGCGGGCTCTCTCTCGCCGGCCAGAGACATCGCCGTCGCCGATGGCAAACAGACCTGGCAGCGCACCTCACGACACCGCCAGCTACACCATGGCCAGCTCCATGGCCAACGTCGACCATACACAGCTGAACACCGAGTACAACTCCATGGCCGGCTCGCGCCCTGCTTCGTACATTGCGAACTCGTCAATTGGGCCGTCAGACTTCCACGTCCGCAGCAACATCCCAGACGCGTCCCCTCTCAGCCAACAGCAGCAGCAGCAGCAGCAGCAACAGCAGCAACAGCAGGCGTCTGCTCCCCATCAGTCTCGGTTCCAGGAAGTGCTCTCAATCAGCAGACGAGGCTCCATGATGGACAGCGGCTCCGTCAGAGAAGGTCCTCGTACGGACTCTCCGGCTTCGACAGCAAATACAAACCCCATTTCGCTCCCGTCTCGGAGCTCGACGCTAAAGAAAAAACCGTCGCTTAGCAAGAAGGCGAGTTTGCGGCGGGGAGGCAGCCGCAAGAGCAGCCGGGCCGGCAGTGTGCGCAGCATGAACCTGGGCGAGAAAGAGAAGTATGGAGTTGCGCAGGATGAGGCCAACAGCGCATTCTTCGTCCCTATCCCAACCAGCGGGAACCCGACTGAAGTCCTCGCTGCTCGGTTTCAAGGTTAGTCTGCCTCGAAAGATAGTATAGAATACACAGATCTAACATGATACATAGCTTGGAGAAAGGTTCTAAAGGACCTGGTCGCATTCTTCCGCGATGTTCAGCGCTCATGTGAAACGCGTGCGAAGAGTCTCATCTCCGCTTCAAACGCTATAAATAATATAGCCATGCCACCAATGTTTTTAATCTCCGGTGGCATATCGGATGCGACGGAAATATTAAAGGACTATCATAAACAGGCATTGCATGAATCCAATAAAGCTAGAGAGATGGAGACTGAGATTATCATGCAGCTCAACGGACTACGGGCTGATCTGGGCCAGAAGATTAAGGAAATCAAGAACCTGTCCGGAGACTTTAAGAATACCGTTGATAAGGAGGTTGAGGTTACTCGCAAGGCCGTCAAGCACCTACATGAGGCACTTGGCCTGGTAGACAGTGATGCTGCTGCTACTTCGGGCAAGGGTGATCCGTTTCTTCTCCGGATGAACGTCGACAGGCAGCTGGAAAGACAGATTGAGGAGGAGAACTATCTACATCGAGTAAGTTTCAAAATTTCATGCTCGGGAACTTCTACTGCCGTACTGACAGAAAAACTTCCAGGCGTACCTAAACCTTGAAAGGTCTGGTCGAGAACTTGAATCAATCGTGGTTGGTGAAATACAGAAGTCATATAATGTATACGCCAGCATCCTGAAACGAGATGCCGATTCCGCTTATCATGCGGTTGAGAGGCTGAAGGAAGGACCTATATCTATCCCCAAGGACCATGAATGGCGTTATTTCATTGACCAGACTGACCAGATGGTCGATCCTGACCTGGATTTGAGAGATCTGGCAAATATAACATACCCTGGAAAGGACCACCCTGCTGCCGCAGAGGTCCGCGCTGGCATGCTGGAGAGGAAGAGCAAGTACTTGCGAAGCTATACTCCTGGGTGGTAAGTACCATGAAACCTGGTGTCGATAGACTGTTTATATATACTAATGATATCTCAAAAAGGTATGTTCTGTCACCGACTCATTTACATGAGTTCAAATCGGCAGATCGACTTGCATCCCAGCACCCTGTAATGTCCCTGTATCTCCCCGAGCAGAAGCTGGGATCCCACTCAACGCCTGAATCGTCATCCCACAAGTTCATGCTCAAGGGCCGTCAGACGGGATCGATGCACCGCGGACATGCTTGGGTGTTCCGTGCTGAATCCCATGAAACAATGCTAGCCTGGTACGACGACATCAAGGCCCTGACTGAAAAGACTGGCGCGGCAAGAGATGCATTTGTTCGAAGACATGCTCGCTCTTACAGCGGTGCCAGCTATCGAACCGCCTCAATTAGTAGTGACGGGGTTATGGACGAAGATGAAGCCGATAAGACTCCCTACTCGGCAGACCATTTGATGCAAAGGCAGCATTCCCCTACAAGCGAGGCAACCACTGCTACCGGCTCCCAATGGCGACGTCAGAGAAGTGTTGGTCGGTTCCCAAGCGATGTGCAGATTAACCAGCATCTAAACGCACCTCTCTCACCCGCCAGCTCTGAGAATCGCGACATCAGCAATACCGTGCCGATCTCAAACGCAGTCAACCACAACAATATCAACAATGAGCAGAGACAGAGCCAGCATTTCAACCAAGGTATAAATGATCTTCCGAGCCGGGCATCCATGGACAGTGAATCCAGGTCCAGCAGACCAATATTCGACAGACGTCGCTCGCAAGTCAAATATGAAGACTGGGCGCAACCACACCATCACCCCCGACCAATCACAATATCCTCCCAAGGTGGAGATGCTAGCCGCCTTGTACAACAAACTCCTTCTCCACTCTCGGAATCTCCCTTGCGCTACAGTCAGGGACCGCCGCTCGGGGACCTCACGGACCATGATCATCACCAGCCCGCACCAACATCCCACCCTCACACAACAAACCACGAAATTAAACCAGATGGCGTGAACGGAACCGCACATCCCCACCTGGACGGTGACGGAAGGGATATTGAGCCCATCGTCACCGACGGAGTAACCAACAACAGATCATCCCTTTACCCGACTTCACCCCTTGACCAACCCTTGAGTCGAACATCCATCGACCTGAAAGTTCCCGGCCAGTTCCCTCAAAGATCCTGATCCTGCCTTTCTATTAAAATTATTTTTACCTCTTCTGCTTTTGCTCTTGTTCTTGCTTTTCTGTTTCTGTCATCTTTTGACCCTTTGTGCCGTTCTGCATCGCATTGCTCAGCGATATACCTACTTTCGTTTGCATCTACATATACTCACATATATACTCTGGCTGCCACCGGCTGTCGAGAGGAAGAAACCTGAAAAATGGTCTTATTTCCTCTCTTTTGACATATTGCATGTACAACACTAACATGGTTGACTTTATATAACTGCATTCTTACTTTCTGGAAACTCAATGTCTGCCTAATATTCTATCATCTCACCTCTGCCCTAGAGGGGGGTGTTTCAGTAATATTAATACGTAGGCAAAATTACTCCGACCATGATAACTTTATAGATAAGGAAATTGATTTTTTTTTTTTTTTTCTTGGTAGGAATAATAGGATAGTACAAGTTGGTTAACACTGAAAAAAAAAGAGGGTAGATTCAAAGGAAAAACGAATCACTAGATCGGGGTCTGGAAGCTCGAGACACACATCTGACAGAGAAAGAAAGGAGATAAGGGTCGAATGAATCAAAAGATGTAAAGGAATGCAGATGACCTTTTTGTTGTAGCTGTTATCATCCAAAAGAAAAGTCAACCACCACGTCACCAGCGCCAGATTCTCAGTGTAATGTTAAATCGCGAGGATAATTTGAAGAACTAGCAGGGCTGTAAACTGAAACCTTCGTCCCCTTCTCTAAAATTCTCCACCACTAGCTCACTTGCTTCAGATCCGTTATCGTCTGCATCCACATACTGTTACATGATCTGATCCTGGGTAATAGGAGCAGCTTCACCAGAGCCGTTGAGGTCGGTGGTTCCTTGACCTGGGACCGGGCCCTGGCTCTGTCCTGGATTGACATACTTGACGAAGGACAGGCCAAGAGGGCGACCGCCGTATTGATAGCCGGTGAACTTGCCTAGTTACTGCGTTAATATATTGCAATGCAGACCGCGACACAAAAGATAATCTTACTAATTGCAGTTTCAGCATTATCTGCGGTGTCAAATTGGACGACACCGGTACCACGGGAGCGGCCGTTAGGCTCATACTGAATTTCGGCGCGCTCGACCTTTCCGATGGTAGAGAATAGTTCCACAAGGTCCTCGTTACAGGTTGACCATGGAAGCTAAATTGAAGGTTAGATTAAAGGAGATCTGAGATCTGATACGGAGGTGGGGGAGTTCCAGCTTACGTTGCGGACATATATCGAGACACCTCTCTCTCCACCATAGGTGGCATAATCGGTGAATGGGTTAGCAGGAATGGATGCAGCGGCTGTACCATCGTGTGCACTTCCAGGCCCAGAGAAGCCTGCGCCACCAAATCCTCCTCTACCACCTGCGCCTCCATAGCCTCCGAAACCCCCACGGGTCCCAAAGCCGCCGCCTCGACCACCGAATCCGCCGCGACCGCCAAAACCACCAAAACCCCCACGGCCAGGGAAGCCAGCAGAGCCGGCGTAACGATCTTCACGGACTTCGAGTGGACGGCCCTGCCATTCATATCCGTTGAACTGC